CATCCGTTGCTTTTTATGTAGCATTAGATCTATATAAGCTGGTTCCCTCGGATAGAAAGGCCCTCCAAGTCTTGCAACTTCTCTGATAAATTCATTTACATAGTCCTCAGGCTATTTCATTCTCTTGTATCCCGACCCGGATTGAAAGATATACATCCTTCACCGCTCAAACAGCACATTATCTATAATGGACGCTGAAGAAGCTCCCGCTCTCCCTGATTACTTCGTCTCCCCAGACGCTGTCCTCAAGGACGAGGCCACCTGGCGGTTTGGGCGGCGTCCAGACTACACCAAGAATCGGAAAGCATGGCAAGAAAGTAAGAACAGCCCTCTTTCCCCCCCTCCCTTGGCAATGCCCTCCTCTCAACACCCTCTATGGTTCATTGGTTGCCAAATACTGAACAATATGCCCATCAGCCAAGACCATGAACCACACTGCCGGCAGCCTGGAAGAGCTCGTCGAGAACGTGGTAAAAAACTGGGAGATCGAGGCATCCTATAAGCCAAACCCCAAGGAATGGCGCACCATCAACGCCGAAAAGTACCAGTTCCGCCTCAACGGCGGCCCTCCCCAGCCCGCCGAGGCCATGGCCAGGCTCGGGACCTACAATGCCCTGATTGAGCCGAACAAGTACTACAGCCCGGAGCACAACGACTTCTCCGCCAGCCACAAGACGTTCAAGCGCATGATGCCCTTTTTCGCGTGGGAGGTCTTGGATGTGTATGGCGGGCCGCCGAAGCTGGCGATTCGGTGGCGTCACTGGGGTACTTTCCAGGGGGACTACACGGCTAAGAATGAGTAAGTTGATCTCGTGAGGTTTCTTTTCAAGTACTTGGACAGATTGTTTCTGACCAGTGTTTAGGCAAGGGGAGAAAGTGACGATGAAGTCGACGGGCAAGGTGATTGATATCAAGGGTATGGCAGTCGCGGAACTGGACGATCAGATGCGCGTGACCATGCTTGATATTTACTTTGATCCGATGGACATGTTCCGTCAAATGGACGAGGGAAACGCTACGGAGAGTGAGCATGCCGCCGCTCAGGCTGCGTGCCCCTTTCTGGGCCAGGGGCAGGTTGAGAAGCCAGAGGGACATCTTTAGGGACATCTTTGACATGTAATTTGGAGGAATTAATATAGGTAGAGCTTTCCACAAAATAGAATACACTCTCTCCCTTTCAATTGATCAATGAAATATATAATAATTTGCAGAGATTTATGGTCCTGCACGGTTAAGTCCTTCACGGGCAAGTTAACAAAAAGGGGCAAACTCGGCGTTAGAGTGGTACATTTATTCTACCATCCTGATGCTCGCACCCAAACGTCAATTACACGTGTTGGCGAACCTGAGCTGGAGTCTACTACTAAATACCAGTCATACATTGCTCCCGTGATGCAAGCGTGGTTGGGGAAAATAGAGACCGTTCGGCCAACTTCAAGGGGAATCGGGGGCAGGTGGGAAGTGCTGTCATCCCCTTCCGTCTTCTCCCAAGCGACGATCGCATGCTCCTGGCTAATTCTCTCCAAGATCAGTCGGCGCCCATCTGCATCCTCCGCCGAAGGATAAGATGAACGACTGAGAACGCCCCATCCGCCATACGCGGCTGGTTCCCTCCCCAGGCCGAGAACACCAACAGCGACCAACGCTTCAGGCTGGCTGCGTTCGCCGTCGTTGTAGACGCTGACCACTTCCGCCACGACCGACACCGCGATCTCGTCGTCAAAGGAACCCAGTGAGGTCCGCGCATTGGTGCTGAGCTGCTGAATGTCGAGGACCGAGTACACGCCAGCATGGAGCTCCAGCTCCACGCCGGGATGCAACGACATGTGCTGCAGGCTTGTCGCAAGTCTGCTTGTTGGCGCGTTCCCCGAGACGGGTGCAAAGTTCTGGATCGATGTGACTTGGGGGGAGGCGCCGACGCTGACGATGAGCTTCTTGTCCTTGGGGAAGTGCTGGGCGTTCATGGCAATCGCCTCGAGGCAGCCGTCGATTTCGGATGCCAGGTTGTCCATGGCCTGTCCGGCCGTTGTGTCTTTGTAGCTGAGACTGCTGTGTGAGTAGAGCCCGGCCAGGACAGCTTTGCCCTGCGACTCGAGCTGCGCGGTCTCCTGGATTAGACCCTGTTTGTTGAGTGAGCCGGGAGGGAGGCCTGCTCTGTGGTAGCCTGTGTCGACCTTGAGGAACACACCGGCCGGGGATCCAACCAGATCATAGAATTCGCTGAGCGACGCGAGCTGTGAAGGATGGTCGACTAAGAAGGAGATGGACACGAGGCGAAGACGGATCGCTATCTTTGCAATGCGCACGATCTGGGATGGCGGGATGGGGATGCCGTAGAGGACATCGACTGGACGCCCATTGCTCGTAAAGTCTTCAAAGATAGGGATCATGTGCTCCAGCTCAGCGACTGTCGACACCACGAATCTCGCCGCATCGGGGGACTCGCCGACCTGCATGCGAGCCAACTGCGTCGTCTGTGATATCACCTCCGGTCAGCATCGAGACAAGGGTGGCCGAGGTATTGGGTTCGTTGGCCAACCTTGTGTGTCTTTACATGCGCCCTGAATGCCACGCGGATCGATTGAGCAGCCTCAAGCATCTGAGATGCGTGGCGGCGTGCTTTGGCGACATCGAGGACAATCGCGGGCTTTGGGAGGCTGTTGATGTCTCGGCCGACGTAGAATTCCCGCAGCTCATCCTCCGACGGGAGGCCTCGACGGGGTATCGGCATGACGGCGTCAATTGATTACAGTATTCTTCGAGAGAGCAATCGGACGGACGAGAACTGCAGGTTTAAGACATTCACTACTGCTTGACTGAGGGTTGGAGGCTACGAGCCGAGCGTGGGCAAAATAATACCCGCTCAGCCAGAAATAGTGGTTAGATCCTGCTGTACTTTCACTCAGCAGCTGCTCCAAGTGGTACCTGCACTGGAAATAGAAAACAATCACTATTTTTACGGGGTTTGAGGGGTAAAAGGTTTACCCGTCAAGCAACTGCTAGTACTGGAAAGACGCCAAAAGCGAGGATGTCAGTGCTCTGAGAATATCAATCTGGTGATTTAATCCTGTCTTTCCTTCTTTTTTCTCTCTTTCAAGGGGATCAGACCCTGCCGTACGGAATGAGACGGTACATGTAGGACGCTATTTGCAATGGACTCACAGCACATCACTTGCCTTTTAGACGCTAGCAAATTATTTCCAAATTTCTTTTTATTATCATCATATCCTCTATGTCATTAATCAATTTTTCTTTTCCTTTTCCTACTTACACATCATCTAAGCGAATATGCGCAGAGGGTGGTTGGGCAGGTAGAAGCCAGGATCGTTGAAGCGCAGCCCGCGGTCCAGCCCCGAGATCTGCTCAACCTCCTCCTCCGCGAGGTCGAAGCCCGTCACGTCGAGGTTCTGCGCCAGGCGGCCCGGGTTGTTGGACTTGGGTATGACGGCGACGCCGCGCTGCGTGGCCCAGCGGAGGAGGACCTGGGCGGGCGTCTTGCCGTGCCTGTCGGCGATGGCCCTGACGGCGGCGCTCTCGAGGAGGAGGGGCGTGTCCTTGGCCCGGGCGGAGAAGATGCCGGCGAGCTCGATGAAGCTCTGGGGGCCGAAGGAGGAGTAGGCGGTGACCTTGATGTTGAGCTCGGCGGCGAGGGCGACGAGGTCGGGCTGGACGAGGTAGGGGTGGTGCTCGATCTGGAGGGCCGAGATGGGGTGGCGGGCGTAGGTCTGGATGTCGTAGAGCGACTGGGCCTGGAAGTTGGAGACGCCGATGGAGCGGGCGATGCCCTGGTCGACGACGGTCTCGAGGGCCTCCCAGGTCTCGCGGATGGGGACCTTGTCCCAGGAGACGACCTTTTGTTCGTCGTCCATCCACCAGGCCTGACGAGGTCAGTATCCGTAGCAGGGCAGGAGGAGTGGGAAGAAGCAGTGGGTTGAGTAAAGGCTACTTACAGGGAACCGGCGCTTGGCAGGCTCGACGTACTCGAGCGAGACGGGGAAGTGAATCAGGTAGAGGTCGATGTACCCCAGACCCCAGGCCTCGTTCTGAAGCTTGGCCATCTCGAGAGCATGCTCGCGACGGTGGTAGTTGTTCCAGAGCTTGGTGGTGATGAAGATGTCCTCGCGCTTCACCAGACCCTCGGCGATGGCGCGCTTGATGCCCTCGCCAGCCTCCTTCTCGTTCTGGTAGTCGTAGGCACCGTCGAACAGACGGTAGCCGGCCTTGATGGCCTGCGGTAGATGGGTGAGCATTGTGAAATCTCCCAGTAGTCAATTGAAGGGCGTTTGCTCACATTGTAGACGGTTTCAGCGGCGGTCTCGGCGGGGACCTTCCAGAGACCGAAGCCAACAAGGGGCATCTCACGGCCAGAGGCGAGCTTGACGGTAGTAGACATGATGGCTAGAAAATGTAAACGGATTCAAATCAATCAATTGATCAGTATGAAGAAGGAAGAAAGAGAGGAAACGCGCACTTGGGGACGTCCCATCCATCACCCTTTATTGTATGACCCCTCCACCCCATCCACAGACCAAAACATTTCACAGAAATAAACGACGCCAAACTAACGTCACTCGTCCAGCGTGAACTGGAACTGCCCCTCCAAAAAATGAGGCATTACCCAAGCAGGCAGGGCGACGAGCCACCGCTGAGTGCTTACAACTTCCAGATGTGGTATCTTCGGGAGAACTGGACGAGTGGATCAACAGCCCAAACACCAATCGTTTAGCTCTGGCATGTTTTCCTCGGCTACAAGCTTCCAGCTCGAGTCAGGAACTAGCCTGTGACCTCCCCAGCTCAGCAGCCTTCCAGTCCAGTTACACTACGTAGAGAGAGCGGAGGTGCTGGGCCAAAAGGCGGGGATGGAAGATGAACCCCCCCAGTTGATCTCAGGACTTCCCTCTCCGGAAGTTTCTACCCTTCGAGCCCCCCGTCTGCTCGTTCTGTACGCTGCTTCCACCGCCCATCAACCATGTCCGCCAGTGCGGGCGAGAAGACCCGCTTCAAGAGGACACGCACCGGCTGCTTGAAATGCCGTGTGCGCAGGCGTAAATGTATGTAGGAATCAAGACGGGCGTCGATTGATATGTTCTTCGGTTTGATGCGCTAACGGCGGGCCAATTTGCGACAGGCGACGAAGGGAAACCCAAATGCCAGCGATGTCGCGACGGCGGCTTCGACTGCCAGTACGGCACGCGCCTCTCGTTCCTCGATAAGAACTCGCTCACGGCGCCTGGACTGACCGCGAAGCCGGCCTCGTCGTCGTCGTACTCGACGCTTCGGGTATGTTGGACCGTCTCATCTTCTGATGGAAAGGCACAGGCGCAAGGGGGATCATTCGCTGACGAGGGAGCTGGGCAGTTCGTCGAACCTGGATCGGTCACATCCAAGCAAACCAACAAACCCCGTGAAGACTCGTCTGCCTCCTCCGAGCCTCGCCCGCAAACGAGCGACAGTTCAGCGCCGTCGACCGTCCTCACCAACGCGGCCGACCTCGATGCAATACCGCGAGACCCCGAGCAAGAACCAGGCTCTGCATTGTCGAACCCGCCGCTCGCTCTACACACATCGCACGACCCGGCGCTGATCTCCGAGTCCGTTGACGCGAGGCAAGACTTTGCCGCCACGCCGACCGCCCAGAACCACGAGACGGACGAGACGTCGCCGGGCAACAGGGCGTACGACACGGCCTTGAACGTGCTGCTGTCCCTCAGCCATCCCGACAATTCGACCTTCGAGAAGGGAATACATGGTGGCGGCAGCGGATTCTCGCTGGCGGGTTCTAACGAGCTTGCGTCCAGCCCGGGATTGACGGTCCAGAGCTCTGGTTCGTTGAAGGAGTTGTTTCCCAACTGCGCGCATCTTCCCCAGAGCGAGAAGATTCAGCTGATACGCCACTACCGATATAATATTGCGCCATGGGTATGTTCGACCAAGTTATAAACTCTAGATCTTTCCCAGCTAACTTCTGATGGTCGGTGCAGCTTGATATTGGCGATTCGGGTCAGACATTTGGGCTCCAGGTCGCTCGCATGGCATCACTCTGCCCCCCGGTGCTGGAGGCCTTGTTGATCTTATCCTCCGTCTCTCTTGACTGCGAGGTGGGGAGAGAATACTATCCTCCTGGGACGAGCAGCCAATACTTGTCTCCTTCAGACACGAGCGTCACGATCGATCTTGCTGCCTTTGTGCTGAACATGACACGGCACCACATCTTGACACATCCGCTTGCTTGGAAACGGCCGTTCCAGGACGTGAACGGCGTCTGGGTGCAGTTCTTGAACTCGACTGCGGCCAGTCAACAGTACACCAGCATCAATGTGGCAGCAGCCTGGGTGCTGCTTCGGTTTGGTAAGGTCAACTTCTCGCCTCAAAGCAAAGCATGGAGTAACTAACAGGCTGGACAGATCTAAGCACTGGGTTGGTGATGAAGTCGCCCGTCTTCGTCCCTAATATCCTCTCCTCCGGAATCACCTCGCCCTCATCCCGAAACCTTTCCCGCGACATGCTCGGCTACGACCGAGAACCCGCCCTCCTCTGCGCCCAAGTGCTCAACCTGTGCTTCCACGGCGACACCGGCCAGCCCACCCACATCGGCACCGTCCAGACCTGGATGGAGCTCTCACAGAGCCTCAACATCTGGTACGCCAACCGGCCCCAGGACTTCAAGCCCATGGTCGAGCTCGAGGACAGCCTCAACGAGACGGACACCAACCTCTTCCCCACCATCCTCTTCACCAACGCGGCGGCCGTCCTCGCCAACCAGCTGTACCACACCGCCATGCTCCTCCTCCTCCAGAACCGCCCCCGCACCCTCAGCAAGGACGCCGCCGGCCGCTCCATCCTCGTGTCGCCGCTGTGGCACGCCCAGCGCGTCTGCGGCATCAGCCTGAACAACGAGGACCGCTGCGGCTGGGACTTTTGCCTCGTCGCCTCGCTGTTCCTCGCCGCGCAGCGCATGACGTACGAGCCGCAGCAGAACGCCGTCCTGGGCGGGTTTCACCGGATCGCGGCCATCACGGGGTGGAATCTGAGCGGGCTGTCGGAGCATCTGAGTAGTCTGTGGCAGCCGGACTGATGATTCATGGGGGGGGGCAAAACAAAAAGCGAGTGATTTTATTTTATTTTGTAGTATAGCTCAACATACTCGTACATGCGTTATATACCCAGGCTTTATATATTCTTATGCAATTACAATTACAACTTCACTTCAGCACTCTCCGCGGTGATCTGGGCACGGTATGCCCCCAGGCCACCTCCAGGTCGGATATCCTCCAGCACGTCGCCCAGCCCGTCATGTTCTCGATGCTCCGGATCAGCTTGGCGATGAGCACGTGCTCGGACCGGTGGCTCAGCAGCCTGCCCGCGATCCACAGCGGCTGGATGGCGTTGTTCAGGCAGCCCCGGTGCGGGTTCGTGAAGGAGATGCCGCAGATGCACTTTGCGTGCCAGACGGCCGAGGCGACGTGGCCCGGGGGGTCGAGCCTGAGCCCCGCGGGCGCGCAGCCCAGCAGCAGGATGCAGGCCGTGTGGTACAGCTGGTTGGAGGAGATGCCGGCCCAGTGGACGAAGAGGATCTGCGGGAAGGGCTGGGCGTCGACGAGCTCGACGGGGACGATGTCGGGCGGGCGGTCGCGGACCCAGGCCTGCAGGGCGTCCCAGAGGGCGAGCCAGCGGCGCTCGAAGCGCGGGGCGTCGCAGCCGCTGGTGCGGTCGCCCAGCTCGACGAAGCGGGTGCGGTCGGCGATGAGCTCGCAGACCTGGGCGCAGATGAAGACGGCGTAGTTGGCGTGCATGTCCGGGGAGGCGTGCTCGCGGAAGAGGTGGGCGGCCTGGAACTGCGGCGAGCCGGGGGAGAGCCAGCTGTCCATGCTGACGAGGGTGGCCTGCGTGCCGTCGGAGATGAGGGCGCCGCAGAGATCTGTGATATCATAATTTAGCTTGGGGATGAGGAGGGTTTGGATGAGAGGACGTACCCATCCGCGCGTAGCACCAGAACACGGCCTGCAGCATCCCGCCGCTGAAGCCGTTGACGCCAAATGCGTCGAAGAGGGCCGCGCAGCCCTCGAGGTGTTTCCGCCAGTCGTGCGGGCTTGCGGACATCATCTCGAGGCAGCACAGGATGACGCATATGGGTATGATGGCCAGGTCCTTGGCCTGGAGGAGAGGGTTGAGCAGGCGGATGGCCTCCTGGTAGAGCTCGAGGCTGTCAAACGAGTGCTGCTTGCCCTCCTTGCGCTCAATCTGGCGTGCCGAGAGGGCGAGGATGGCATAGAGCAGGGCGGGACAGCGTTGGGCGAGATTCGGGACCTGGATAGTGAAGGTCCTGCTGCTGTCGAACATGTCGAGCTGGAACAGTCAGTATACTCCATTGAGACAGATTGTAGTAAAGTAAGATAAAGTAAGAATAATTTCAAATGGAATACATACCCAGGGCGCGACTTCGGCGACGTAGTTCTTCAGATACTCGACGTGGCGGCCGGTGGACAGGATGGCCTTGACCTGCGCCTGCGTCTCCTGCTGCTGCTCGGGCGAAAAGGACGTTCCGTCTGGTGGGATCCCAAGCCCGGGAGAGCCCTCTCTCGACGGGGCAGCCGTCTGGGCCGTGTGGAAGATGAGGCATCGCAGCTCCTCCTGGAAGGCGAGGTACCCCGGATCCAAGACGAACTCGTCCGGGGAGAGGGTGGTACTCATGTTGCCCCGGCTCGACCAGGCATCACGCGCCCGGCGCTGCGACTATTCAATTGGGGTCCTCGAGGGCGGGGGGTAGTGCATCAGTCGAGCGTTTGCCATCCCAGTCTACCAGATCCCGAGGCTGAGCTTGCTGAATGAAGCAGAGACGATGATGTGCGCGATTCAGTCTGATCGAGAATCTGGAGTGTCACATGATCCCCCACAGATGTGTTTTTTAGCTCAGCTTCTCCAGCGGAGGCTAGATTCATCTGTAGCTCCATCTCAATGCAGCTAGGTGAGTTCTCGTTGACCCGGGCCACCGGCTAAGTTGTGTTTGTGTGTGTGGGTGGCTACAAGTCGTCTGGGAGATTAGGGGGATATAAATACATGTGAGCAGCGCCTCGCAATTCCTCATCGAGCCAAGATCAATGTGTGGACCTGTTCACACTGACAGCAGCGAAGATTCACTACTTCAATCTTGTCTTGAATGTGAGACGAAAGGGTGCATCTGATGACAAAATAATTACATTATTTTAAGCGGAGGGAGTGTATAGGGTAGCCCAAGAAAAGACGAGTCGGGTTTCTCTTCTCTTTCTTGGGATTTTGCTCTATGATTTGGGTCCTTGAATATGAAGCTTGATAATCTACAATTGGAGTTGTTTGTAGTACTTATTTATACGAAAAATCGATCCAACATTGCATAAGAGAAGATTTGGGTTTGATCAATTCATTATAATGGGATAAAAGTCGAGAAAAACAACAGCAATATCGTGGGATTCTCGGGAAATCTGTTCTTTCCAATTCTTTCCTCTAGTATCCCTTTCAAAATCTTTGGTAGAGGTAGTGGAAAACCGTTTTAACAATCAGAAACACGTTCTCAGGACCAAGGCCTCATTACTGTGAATACGACCCGGATTGGTACTGCCCATCTCTATCGCCCTCATGGCGATTCAACGTAGTGCTGCATCGTGCACAAGTTCGATTCGTGATGTAAGGGATTTCCCCTGGGCGAGGAAAACTGGGTGGCCACTCAGGACTTCGGTCGCGATCTCGGGGGCGGACAAGAACCGTGTGGCAACGGACGCAGACCTCGACCATACTCTGACGCATCTTGATGAAGGCGAGTTTTTAGGGGCTGAAAATATAAGATACTAGACTCTGCAGCTTTCGCGAGTAATTGAAAAATTCTGGTTTGTGAGGAGATTTAAGAAGGTTGGAGGAGAAGACTTGCTTGGGTTAAATAGGTCTCTCCTCTCCATTGTATGTTTATCACAATAATGCAATGCCACAGCATCATCTCACAGTCGTTCTACACTTGATCAAGTCAGATGAGCTGGAAGAATGGTGAGAAACTGCCACTCACGTTACATACCATCAGTCATTTAGCACTTTGGGAGCTGAATGGCAGAACACAGTTTTTGAAATAGCCTATAGTAATAAGTGACTATGATACACAAAATGAACTTGATACCCCCAAATGACAGCCTTGATGATGCTTTTCAGTCACTTAGGGATTTTATCATTGACTCAGACTATCCAGTCTAACTACCTTGAAACGTTGAATGGAAGTCTCGGTGAATAGGAAAGCGCAACTACGAGCAGTTGGAGTTAGGGTTGGACAACAAGTAACGCGTAGCAATGCCTCATCGAGGTTCTTATTTTTATTGACAGAAGTATCGAAGATTCAGAGCTTATTCTGAAAGTGAAACGAAAAGGTGGATCTGATGACACGACGATCACATTACTTCAGGAGGAGGGAGCTTGTATGGGATAGCAAGGAAGAGAGCATGGCCGTGTCCGTGTTTTAGAGTTGATTGATTCATAAACGCTCGCCTTTTGCTCTTGAAAATATTCAATTTGATAATGCCGTCGCTTCTATGCTTATTTCTTTACAACAACTTAACCAGCCCTGCTTTGTGTGTGCATCCTTGCTCTTGCTTTACTCAGGCCTACCCCCTCCACTCAATTTATTACAGCGCTGCCTCATGGTATACATCTTATTTTATCTCAGCGACAAACGCTACAGCCCATTAAAAGTGAAACATGACCTTCCCCGTCGAATACTTCCCGTGCTCAACCTCGGGGCTGGAGAAGGGATCCTCCAGCGACCGGTCGGGAATGTTTTCTTTCCTGATCGACCAAACGGCCTGCCACCTCCCCTTGAGCTCCATCGAGACCTTTCCTTGGAGCACCCCAGGCGGCACGGTGTCCTCCTTCAAGAGAATCGAGCCCATGACGCTCCCGCCAGGCCCGACGGTGATGAGCTGGTCGCGGGTCGGGGGCCACACCCTGCGGACGTTGATCTTGTTCAGCTCGAGGGGGGTCTTCGCGCCCGCCGGCGTTATCTCGAGCTGGCCCAATGCGACCGCCAGCGGATCGAGCGGCGACTCGTAGGACAGTATCGAGACGGGGAACTTGTTCTCGTTGACGACGATGACGACGATCTCGGGCGGCGAGGAGCCGGGCGTGTGCTTGATGTTGAGCTTCAGGCCCGCAATGGCCGACACCTTGGGCTCCTTCTTCTTGATCCTTATCGTGCTCGGTAGCGGGAGGTCATTGCACAGCATGAAGAGCCCGAGGATGGCGAAGACGGCCGCCAGCAGCCGGAGCGACCAGTAGGTCTGTGAGATTTGTTGCTGTGGGCGTCTCATGGCGCCTCTCGTTCGCGTCGGTCAGTTTGATGTATATTGGAATTGAGAATTCATCGAGCCATCGAGGACTGGAAGGGTGGGTTGGGGGAAATCCTGGGGGAATGAGGTCGATGACATGGCGGGTTTCATCGCGACGCAGAGCAGTGGTGGACGAGTCAATCCCCTTTAGGCTGCTGCAAAGGCTGCTATCGGCCGCCAAGCGACGAAGAAACAGCCAGCATGCAACATGGCAGGGATCAATCCTGGCGCGAAGACCTGATACGAGGGCCAGTGAAGCCGCCTGCGACGGGGGAGTGGAGTGTTGGAGCTTCCCCCAGCTGTTTCACGCCCGCCGCTCGCTCCCTCTTGGCGCAAGCATCAAGTATGACAAGTGTATCGCCAGTCCGGGAGTGAGGATGATGGGCTGGAGAGAAGTCAATCACCCCTCGAGAGTAATTTGCAGCCGTCTTGGGCGCGGATAGACCGGGCTTAGATAAAGTTGGATGCCTGTCCGATTGACAGGGAACAGGCCTGATCAGTAATAATAAATGCCAGGACTGCCGTGGGATGCTCTCGATGCAGATCATGAAACCCGCTTTCAGCCTGTGTTTCAGCACGCACTGCCGCCAACAACTCTGCTCAAGGCCAGCAAAAATAGTTCCCTCAGTCGCCTCCATAACGACGAGGAGCAGTGCTACCGTCTTATTTCTCTTTACGAGAGTTTAGCTCCAGATAACTCGAAATGGAAGGTACTTGTATCATCCCAAGACGTAGTGACAGACATCCATTCTAGAACCCTTAGAATCTACCCTAAGGAGAAAATCCCCCGCGGGTGCCAAGAGACCGGCACTCATATCTAGCGTGGTGATCCCCGCTTAGGAGCCTGATTCTCGGGCTTGGGACCTTCACTGGTCCTGCTCGGAATGAGAGCCTCCATCTTGGGTCGTGAAGACTGTCGGTCAGCCCATCGAGGCCTGATAGTGGCTGACAACTTACTCACATATCATTGGTTTGTCTATGCCATACACCAGTCTCCGGTGTTACATTACCCTCCCGAAGTAAGATCCAGTAGACACCTGGCTTTGATTGCAGGGCATCCGAACAATGCCACATCCATTGGATCCAAGATTGGAGAAAGGTCGATCCTCCCGTGGCTTGTGTTTCCCACCCGGATGTTTAGCTCCTGCATGTTGCAGCTTGCTCCGGTGTGGCGGCTTACTTACGAAAATATACCCTCTCGGGATCCTCCCACCTTGTACACTCGCAAGAATCCTGATAAGGCTGTTTTAACTCCAGACGGGAGCTGCCGATCTGGATGATTTCAAGCCAAGCCCCTCCCACAACAAGGCTACCACAGCCCACTAAGTAACAGCTAACTCATGTTAATTCCAATATGGAAGGTGTGCGACCGTACCATCGCGTGGTTTTTATGCATAAGTGCCAGACTTTAGTCCACGCCTTAATATGTACTACTCACATTGCCCGTCACAAGATATGCAACAGCCTCTTGGCATGTTATCAGTTACCCCACGACTGGATTTCAGCATAGGCACCTGCTTAATCAAGATCCTGCATATATATTCCTGTTGGGAACTTTTGAAGTTGAGAATCGCATAACGGTGTAGAAGCAGGCCACTTTCTACTCTGACCGGCAGAGTATAACAGTAGTATACAAGGATATACATAGAGAATATTCAATATAATGTCTATTAGGTATTTATTATGTGCCTTCAATAATCTGATAGTGTAAGCCAAAGACTCGCACATAAGCACTGCCTGCAACAAACAGCGAGCATGACAGTCATCTCGTCCCTCACTGGTGTGGCTTCCCCCTGCCGGCCAAGCCTTCTTGATAAGAATAGTCTCGGCAGTGACCATCGACTAATACCTATTGGTCTTGGCGAAAAATAACGAATTGGCTGCTCGATAGGGACGTGGATGCTCGCACTAATAACGAAAGTGCAAACAACCGCTCGTTGTGTGTATATAAAAGGCCCAATCGTTCTCGTTTCAAGATCACAATGCTCTCGACCACATCACGCTCCAGCTCCTCAGCACAGGGTGAACCAATCTTTCAACCTCAAGCAAATTCATCATGAAGTTCGTGCCTTTTGTTGCCCTTGCCTCTATGGCTCTGGCTGCTCCCTCCTCGGAGAGGCGTGATGACAGCCCTCTTGATATCAAGATTGAGATGATTGGCAACTCTGAAGTCAAGGCCACCATTGTCAACACTGGCAGCAGTAGCCTCAAGGTCCTCAAGACTGGTTCAATCCTTGACTCTGCCCCTGTTGAGAAGGCTAGGGTCTTCAAGGACTGTAAGTGACATCTCGGTTCTACTATATCAGAACACTCATGTATCATAGCATGTGCATGATATGTTCCTACCACTTTGCTTAGTTGAAAGACGCTGGTCACTAACCAATATCATAGCAAATGCCCTGGAGTTCGAAGGTGCTCGTCTTCTCATTGATACCGAGCATCTCAATGATGAAGCCTTCCAACAGATTGCTGCCGGTGAGACTATCGAGGTGACCTTTGACGTTGCTGAGGTCCACGATCTGTCTGCCGGAGGAGACTTTGACATCTCTGTCGTGGGCGGTCTTTCCTACGCTGAGGAGGGATCCAACAAGCTTGCTGGCGCCGTCCCCTTTGTCACTAGCTCTGTCAAAGCCCAAGTTGACGGCCCCAAGGCCAATTCTGTTCGCATTGCCTCTCAGTCCAAGCGCACCGCAGTCCAGAGCGACTGCACTGGCACTCGTCTGACCGCTGTTCGCAACGCCCTCTCCAACTGCCGCAGTCTTGCCACTGCCGCATCTACCGCCGCCTCCTCAGGCGCTGCTGCCAAGATGACCGAATACTTCAAGTCTAGCACATCATCCACCCGAAGCACCGTCGCCAATGTCTTCTCCCTTACTGCCTCCGAGTGCGGCTCTACCACTGGTGGCAACTCCAGGACCTACTGCTCGGACCCATACCCTGCCTGCAGCAATGGCGTCATTGCATACACCGTTCCTGCTTCTAGCTACATGGCTTACTGCAACTACTTCTTCACCATGCCCGCTACCTCGTCCGGATGCTATACCCAGACCCAGGCTAACACCTTTGTCCACGAGGTTACCCATCTCCGCCAGATCAAGGGCACCTCCGACTACGGTGGCTACGGTACGTAAAATTCATGGACACTACTCGTATGGATATCAGTTTCTGACACTCTGGCAGGTTACAACTTTGTCCGCGGCCTCACTGCTGCCCAGAACCTTAACCATGCTGACACGTACACTCTCTTCGCCCAGAGCCTGTATGCCGGCTGCTAGAGAAACTGTGGAGGGAATTGTGAATGAAGATGATATATGAATCGAATAGCACAATGTGAACAGATTTTATATACAATATGAACAGATTTTCTACACAATGACAATATGAGCAAATTTTATGCACAATATTGATAGATTGCATACACTATTCATTGGACCCTTTCAGTCCAAATTCAGCGTTTGGAGGTCTCTGAGCACGAGCCATAGTAATAGCTGCAAAGTTTCTATAACCAAGACTGGCTTGTCTAACAGCATGTTGGAAATTAGCACAAGCTTTTCGACGTAATAAATGACGGCCACATGGAATGAAAAATGGGCAATTAATGGAAAGCAATGAGGTCTAGTTATGGCTTATGAAGTGAAAAGTAGCTTAAAACTTTCATCTTAAAGTGAATCATCAACGACATGAAGAATTCGTCATCCAATCTGGGTCTGGTGGAGAAGGGCCAGCAGAATTTTGGCTGACAGAAAAGAAAATTGCCGTTCTAGACAGTGAGTCAAAGGCTTTGTTTTGTCAATGCTTCAGTACACCTTTGCATTGATTATGCCACAAAGTCTCTGGGTTCGTGATTAAATCGCACATGCAATGTCATTCACTTCTCTTTGTCTAGATGCTAATCACACCAGGTGCACATCGACGAGCAGACCTAGCTCGCTGGCCTGTGATTCAGTCGAGAAGATTTGAGTATAAATACCCTCTAGTAGAATTCAGTAAACTCCTTCTTCTTCTGAATCCTACAGACCGCTCCTCGCAGTTGAAATATCACGGCTATAGCAACTACCAAGACTCCAATCTCCACCACAAAGGTGAGTTTTTTCAACACTCCTCCCACTCCCTCCCCTTCCGAGAATTGTTCTAACATTGAAATTTTGGTTTGGAAGAACTTTCGAAATCTCTCAACAAACCAACAACACCTTCAAGATGGGCCTTGCCGAGCTCGAAGCCAAAAAGGATGAATTGATTGCTGAGGCCAAGAGTGTTCAGACGACCCTGGAAACCCTTGAAATGACAATGGGTGAAAATCCCTCTATGAGTGACAGGAAGGCTAAGGAGGTCCTCACGGAAGTGCGAAAAGATACGCAAGATGAACTCTTCAAGATCGAACGCGAGATATCCGATCTCATGGTCAAGGAAATGAGTGCGGAATAGAACATTATCTTAGCTATATCGTGTTGGAGATAGAAAAGGTGGCGCAAGGCGGCCGTATGCTGTCATGATTTTACCTGTGGGAATTGGACAGTTGGATAGTAGTGGATTATGTTTAGAGCACTTTTACTCAGTCCCAAGTCTGATAAGAGGATCTAATACAATTCTTAGTGGCGATGCCACCTGATTAATAAATCTTACTGTGTCCATTGATGCTGCGATGGTGTGAAAAAAGACGCCAAAACTGTAAACCTGCAACCATTCTACTCGAACTGGATTTCCTCGACAAATCCAAAGTTCTGGTGCGCTAAATCATAAACATTCCCTCCAGGCAATCTTAATGTTCTGTTCGTGGAGCGTATGATTCCCGTATGCCAGAGTATTAAGCCAATGGTTTTCAAGCTTCGGCGGTTTTCTGGGCGGCAGCAACACTTCTTCATTTTCCAAGATGCTCCCTAGATGACAGTTACTTAGTCATTGTAGAATTATCTCACGATTTGAAAATCAAATCTCCTTCAGAGGTGAAGATATTTGTGCCATTTTCCTCCACCGATGAGCTCCAAAACCTCAACATATTCTCCGAACATCCTTGCATGAGTGAACTGTGCACAAGGCCGAACAAAAGTCTGGCGAGCTTGTTACCAGAAACTCCATCAGATTACCCTCTCTTGGATGTCAGCACCATACCTTGGGGAAATAATCAGTGGATATAAGATGGATAGGTCTTCAGTTCCTAGGAATCTTGACGATCCTCAGCAGCACAATCATGCGGACTGTACCTACCAAGGCTCTTTAGAGCTGGCATTGCTTTTTCCAGACCTTCAATCAAACAATTAATTCATGCTCGGGAATCGGCAAAGAAGGAAATGCACGGATCAGACGTAGGGACAAAGACCGATGATGGCCCCATTCTTGTAAGGCTTCTCCTTGGCCAGTTCGCTCCTTGTGACTAGGCCCTGTCTGTGCATGAATCAAAGATGGCTATGGAGTACCGTTGTGATAATCAGCGGCAGCTATTCAGTGGCACAGCGCCGCTGTAGTCCAGTCTGTAACACAGCTGATCAACGTTCTGACAGCTCCAAACATACGCCTGCCTAATGAAGCAAATGATTGTCCATTGCCCCTGAGCTACTGCAGCGATCGCTGCAATACTGCGTAGCCAGGCAAGTGGGTTGGGTTTTGTGCGCAACAAATACGAGCGTGATTCGAATGGCATGAGTACAGCATGATACAGTACATGGGGCTGTCTCGTGTTTGCCTCCTCGAGAGGTGGAACGGGGTAAGCATTGTTGTATAACGATCTGCGGTACGAAACATCCATATTGATTCCGGTAGGGCTGGGCTAGAAGGCCTATATCTTCCTTAAATCCCTTCCTTTCGTCGAATTATGTGCTCCTTCATACCTGGTAGTTACATCACAGTCGAGCAGCAAGAAACATCCATCTCTTCGACCATCTAATACAATGCGCTTCTCCCACAATGCCGCTGTGGTTGCTGCCACCCTGATGGGGAGTGCGGTCACTGCCGAAGATTGCCCTACCTTGCCCATCGAAGGACCTTTTGCCCTTACTGCCGTTATGAAGGACAGCACAGAGACATATGCAACTAATATCGAGTACGCATCCCGTGGCGTTCCAGATCTAAACCCTACCACGACTTCCAATCAAACGTTCACTTGGAATGTGTAAGTTCTTATCCCTGGAACATGAAGGGGCTCTTCTTTTCCAGCCAGCAGAATAATCTTAAGATAGCGGAGTTGAAGACTGACGTTGAGTAGAAATGAAAGTCGGGTTATCATGGGCGGCAGTTCCTCTTATAAGTCTGGCAAAATCAGTGAAGGGTCTGTATTCTTCTTCTGGTCTGAGGGTTCTATGCCAGACAGTGGAGAGTGGCTCCTGGAGCAGACTGCATCTGATTGCGCTGTATATCTCGTCAAGGAAGGCAGCACCAAGGAAGAGGGCGTGTTTCAATGGAAGAGCACTCCGCCACAGAGCTCGCTCTCTCCAATCTCATGGTTGGGCTCCGTGGCGGAGGCGAACGCCGCCATTCGTGTGGATGTTACCAAGTCTTCTTGAGGGTATCTTGAGAGCTATATATCTGTGACAGATTTATTTACTTAGACCGTCAGAACTTCAACCCGGGCCGCGTGATCGCTTTGAGATCTAATTAGTTTTAGAATCAACGCTGTTAATTCCAGGTACGCCCGTTACTCCAACAAGGAGCGGCTTTAAATTTCTTCAAGAGAACCTCAGCATCTCATATTCCAAGCTGTTACTCAACTCGCCATTCATGATCCCATGTACGTACGCATCCGAAACCAAAGTCCAAGCTCCATCATTTCCTGGACGAATGACCACTGGCACCTTGCCTCCCTTCAACAAGGCGATATGGTCATGCTCCTCCACATGGCCCATAGCCAATCCAACATATCCATTCTCCGTGCGGATGACTGTCCGGCTCACCCCTGACATTCTCGACTGCTCCCTCTCCTTCCGCATAGTGAATGTCATCTTCACGGCTTTATACGTTAGCTTACCCATCCAGTGAGCACCCGCCGCGATCTTGTACAGTGTCCCCGACTGGCTCTCCTCTATCTTCGTCCAGCCATCACTTGAATATCTCGTCAGCTCAGCAGAATCCTGGAGAGGCTTGTACCACTTGTCCCATGCTTCTCTTGTCAGCTGCTCGGTTCCGTACGGGTAACAACCAGCATGGAGGGTTCTCCAATACACCTCCCTGGGTGCTTCCCCTGTAAAGTATGGTTTCCCGTCCGGTATTCCGCACATTTCCTCCCATTTGATCAGCACGTCTGAGCCTTCCTTCATAAGCGAGGCGATCTCAAGGTTGGCGTGGCCTGGCTGATGTTCATAATACCCTTTCTCAAGAACCCCGCCGGTTTCAACGATTCGGTCAAAGATACACCCTGAAAGGGAGAGAATCTTGAGATCCTCGGAAACGTCGACGACGGGGAAGCTGTTACCGCTGGCTGATGGCCAAGAAGCAGGGCAGCCTTGATGGTTAAACAGGCCACCCAGGATGAAACGAGGCAGGAGCGGCTGGGACCGCTCGCGGTACGTCCAATCGGGGACCCATGAAGGTAATGGAGATTCTTCCTGGCCGCAACCCGCGAAGCTGAGAACATCGAGGCAACCCTCAGAAACGATGCAGTCAAGGGCCGCCCTTGTGAAAACCTCGACGACATTCATGTCGTAGTTGGGCTGCAGGCTCACCCTCGCCAGATCCGACTCGCTGAACAGACTGTACACGCCAAACACCTTGTCTCGCGGGTCCGTGGCGAGAAAGATGCGGAAGCTGGTGAACATGTCCAGAGGGCGCAACGTTTGGCCATGTGCCATATCCGTCCGGGCTTTCTCGATGCTTCTCAGCGAGCTGTACATTTCAGGGGCCGTGTTTGAAAAGTAGTCCAAATCGATGGCGTAGCTCACCGCGCGATAAAAGTCGTCCCAAGACGCTGAATGCTGCCCACACAGGACCACGGCATGAGTCGCCAGCGCAACCTCCTGGATGATCCACGTCCGCAGAAACCACGGGCGCTGAAGCATCAGAATCAGGCTCTTGATGATCGCATTCCACCTCTTGTCCTCCAAGTCTCCGTTCGTCGTCCAGTCATTGCTCAGCACAAACCTCACCCAGTCTCTGGTCCCGTGCCTGATGGGCAGCTGGGTGCGCTTGAGGTTTTTCTGCGCCGCCTCGAGAAGGTGCGGGATCGCCCACAGGTCCTTGCCGTCTACCTCGATGGGACCGCCCAGCCAGACGTCCACTGTGCTGGCTCGCCGGTAGATGTCCTGCATCAGCAGCACCTGGGCGCCGCGCTCGGCTGTGTCGCCTTGGTTGATGCATATTGCGTCTGCCCAGACGATGCGTGGCTGGATTGGCAGCCGCAGCCGGACGAGGGCAGAATGCAGGCTTTTGGTGACGTTGAAGGGAATGCCATCGCAGGTGATCGGAGTCGTGTCGTTGGGGTCGCCCCAACAGTAGCTGAGAGCCTCGTATTCCGGCGGCTGGCGAACATCGGCGTGGTCTAGACCACACGAGACCGGGTCGTGAGGGGATCCCGGGTGGATTCTTAATAGCCGGATCGTGTTGGGCGGCAGAGGGGAATAGGGGTATGATGCCATGGCGGGTTTTCAAGGCGGCCCATTATTTGTAGTCGGTTGAAATCAAGTGCGTTCCATTTTGAATTTCTGATGAGATGGTGATCGATGAGGGCCACTCGAGAATGACAATGATGGGACAGGGATCACGAGCTGGTGTGTCACTGTGTAGCGTTGGGGCTGAGCTGCATGAAGCTGAGCTAGAAGTAAATGTCCAATCAGGATGAGGCTGACACAAGAAACTATTGATCCCTTGCTTCGCCACACAAGAAAGATGCTCAGCTTACAAGGTCAGTAACAGGCTGGTAGTAATATATCACTTTTGTGAGTATCTATAGCTACGATTAAGGCAAGGCTGCCAAACAATTGGAGCTCTCAACGCAGGGTTCGTCATATGGAAACAGAGATGTGCGAGGAGAATTGGATGAGCAGCGGCGGCACCAATTTCTTAAGATTTCTAATTCAGTCGATTCCTACATATCTTTGGCCTCCTGTTCTTCTAACTGTAGCCTCCTCTCTCTGGCTCCTACAGATTGGTTGAGTAGTCCAAATAGTATTCACTGTTAAACGACCAAGAAGGGCTAACGAAAAGAGGACGAAGCTGACTGTGTTGATACTTCTCACTTGATGATACGCCATTCCCCAGAAGCACTACGTATTGTAGTATGTGAAACAAGCGTTAGTTCTTTTGGAATTGAAGACCCAGTTGAACGAGTTTAAATTTTAGCAGCCAAAAGAGAGTTGTATTGCTGTTCCCATTTAGCCAACAAACCCGATAAACTTCCAATGAGAAGAAGAGATGGACCTAGTGAATCAATCCTGAATTTGACTTCAAAATCATCTTGAGCTTCGGGGTTATCTAGTGGTGCACTTTCATCATGGCTCTAATTTTACTGTCTAGAAAATACCCTTTTCAGATTTCCAAGTATCCAGACCACTTCCACGTAGCCACCCTAGAGCGCTTGACCACTTGACGAGAAGAGCGTCCTAAGAAGAGGCAACTTTTCAATCACGTCTCCCGCCAAAAATATGAATGAATTAAATAATTCCAATGCATGGAAATATTTTTTATCCGTCTAAATAAAATATGCTTGCCTGTGTATGGATTTGAACATTGCTGGCAATGAGGCTGCGGCACCCTCAGGATTTTTTACGAAATTAAAAGCTTCTCTATGCTTGAATAGGTGATACTTAAGCTAGTACGTAAAATTGCAAAAACAAAAATAAATATTGACTTTGAGTTAGAGATAAAAATTAGCACGAAACTTAATGCGTATTTAGAAAATTTCAAGGATAATAATTAGCTCAGGAGTAGAGTTAGGGGAGAACTACATTAGCGATTGCCTTAGGCTGGAGCTTTCGTAGGGGCGCTTCAGTGGTCAGTCCAGTACAAATATAGCGCATGCAATGTCCTTACTAAAAAGCACATGATTCGACCTGGAAAATGGCCAACTATTGATGCCTGGATACATCTTGACGTGTAAGAAAGCTGACCATGGAAGATCAGATACTCTGTAGTGTTAACAGCTCCTCGTCGATGATTGCTCACAGCCAACTACCACATGTCAGGCTGCTATGGGCAGAGGTTCAGGTTGAAATCACTGTACGGAATACGGAATGTGCCGTTCGACAGGCTTACACAGGAGTACGCGCCCGCTGGATTACTGATGCTGAGTTCGCGCCAGAGAACGGACACGAGGCGGTCCAGGCACACAGGCACACAGGCAGCGTACACGAGGGGAGAAGGGGTGTGTCAGCGTCCCGTCCCATCCCTTTGTTGGCTATGGCGATCCATCAGGCCGGATTGAGCCCAAGCCCCGACACTACAGCAGGCACTAGCGATTTCAGTGTCAGGTCTCGCCCCTTGGAGTTGGGCCCAGTCCTGTTCCTGGTGATGCTTTTTTCCTCGTGCACGATTCAGGGTCTAACTACAGGAAGTGAGTGATGATGTGGGCGGGCACCTGGTGTTTACCCCAAGGTCTGGATGGCTCTCTGTTCTCTTTCCCGTGTGTGTTCCTCCGTGATCGATTTCAGGTAATTCCCGGCTTCAGCTCTTCTCTTTTTGCATCGCACAGAGCATCTCTGCTCCCGGATAACGGCAATCTCTTGGCAGATCACCTGCAGGAGGGAAAAAGCAACTATCTCAGCCCGAGGCGTTCGTAGCAGATTTCTCCAGGTGAGGGCTTGCGCTAAACGTGCACCGACCAAGCCCCTGTCCATGTATTTCGGCACCTTGGACTGCAGGGCTGATCATAGAGGCCTTGGGGAAGAAAATGGATGCCCCAGCATTCCTGTGGCTGCATGTACGCCAAGCGCTGTCACAGGCCAGAGCAAACACAATTTTAGGTCCAAATATATCATACTCCAGCATCAAATGAACTTCTCATGATGCAAGTGAAAATCCTAGACGGCGAGTCTTTCTGTAGGTTTTTCTTTTCTGGAAGCGGGCATATTTTCAGTCTCTGTTTTCTGTCAATCCCTTTGATCCCTTCTGTCGCAAGATAAGATATGGGTGAAACAAGCCTCCTTGAATACTCGACTTAACCTTCCCCAGGAAGAATCATAGACATGGCTTGCGCATGACACAGACATTGAGGGCGAAGGGCTGACTGTTTCCCTGGAATTCACCATTCCAATACAAATTACAGTGCAGTGAAGAATGCTGGTCGTACTCACATTGCGTACGTTGGCTGGGAAATTCAAGTGCTGTCATTCTTGACGGAGGAAGTGGCCTAATATTATAACATGACCACCAGCGCACCTCGGCCACGAGACCGGGAGTGAAACCGACCCGACTCCTCGCCATTCCCTTCACAGATTAAGCCAGGAACTGCTCGTACTCCATTAGAAATCGAGTCATGAAGATTCACGCCCCTCGAATAAGCTCTGGAATGTGATGTGGAGCGACTCCCTACCCTATAAGCCTCCCTCCTGCCCGGAGGCTCATCCGACCGTTTCTGCCGTCGGAGGATCGACAATGGGGAGATTTAAGCTTTCCAACGTCCTGATGTCGAATTCCAGACGATGAGTTCGTTGCTACATGGATGATGGAATGTTGCGTCCCGTGGCTGTATGGTAGAAATCAGTTTAGTCAGGGCGGCTGGTTGCTGAGCAGATCGACAGCGTGGGCTGATGCTGGACCAATTGGCATAACTAGTTGAACCTCAGTTCTTTGGACTTTTCACAAGCGCCCACCCCTCCCGTGTGGACATCTGGTGAAAGATGTTGCCATAAACCTCAGGTATAGTACGGGAACTGGATTACGGCGGGACAATTGGCTATGTGTGGTCCTCTTGCCCACGAATCGATGGATGAAAGCGTGCTTGGGGTCGGTTGTCACCAAATACGCACAGAGTAGCTGGACCGGCGGATGAGGTTTTAATGCAGTTAGTGTTGGCGGCAGTAATACTCTAAAAAACGCCTCTGAGTGCGCGGAGGAAGCACCATTCTACCCACATCAGGCACGGCGCTGATGAGAATTTCGCTAGTGAATAACCTGCCCCGGTCTGACCTGGCTCAGACTCTCTGTTTCGCTGAGGCTGAGAATTACCTGGAGAAATGCGATGTGCCTGGTAGCCACAGGGTGGGATGTGAGGGGTGATACATGGGACGGAAGTGAATCATTCTCATGCACGGGGTATGTACAATCAACCCTCGTATGAATTTTATTGACCGGATTATGGATCACCTGATGGAAATATGCATATTGATTAGGTGTACCAGGAAATGAGGGCGTGGATCCCAAGCGCCCACGTTTTGCGCTTGGAGATGACTGAAAAAGGAGTAGAGGCAGCAAACAAAGTTAAGCATACTGAGAAAGCATACTCAGAAGACTCGACCGGCAGTTGCGACTTGGCAAAAACAGCCATGACAGGCCTGCAGCGCCCGGCAATCCGGCACAGACGTGGCGTTCTCTGCAAATAGAAGGCTTCTGGGGAGTGAGCTAGTGCAGCCACGAATGCCGGGATCTCCCCCCATGTCTCTGTTTAACTGGTGATTCTGCGATGGATTGACGAGGAGGGGCGTGTAGAGAGAGAGGTACAGTGGGCGAAATGGACAGTGAGGGAGGTCAGAGATGGTTCGGCGAGGTTGTACGTAACGCAGATGGGATGGTACACCTCACCAACGTCACACCAATAGTCTGGTTGGTGTGAGCTCAATGCAAAGCGCCGGAGGTAGAATAGGGAGCCCCCAATAATCATCGTCACATTCCCAGCCGCCTGCATAGACGAGGACCTGTGGAATCACGGTCGGGACGCTGATGGAAGCTGACAACAGCGGCCGAGGCCTATACAGCTCCCACCCTCGACCCCCTGAGAAAAACGAAGAACGGTCCATGACAGGGCTGGCCAATTTAGACATTGCTGTGCGCTGGGGCCTGTCGATCTTGCAAATCCCTTGTTCGGTTTTGCGGCCATCGTGCACCACCACCCAGTCTGCACCAAGCATGCAGCATGTCCATTCTTCCATTAGGCTGATGTCTCTGTCCATCCCTTCTGCGTCCGCTTGGAGCAGCCCTCCCAGCTCATCCATTCCGTGAATGAGGCCACCTCACGCGGGGCTCATCGTGAATAATTCTCCTACCAGATCGCCCAGCTAGCTCGAGTCTGGCTAGGCACATACGCTTGCCGACGGTGGCCCGTGGCCCGTGGGCACCAGACTGTTCGCTGGACCGGCGCTATCTCCTGACTAGCCGAAGAAATGATGTGCTGGTTCAGCTAGCTGGGTGCCGTCGTGGTCTGGACTATGGATCGGGATCGAGCTGGGCCAGTCTGCCTGAAGTCCTCGCCAGCTCGTCCCTCTCTCTGCCATGCACACTTCTCAGCCACTCCACCGTCGTTCGCCCAAAACCACCGGCCCAGGCACAAGTTGCAATAGAGGGTGCGGCGGGAAGACATCCCCACCCCACGCCCTCCCGCATTGGGCCGTTGCGAGGTGTGATCTAGATGCGTTCCTGTGGCTGTCTCGACCCCCTCGGGGCCCCTGACTGGACCAACCGTTCAGCTTCCCACACACGCCCAGCCAATTCCCATCGGGCGCTCGCTAATGTCCCGGACCATTGGAATTATCAAAGAGCGTTGCCCAGGCGGGACTGGAGCACCGAGAATGCAGCTGTAGCCAGGGCAGCGGTCTGCGTGAGCGCTGGGCCAGCTCGTTAGGGGCTGCTAAGGCCGAGGCTCCCGTCTCGTCCATGCCTGGATGGTTCCCGCGGCGATCGTGCCTCTTATTGCTTCCCAGGCCCTCTTCTTCCCATGACTATTTCATGCTCGCTTCCCTTCCTCATGTCCTGACCGTGTCCCTTCGTTATCAACTCATAGCTCTTCATTGTATGAAGACACCTCTTGGGTCATCCACACAATAGAGGTTTAATCGACGACATTAACCCTTGATCCCACCCTAGTCTCTCGCTCCACAAGACAAATTGGGTTTTCATCTACGCCCCTCGACTCTCGCTCGCACGTCCGGACCCGGACTCACATCTTAATCCACAATGAGGTATCTCAGCGTGGCCGTGGCGGCCTTGGGCCTGCTCACAGCCGGTGGTGATACCACATGCACGCCTCGCGACGCATCCGCCACTCCCAGCGCCAGCCCTTATGACGACTCAGATTATGTCAAGAACCCTCACTTCCTTAACCACCTCGAGTACTTCACATCTACTGGACAAGTCAGCTGGATCGAGAACGGCTGGAACGAAGAGGACATTGGCGGTGGTGCCGCCCAATTGGAGGGTGAAGCCAGCGGCGACGACGTTGATGAGACCGAGTCTGTAATTGAGAAGCGCCAGGTTACGAGCACATCCATCTCTACTACCGTCAAGAACCTGACTCCCAGAACCCCTTACACCTTCAAGTTCAGCTACATGCTCCTCTCCGCCTCGCCTGCTAACAGCTGCCGTCTGAGAGCCTACTTTGCAAACAACAACTACTACAACAGTGACAAATGGCCTCTTACCACCACCCCACAGACCACTTGGACTGTGATCGCTGCAACGGTTACCCCAACCGCCTCTTCCGGAACCCTGACCATCAGTGTTGATTGCGCTGCCAAGGGCAAGGCTCAGATCTGGGTTGACAACATCAGCGTCACCAAGGGTGCTCTGGTTACTTCCACCACCAAGACGACCAGTACTACCTCATCGGTTATTCCCACCACCACCACCACCACAAAGCCTTCCACTACGACTACTCCGTCCACGACGACTACTCCGTCTTCCACGACTACTACGTCGACTACAACTACTACGTCTTCTACGACGACTCCTTCCACAACCAGCACTCCCTCCAGCAGCACTACTCCCAGCACCACTCCTAGCAGCACCCCGTCATCTACCAGCACCAGCACCGCGGCTGCTTCCGCGACTGTCGACAGCACTGTCCTCGTTCTCGCCAAGGACGAGTCGACGGCTAAGCTTGGTAGCGATGGACTGCTAGCCTACGGAATCCCCTTCCAGCACCTCATCGTGCCCCAGGCTGGTGTCGACCTGCCCGTCCTCAACGACACCCTCACCCACGGCAAGTTCGGCGGTATCATTGTCCTGAGTGCTGTTTCCTACGACTATGGTACCGGTGTCGGCTGGCGCAGTGCTATTACTGACGCCCAGTGGGCCACGATATATGCCTACCAGAGCACCTTCAATGTTCGCTTAGTCCGTATTGACGATTATCCTGGACCCTCCACTGGGACTACCCCCGCTGCCGGAGGCTGCTGTGATAGCACAGTCGACCAGAGAATCTACTTCACCGACACCAGCTCCTTCCCCTCCGCTAATCTGGTTACCAACGCGCAAGTCATCACTACCGGCCTGTATCACGTCCCTGCAAGCATCACTGATGCCTCAACCACTCGGCAGATTGCTGCCTTCAGCGCTGTTTCTGGCAACGCTGGCGGTGTTGCTGCCGTTATCAACAACTTCAACGGTCGTGAGCAGTTCGTCTGGTTCATCAGCTGGGCTCCTTCTTGGTCCATGACCTCTTCCTGGCTCCAGCACGCCCACATCCACTGGATGACCCGCGGTGTCTTTGTTGGCAAGCGTAAGATCTATCTGAACACCCAGATCGATGACGTCCAGCTCTCTACTGAGGTGTACTACCCCACTGGCATTCCCGAGGTCAAGATCACGACTGTTGATCTCGAGGCCCATGTGGACTGGCAGGTCAGCATTAACTCACGCATGCCTGCTGGCTCGGACTACTGGCTCGAGCTGGGACACAATGGAAACGGTAATCTTATCAATGCCACCATTGGTGACACAAGGAGCATCTGCAACCCTGATGACGCCGTCTACTGGGACCTGGATGTCCAAGCACCCCAGGAGTGGAGGAAACCTCTGGGAACTGGTACTGATGTCTGGCCAGCGGACAAGGAGGTCTACTCGTGGTCGTCGACCTGCGCTCTCCTGGATCCCTTCGGCAAGTGGTTCACCAACACTAATAACCTCAACAAGTTTGGCCACATTTCTCACACCTTTAGCCATCTTAACTTGAACAACTGCACTTACCATGACGCCAAGCGGGAGATCCAGTTCAACCAAGCCTGGCTGAAGCAGATCGGTATTGACAAGGCCAAGCGTTTCACCGCAAACGGAATCATCCCTCCCCAGATCACCGGTCTCTACAACGGTGACTCCCTCCAGGCTCTCACGGATAATGGCATTCTCCACTGCGTTGGTGATAACACCCGTCCCCAGACTCGCAATCCGGACAGCGTCTACTGGCCTCTGATTACCAACTTCGCCACCAACGGCTTTGCTGGCATGGTCGTCATCCCTCGCTTCGCTTCCCGTATCTACTTCAATTGTCACACCCCGATGTGCACCCTGCTGGAATGGATCAACACATCAGCTGGAACTGGCGACTTCAACAACTTGCTCAAGGTTGAGAGAGAGTCATCGGTCCGAAACCTGCTTGCCCTCCAGTCCGACCCGTACATGTTCCACCAGGCCAACATGTATACCACCGGAAACGATATCATGACCATCGGTGACCAGACCCGCCGCATGTCGCTTGTGATGGCCTGGACCGAGACTATCGTCCAAGAGCTCTACCGTATTACCTCTTGGCCTGTCAAGACTCAGACCCAGGCTGAGATGGCCACCTACTTCCTCGCACGAAAGACCGTCGACGACTGCACCCCCAACCTGTCCTATGTCTGGTCTCAGGACGGCAAGAGCCTCACGTCCGTCGTTGTCACTGCCAACGGCAATACGTGTGTTTCCCCCATCCCGGTCACCATCCCTGCGGGCACCGTCACCGCCAGTGGCGGTAGCTTCACCCCTGATGTCGTCGGCAAGGAGCCGCCCATCATGTGGGTTACCCTCAACGGATCGCCCGTCACCTTGACCTTGGGCACCAAGGTCCCTGCCTCCTCCAACTCCACTACCTCCCCATAAGCGAGAATGAGATCTGGTCTTCAAAGAGGTCTCACTTGACGATTTGAAAAAAAAAGTATTAATATGTTGGCTATCGATTGGCTTTGAATTATTTGGATAACCGTTCTTTTCTTTCATCAGATGGATCCCATCCGATCTCAAACGTCTGCATTTGTTTGGTACTTAGTTATGTAGTTACGGCTTATCTACTGGTGTTATCTGAGCTTTTGGGAGCGTTTTCGAAAAAATGACAGATCATGATATTATGCTCTGAATGTCTATCAATCTGGCCGTCTCTGAATGAGTTCCTCCTGCTCGGGTTTCACTATGGGAAATAGTGCGTTCAACGAAGCGTGGGAATGCGATAGGTAGCGTTAGAAATGTTGCAAGACATAGTTTATCCTTGAATTGAAATGTTAGCCTTTCCATCATTCTCTTGCCACTTGACCAGCCTTTGACACCTACCGTTTGATGCCTTCCCTAAGAGTCTCCGAATCCACGCTGAATACCAGCCGGAATCTTCCTGCGGTTGGAGCGGAAAAGACTGCACCGCGGTCCACGAGGACGCCTGCTTCTTCGAATCGGCTCGCAATCAACTGCTCGGCGAACCAAGGGTCATAGTTGGCTCCTAGCGATGGGATGAACCCTCTCAAGTCAAGCCAGATGGCGAGACCGGAATTTCTGTACGAAGTAATTGCATTAGAGTGGTTGAGCTTGAGTAAAGGATGGAGGCTCGATTTACCCTTGGTCATGGAATGGGATATCGGTTTGTTTCAGAAGCTCCTCGGTGTACAGCCGGCCCTGTAGAAGCATACGCCGAGACTTTTGTAGGAATTGGCGGACGAACTGACGATCTTCAAGAAACTTGGCAGCCAGTTCCATGGAAAACTTTGAAGGTGAAGAAAAGCGACTGGAGGACGAAGTAGTTAGTTATCTGGTCACCTGGATGATATGGTCGGCGAGTGGACTCACGACACGGCTTGCACTGCTCTGGTGAAGTTCGTATTTTGCGAAATTACACAACCTAGACGCATTCCGCCGGCGCCGTAATCCTGTACAAGAATGTGAGCAATGAAGGCTGGCTTATGGACGATTGATCCTGCGCCACTTACTTTCGACATGCCGTAGAGGACATGGACCTGCCGAGAATCGATAATGCCCGAGGGATCGATGGATCGTACGGATGTAAACTTTTCAGACGGCCGATCTTCTCTTTCGTAGGTTGACAGTGCATATATTTCGTCGCTGATTAGGTGGATTTCCTTGGAAGCGCAGAATTCCATCAACGCTTTGAGGGTGTCGGGGGGGTAGCACTGGCCTATCGATTCGATTAGACGGTTATTTGGAATCGCGAACTGGATGAGAGTCCATAATCCTACCTAACGGATTGTGAGGGTTGCATATGATCAATCCCTTGATATTGCTTCCTCGAGCTTTGGCCTCTTCAAAGGCGGCGTCGTAGTCGGCCACTTCAAGAAGAGAGAACTGGTAGTCGCCTGCAAATGATACCCATTCTATATTTACTCTTTCAGAGGATTAGAAAATGAGATGTGGTCGTTGCGTGACTGGAGCTCTCACCCTGTTCTCATACAAAGATCCTTTTCGAAGCCTGAATGGCATGGCCGTCCGATCATGATGGCGTCGCCAGGATCGCATAAGACCATGGCACTGATTTCACTAAGGCTGGTGACGCCTGCTGCGAAGGTGATTTGCTCAGCATCGAAGTTGCTCACAGGCGCAAAGTACTCGTTTAAATGGTTGGCCATGGCAGTCCGCAAACGAAGGGTGCCCATGTCTCCCTTTCCGTACGAGCAATCTCCTTTATCAAATTGATTCTGGAGGGAGATCTGGTCAGCGGTGATCTTGTTTTATGCGGATTGTGATTTCTTACGTGGGAGTTGATGAATGCTGCCAAGTCACCGTGTATGAACCCCTATGTGCCAGTTAACATATCTGACTGTCCAATGATATTCATTGAGGATTGAGATTTAGGCTTACATTATGGGCATTGGTGAGTCTCACGACACCATTTGGATTATTCACTGGGTCGTAGAGGTCTTGGCTATGGCCAACATTGGATTTTGACCAGTCAGTGCCCCTGGTAGATAGCTTTGGGACTCCCTCGTCATTATTAGCATAAACAGGCAGGCAAACCTTCTGATTCAGGTTGCCGTCGACGAGCGCAAGCGTCTTGTGCTTTGGCTGCTGATCGAAGCGCCATTCGAAATTGAGCCGCGCATCGATTTCTTTCAGGAGCGTAGACTCATCACATAGACCCGCGCTGTTTCGTTGGCGCGCGATGGCAACAAGGTAGTTGCCCAACACTGCTTTGATGCTATCTGTTGGGCCACATTTGATATCTTGTGCGAAAGTGGTGCGGTCATGAACAAGTCCAAGATCTGAGCAGCCGATGAAGCGTTGTTGGAAACATTTTGCACGCCCGATGTATCCGGCACGGTTCGGTATCACCAGGAAAATCTGCCCGGACCAAGAAAGCTCGCTGGTACCCGAAGCGGATGATAGGATGGCATCTACTATGTCATTGAGCTCATCGCTGGAAAACCTTTAGTTAAGAGAGCCCCCAAAGCCTAGAGTATTCAAAAGAGTTTGGCGATAGGCTCACCTTTGGTCGACCTCGTGGTTGATCAGGCCAGCTGGCAGTGCTGGAGCGATAATGACATCGAGGGGCAATACTGTGTAGTCTTTCTCAGTATCTCGAGAGGACGCAATTATAGGAGACCAGGAAAAATTCGCTTGGACGAGAATTCTTCCATCGCCGCCATTCAAGCCTGTTCTTTCCTGACCTTGGCCGAGGGTGGGAGTTACTGAAGCGAAGATCGACTCGGCTATGATGTTCTTGGGGGCACCCATTCTGGATAAAGGCAGTCTGCCCTGCTAATGTAGAGAATTAAATGCTAAGAATTGAGGACTAGGCTAAGAGGCAAGGGGAAACGCATCCAAGGTCTGAATTCTCACTTTTGTTGGGGTCGAGGGGAAGTTGTATGGACCATTGCGTGGCTTACAAACCACATGTGAGATAAAATCAGAGCATCGCTACGTTGGACTAAGCATACTAAGACCTTAAGGAGAGGGGAAAGTGATCGACCTGCTTGATGCGGCCGACAAGTAGGGACTGTGGGGAATCCGCAAACCCAGGGTTATTCTGGGAACTTATGATGTCGTATCGTCACTATGAATTGATAGGCCTGGTCTTGTCTTGAGAAAGCTATTATAGATCCGGGATAAAAATGCTGTGGTTTTTATGACAGCTGAGATCTGGATAACATGTCACACAGCGGATATGTAGCCAAAGCAGGGATGTACATTGAGGAGGCATGTTAAATGTATTTTGTCCCTTCGCTATTTTTTGCATGACTCTCTTTCTGTAGAGAAGCCGAGCTGCCTTGCAATCTGGTTGATTTTTTGCATCCTCTTCATTTGTACGATGGTGGGTATTTGGATAAGATAAATATTGAATGAGCAAGAGGCCTTCCCATCTTCTCACTGACTCGTGACTCGTGTGTTAGTTCGACAGTCCCACTGCCAGTTTCACCGAAGAAAAGGGTGGGTAAAATCATTCATTTACCATCCAGTGAGAGCCGCTATATTATTGCTGACAAAGCTGGCCCTTTGGTGCCGAAATCGCACAGATTCTCTTGGGCTCGCCGAACGAATTCAAACGACCCTTTCCACTATGAATCAACGTCATTGTGTGACCCCAGGAACGCAGCTCTGGCGCATACATCCTCGCTTCCCATAATTCTGTGTGATACGCTCACGGACGGGAGCTGGATTGCCATGGCCCAGAGCCGCCCTGACACATCATGGCATTTCGTCGGCCAGGCTTCTGCATTCCCTAACGTCACTTCTGACAAGGCAGGCAGTCTCACTGAAAATTATCCATGTGGAGGTGGTCGCGAGCCGGAGCCAGACTCCTCCGCTACTGGCTGTAAGGTATTCTTTGTACCTGAAGAGAAAGACTCTGATGCCACGCTTGTCGACCTGGATGACCCCATCACGGCTCTGGAGCTCAAGAATCAGGTACTTATTTTTCAATACAATGGGAAGTTTCATGCTGTTGATCATGTAAGTACTCACATTGGCGTACCCTCTCTCCTTCTGCTGCCTGTTCGTCTGCCGATGGTCTACGCTCTCACCTCTCGCCTACGATGCTTACAATCACTCGATACTAGAAATGCCCTCACTCCTCATTCCCATTATCCCAAGGGACACCGTTTGACATCGAAGATTTCGGGGTTGTATTGAGCGCTGGGATCCAGTGTCCAAAACACGGCTGGTCGTTCGACCTCTTTACAGGCATGGCGGACAGAAGTGCATACAAACTCACAATATGGGAGCTGCAACTACGCCCTGAAACTGTGAATCTAGGCCAAGGAGAAAATAACCCCGACCAAGGAATCTGGGTTCGGAAGAAACCAAGGATGGGATAATGGAATATGAGTTAATCTCAGTGCTCCAAACCATATAATGTTTCTCTAGCATAATATAGCTAGGTGACTAGTAAACGCATGAAACATCTCTAAACTCCATTACCTGGCCAATACTGGGACAAAAAACGTTAATTAAAAAAACTAAATACATAATACCTTAAATTTAATAACTTAAGGTGTGATTAGAAAGTCTACTAAAGTCTACTAAGAGATACTAAATAGATATCTAGGTACTAATTTTAGTAGGGAATTTATATAAATATACTTATATATTATTCTATATTTAATATAACTTAATTATCCCTCTTTTAAATAGCTTAACTTACTATTTTCTATTAAATTTAATAATACCTTAAAATTATAGTATTTTTTAGGGATTAAGGAGGTTATACTATATAATTTAATATTTATTAATATATTATAAATTTATTAAATAATTAGTATCTTTACCTCTATTATGTATTTTGTTCCCGGGTTCGGCTTGGTCGCACAGGTTGGTGGTCTTCAACGTGACGTCAATTCTCCGTCACCATTCACGTCAACACTTGCCGAAATGGTATTTGAGCACGCGACCTTTTTGCTGCTTAAACTGGATGAAAAGCTCCCTTTTCCACTATTCTTTACCCTCTCACTGTCTAGAATGTTGTGATTTCATCCATAACATCCCTTCCTTATTTTCCGTAATTGACGACTTCCCTACACGATGTGGTCCTTCGTGCAGCGTCGTCATATTATCAGGCGGATTCAGCAAGCCGGCAATTCAAAGCCCAACGTCCTTGAGAAGGGAAACGTCCCGTCGCAGCGGAACAGAGAAGAGTCTCTTCCAAGTCGCGGGACCGAGGCTGGTTGCGAAAATCACTCCGCGACGGGACATAAAGAGGCATTCATCGTACGCAGCTCGGGGGAAGACGATCCCCTCGATCCATTGAACTGGCCCTTACTGTCTAGGGCCAAAAACATTGCGATACTCTGCTTCCTTATCTTTGTGCAGGGCTGGGCCGGCGCCGCTGAATCAGTGGGCAATTCTATAAACAGTCAAAGGTTCCACGTCAGCCCGACAGCAGAGAATCTGGCCACAGCAATGTATCTGTTCGGTGTGGGATCGGGTGCGCTCTTCGCTGGTCCCATCTCAGAAAGCGTTGGCAGAAACCCAACATATCTGGTGGCGACTTTCTGCTATCTTTGGTTCGTTCTCGGGTCCGCTTTAACAGATTCATTCGGTGGGCATATTGTGTGCCGTCTCTTTGTTGGTTTATGGTCTAGTGCTACCCTCAGCATCAATGGTGCGAGCGTAAGCGACCAGTTTCGTCCTGTTAAGAGGGCATTTGTCTTTCCTATTGTGGCTTGGGCGAACGTTGCAGGTGAGAGAACTAAATCCTATCGATAAGTTCTCGGTCCGTATCTTGCTAACCGTTCCGCCTCGCTTCTAGCCCCAGTCATCGGACCTATAGCAAACGGTTGGATAGTCTCCAATCCCAGCTTGGGCTGGCGCTGGACCGAGTGGGTGACCTTGATCATTTCCTCCACAGCGTTCCTCATTGCCTTCCTATTTCTTCCAGAGACCTATTTGCCTCTTTTATTAGACTGGAAAGCCCAGGAGCTTCGTCGCATCACCGGTGATACGCGATATACTTCTGAATTTTCCCAAAAGTCTTCAACTGCGGCCCGAATTCGACGGAATATTACCCTTCCAGCTATCTTCTTCCTCACTGAGCCTATTATCATCGTTCTTGGGTTTTACCTGGTTTTACTCTACATTCTGCTCTTCACATTCCTGTCAGGCTTCGACTACATCTTCAAGCAGACCTACCAGTTGACGGATGGACTCGAAGGATCGTGCTTTGCCTCTATAGCCGCTGGGGCAAGCGCATTTACGGTTTTAACCCCTGCCCTGTATGCTTGGGCTCGCTGGCAAACAGAATATGTCAGAGGAGCGCCTATTAAGCCTGAATTCCGACTATGGCCTGCCATAGTCACCGCTGTACTTCTTCCCATATCCCTGTTCTGGCTGGGCTGGACCAACTACCCGAGCATATCGATTTGGAGTGGCCTCGCTGCATGCTTTGTGTTTGGAATAGTATTGATTGCCATCTATATCAGCAGTTATGAGTACATCACCGACAGCTACCTAGATCATGCAGCTTCTGCTCTAGCAAGTATTACTATGCTCCGATACCTCATTTCGGGGGGTATGGTTATGGCCGCACGGCCAATGTACAACGGGATCGGAGTTCATTGGACATTGACTCTGCTGGGATGTATCGCTGCTCTTCTGGCTCCCGCGCCATTTCTTTTCTGGATTTATGGTCCCAAACTACGAAAGAAGAGTTCCTATGCGTTGACTGATAACGACCTCACATAGCGCCCTCTGCCCCATTTTAAGTGTCTCCCGTGCTCGACCACCAAAAAGGTATAGGGAAGCAAAAGAGATGCATCAACAGACACAGGCCCCTGGGAGCAGCCAGCCGGGGGTTTCTGTTTATTCTGCTCCGCTACCATGCAGCTTGTCAGGCTACTTGTATCTCTGTGGTGTCTGTGTTTCTGTCAACGCTTCAACAGCCATCGAGCATTTGCCTGTTGTGCCTTCAGGTCCACTATCGCGGCTATTCCGCACTGACGAGTCAGACAGGAACTTGTTTCAGCATAATCAAGAGCTTGACATTGCATAAATTTTTATTTTAGAATAAGTTGGAAAGCTGCAGATGGGAGCAATATAGTAGGGTGGTTCGTAAGTTGTTGAGCTAGAACCGCAGATATTAGTTGCTGGGATTAGGCCTTGAGATGCCATCGATCGAGGCTCTTGGAGGATAATTTTATTGGGCTGGACACAGGACAATATGCTACGATTTATGATGAACAGGTTAGAATAGCATCACCCGTACAATTTGTCTCTAGAAGGCATATTCAATAATTGAGGTAAATCCGTTGGCTTTAACGCTAATGGCTCCTCCCGTGTTAGTTGAGAGTATAACGAATATCGGGCTCATCTCAATACCAGTCCTAATGAATGACTATTTTAATGCAACAATGTTTAGGCATTGAAGGAAAGTAGTTAGCCTATCTCAACCGAGTAAATTCCCCGAGCCTCATTATGCAAAACGTCTGCATTTATGAATTCTGCTCGTCAGCCATTTACCATCATCCCACCATTTGGATGTAGGGTTTGCCCGCTCATGAAACTGCTTTCATGGCTTGCTAAGAAGACGAAGCAAGTGGCAACCTCGCTAGGCTGGCCAATGCGCCCCATTGGCGTCCATTCCTTCAAAGATGCCTGCGATTCCTTGCCCATCGAGCTAGCAATCAATGGCGTCCACACCGGACCTGGTGCTACGGCATTCACTCTCATGCCTTTGGACACCAGGTGGTTTGAGAGGGCACGCGTCAGCGCCACAACTGCGCCCTTGGTTGCTGCGTAGTCAATGTGTGTTGGTGGCCCGATGTACGCATCCACAGACGCATTGTTGATAACACCGCCGGTGATCACAGCACGCTTACCGCCTAGCTTCCCTGTAGGCTTATACATAGAAAGCCCCTCATCCGCTGGGAGGTGAGACTTTATCGGCTTGGGCTCAAGGTCTCGCTCCAATCCGGGCTTGCTCTGCTCCTGGCCGGGGTGTTGGTAGCCTGGCATGATTAAAAACAGGACCGTAATTTTTTAGTGTGGAATGAAATACCTGAAGTGAATTGGTCGTTGTCTGATTGTCCACCAACGGTTCTATTGACCTGTTCCTTGGCTTTCTCCATGGCGTGAGGTATGGTCACTTGCCCAATGAGTTCAGGGTTCATAGACAAAAGCTTGATAAGCTAGTATATGGAGGTTAAAAAAAAAAATCCAACCCCGACTATCAAATAACGGATTATTTATGGATTCTGAAGACGCCTGCAATGGCCCCAGCGTTATTCAGTATTGACGTACATCAGCTCTTGATGTCGTCATTGACATGAAGCCCTTCATGTCGGGAATGTCAACCTGACGTGTGACTTACCTCAAAAGTGAGGAAAATAAAGCGTACCCTGGAATACAAGTAGACAATAGGACTGTGGAACTATGTGGCAAGAGTGATGGATATATGACGCAGTTGGTTCTAGAATGATAGAAATCAGGATAGGCGGAAGCATTGGACTTATTAGATGCGAATTTAATACCATGTGAAGGAGTTAGCCGGACATCGAACATTTGGCCCAACATAATTAGCAATCATGCGTAACCTTCCTCAGCGACGACGAAATTCGTCTTGCAGCACTTGCTTAGATTCTCCGGATGGCGACGTCTATTACGGTAGAGACAAAGACATGCAAAGAGCTAGGTCCCTGAGTTGCGGAAAGTGTCACTCTAAACACCCGCACTCCGACGAGAGATGAGCTCAGTCCCTTGACCGATTACATCACTCTAGTCGCCGGAGCCGCCCGGTGCCTCCTCGCCGGGCCCAGCATCACGATAAAAACAGACGCGACCAAAGCGAGCCATAGTCCAACAAAAAACTAGATCATGCCGTTTATGCCGCCATCAACGCTGCTGCCGTGGAGGCATTAAGGGTAAGAAAAGAGCCTGGCGAGTGGGCTGGGACCAAGGGAACGAGAGTCGCAACGGCGGCAATGAGTGCGGCAGTTCTAGACGTGATAAGTGATGGCCATTCGGATTCACATAGCAAGCGGGGTTTGGCAAAGTCAGTTCTGGGTGGTCTTACTGTTAACAGGACATTAAATGGGCCTCGACATGAGCATAGATAAACTTTGATATTGAGATGGTGGCATACGAGGGCTGAGGCTTACAACCGAGGAACACTGAAAATGGGACAATCGGGTTCTATCACAGCCGGAAATTGAAAGTATATTTTACAAAATTGGCCAGTGCCAAGTCTCGCTGGTGAAATTACTGGTATCAAAGGTGGCAGGGTATAGTTGTTTGCCCCCGCAGATGGAACCTCCTTCTTTCTTGTCTTCTTGGATAAGGCGTATTGAAGACAGTTTTTCACATGCAACCATCGATGCGCACTTAATTAGCCGACTGGGAAGATTCCTTTTGTAAATTAAGTCATTCCACCAGATGGGACAAATGATCGTTTATCTGCCATTTTCGTTCGCCAAGCCTAAACGGTGTTCTACCCCCTAAGACACGATGTCCGCAGAAGGCTGCACGCAGTGTATGGAGTGCTCAATTGTTTGGGCTATAACTTGCATGAGGCTATAGCCGTGGGGGCCGATTGGGATGGTTTGCATCACTACAGACTCGGCATATTCACTAGCAGTCATTAAAATATTGCTTAGGTTCGATGGAACTAAAACGGTAGCGAGAGCCGCCTATCCCCCCACCCCGGGGCGACTACTCCTAGGCTGCTGGCTCTCTAGTCCTCGCGTATGTCTATAATACCGACATATAGATTAATGGTTGCGGTGCAAACCACCAGTATCCCTATTTCCATGAACAACATTGGGGACTGCGCGCTCAACATCCTCGGGCAGTATTTCTCGCCCATCCTTGGCGTGTGTATTTTCGGTAGATTGACCGAGGCCAGAGCGTGCTTCCTGGACCTAATACTCGTTTTTTAGCTACTGGTCCATAGATTCCTGGCGGCCGTTAATAGAATTCGTGCCAACCTTCCGTGGATCCTTCGGTGGTTTCTCTTGTTTCTTCCCGGAGCCATTGGAGTGTGGCCGAGTTTGAGAATTAGGGTTATACTCATCTCCCTCTAGAGTCTGATCGTCCAACACAGACTTGACGCTAGATGATTCAAGGGTGATAGGGAGCGACATCTTTGCACGTTTGCAGTTGCTTGACAGGCAGTAGTGTGCCGTGTCAACTTGTCAAAGGCTTTAGTGAGATAACAAAACAGAGTATCAAATAATTCTGATTCAAATAAATAAATACAATTTCTTAAAAGGTGTGAGGTCCTCAATGCACTGCAGGAAAAGTGGCGCCGGGTCCTGTGACGTATTGGAATATTGATGGTTGTGTAGCAGCGGTGGTTGCGAAACGCCCATAGGCTCATTGAGTACGTCACTGTGATCTAACCCCTGCCGCATACATTACCCAGTAACAACCAGGGGAATCACAAACTCTTGTGTCGCCATATAGTACATCCTTTACTGACAATAGCAGCTTTACACCAAAAGCCATAACTGTCACTCTTTGGAAAACGATATCTCAATTTAGACCCTAGATGAGTTTTTAATATCACCCGAAAACATTAATTGACAGATGATATTTAATTATGCCGTACACAATGATGAAGAATGAAATCCTTTTGAAGAATACCGCCGCTCGTATTTGTGAGTCTTCGCCGGCGAGTTGGGTGATGCTAAAAGGGGTGAGTGTCACCATAAACTTCTCGTCTTGGTAAGCACATGCGGCCTGTCCCGATAGTTGCTCCATCCGCTTCAAATCTGCCTCGAGATGCTCTGTATTTGCGTATGTGAACGGTCAAGATATAATGCAAGAACAGATGGCAGCAGCTTCTATTCGCTACGGTATTGACGATAAGAGCTTGGCAGTAGAGGGGTCTAGTGTTGCGAAGAAGACTGCTACGAGTCGTCGGAAGCCATGCTAGCATGGAGGGTTTTGTGAAGGCAGTCCTTGCTACTGGCTTCCAGGGTTGGTTTAGAAAATGACGAGAGATTCCTTCCAAAAAAATCTACTGGACTTCAATGGATGCACGCTAACTTTGGTCCCATTGAATCTCGGGCAAAGTTTTATTTTTATTTTTATGCGAACTCCCTTCCAACTCTACAATCTATTCAAGGCGCGAATTCAGGACGTCATTGTTGTGTCTTGAACCCGGCGACGGAACGTCATTTGTTACATCATTGTCACATCACCGCATCTGATTTCAATACATCCAATGGGGAGCCGTTGAGGGTCCCCCTTGATGAGATCCGCCAACAAATGGACTATCTAGACCGAGAACACGCTGAAGCATAGGCCCGTCCAAGCAGGAAACGCCGCGCTCCACTATCGCCAGGCAACTGGTATCTCAGAGACCCGCTCAGGAACGCGTATAGGACTCAGATTAAACACTACTACGCCGCCGATCGAGCCCGCCAAACGGGAGCAGCGGCCCGGCACGATACTATCACGGTACTGGAAGATGAAATTAGGCAGATAATTACAGCTATCACACAGCAACACACAGTAAAGCGTTCCCGCGGAAGAGCTACAGGACTATAACCATAAGCTGAGGTGGGCGAACTCGCCTATCGGGAAGCAGAAGTGGCGCCTCAGAGGCAAACGCCAGTTTCCGCTGAGCAGCTTGCCCACCCTCCACAAGCCCCAATGTCATCGGCAACCCCACAGACCCCGCCTTCCCGAACCCCAGCCTGTTGCGATTCTCCTTGTCTCCGTGGGGTACGCTCTTGGGCACGTCGGCGATCGAGGTGGTCCAATGTGCGTCGCACTTCGTCTAGTGATACCCTAATGGCCTCTTGACGGAGTCGATGGGTGCCCTGATGTGCTCGGGAGCTTGAAGCAATCGAGTAGGTCCGCCCAGGCGTTTATCGGCGTCCGTCTCAGATACGTCAGCCGTCGAGATCTTCTAGCAAGCGGCGAATTTCATCTATTGGAGCTCTGACCGGCTCTTGGCGAGGCATTATAGAATATCGTGGATAGTGTTGGTCGCATAGGCGTGTACACTAGGGGCGTACACTAGGGGCGAGAAAAGAAGAAAAGGGGAAAGAGAGGGGGTAAGTATAGACGGCTATGCTTTGTATGAAGGAAGGGTGGCCTGGATGAAGGGGCTAGAGATGAAGGTAATATAGGAGATGTTATAAGTAGTGTGGTGACCTGACTACCTTATTTTAGATTATACTATTATAGAGATGATGATAAATCGTGAGGGGATATCTAAAGCTAAGTAATATAGTTACATGAAGTTATCTAGAGCTTTAATAATATATACGCTTATCCTAAACGTAATCTATTTTAAGGGGTACCTTAATAATAAAAGGGAGGATAATAGATAGAAATAGAATATAGGAAATATATGGATGTAAGTCGGCCTTGATGGGCCTAGATGTTTCCTATTTTTTCTAGGAATTCCTTTCCTTCCCTTTCCCCTCTACCAGCGTGAGGAAGCGAGGGTCGAGAGCCTGTGGCGCCTGTGGCTACTGAGATGTGGCTCAACAAACAAGAAAGGAGGCTCAAAATGGCTGAAGCACCATGGGGCTTGGAAAAGCTCAGATCGCCGAGCGAACCGTGCGTAGAGGGGGAAGGAGGGCGCGGGAAGAACCTTTCGGAACTTCGTTCCTTCAGGCAAATGGCGCTCGAAGCGATGGTATAAACTAATAAATTAATATAACAGGCCCTAAGGATAGGATATTGGCTCAAGGACATGCCATTCGCGACTTTGCGCACGCAGTGAGGCGAGCCACTGCTCTTTTCTTGCTATTGATGCCAACAAACGGAAAAGGCAAAAGACTCCATCTCCTCTGTGTGACCACGGTTTTTCACGGACCAGGTTTGATCGGGGGCATAGGCACGCGATTGCCCGCCTGTGCTCAAGGCGTGTTGGGAGTGTAGAGAGCCAGTCACGTGTTTGAAGTTTGCCAAGAGTCCTGGGTCAACTATCACACATAAATAGCCACCTAGTGCTAGGTTGTCCCGGGACACGAGACGTCATCGACGATGGCTTTAGTCAGGCCGTAGTAAAGTGGCCCTAGCCCGGCGGCTTCGCCGAAAGAATGAGAACCCGATTGAATTGATGTCTACGAGTGCAACTCTAATCGAGCTCAAGATACACACCCAAAGGCCTGCCGGCCGCGGTCTGGAGCAAACGCTCATTGCTCTATTAGCGACCTTTAGCGACCTCCACCAAGGGGACGATATATCCATGCCTACCGCTCCTTCGAACCACAACAGTGTTCCTAAGGCTCGCGACACATCTTCTAGAAAAAAAGGTCTCTATAATTGCTATCTCACTCATTCTCAGCCTGGCTATAATAATCATGGTAGTAATATAGGCAGTAACACAGTCAGCAAACCTTAGGGGCTGGTTCCTTCAGATAATTCTGAGGTCGATAAGTCTTCACAGCTTCACCGCAAGGAAAACGCAAGAACTACTCTAGCCCTAAGCAAGACGTGGCCTCAAACTGCGATTCTGATATTCTTGAGGCAGTCAGGGAGGACTACCCGAGTACCTTCGAACCCGGTCGAGGGTTAAGAATGCCGTGGTTGCGGCAATCTATAACCACTGGCTTGTTGAAGCAAGAAGGGGTAAAGAAAGTCCTTCGTGGACTGGACATGCTGTCACTTCAATTCAGATCCTCATAACATTGTATTCTTGAGAGAAGCTATATTCGAGAACAACCAGTTTTCTATTTCACTCGAATGGAGCTACTTATTATATTAACTTTTCTACTAAAAAATCCTAATACTATAGATCCTAATAAAGGTAATATTATAATACTTAAATATATTATTTATATTCTATTACAATACTTCCTCTTAATCTAGTAGGTACCCTAAAGGATAATTTAATGCGGGCGGGGAGGATTGGCACAATCTTGGGTGTGAAGCGAAGGGGGCTCACGTGATACAAATTGTGATGAAAGCGCTTAGTAACACATTCTTGGCGATGTCATTTCACCTCGAACAAACCCATTTCTCTCCTTGCTACCCTGCCTTATCCCTCGAGGTACTCATTTCACACTTGTGCTCTGTCAAGGCGTGCGATTTGGCCCGCGGATCGCACCATCATGGAGTCCTCACTCTCGTACCACGAACCATCCGTCGTTATTATTGCCATTCTGTCTGGCTTCCTCTTGTTGACCAATGTGGTCAATTATGGGTTAGACAAGATTGCTTACTGTGGCCTCATTGGTCAAGTTGCCATTGGTATGGCCTGGGGTACACCGGGTGGAAAGCTACTTGATAGCGATATAGAGAATGCGGTGATGCAGTTGGGCTATCTCGGTCTAATTCTTCTGGTCTTTGAAGGTGAGCCCCCTTCCGTCTGTACGGGCTCTCTCATCCTAACGTGTATTAAACAGGTGGGCTGGCAACATCGTTCAAGACCTTGAAAGCCAATATTGTCCTCTCGTCCGGTGTAGCTCTCACTGGAATCGCCGTCCCGATGGGATTTTCGTTCTTACTGCAATCCCTGGTCGGCGCTTCATCGCTGCAAGCGTTTGCTGCTGGGGCTGCTCTTTGTTCAACTAGCCTCGGAACGACTTTTACAATCTTAGGAACCAGTGGTCTTTCATCTACCCGCTTGGGCGTGGTATTGACAAGTGCAGCCATGATGGATGATGTTGCAGGGTTGATAATGGTCCAGATCGTGTCAAACTTAGGAAATGGTGGTGAATTCAATGCCGTTACTGTTGTCCGACCGATCATGGTTTCCATTGCCTTTGCACTCCTTGTTCCTATTGTCTGCAGGTTTGTTGTTGTCCCCGTCACACTCAAATTAAACCAGATACGGGTTTCAAACCCAACTTCAAACATTGCTCTTCTCCTCAAACGGCCACAGACCGCTCTCGTCACACACACCTTGCTGCTTCTGGGACTGGTAATTGGGGGAACCTATTCGGGAACTTCTAGCCTGTTAGCAGCATATATAGCTGGAGCTGCAATTAGTTGGTGGGATTCAGAAGTTGATCACCCCAATACAGTGCATGGAACTAGCTACGAGGGACCGGAGACAGATTCAACTGGTGATAACGAAACCAACTCTGCGACCCAATCAATACCAGGCGAGGACCGAAGTCAACCAGAAGACCCAATCAACCCACCGGTGAGCGACGAGAACAGCAGCATGTCAGGAATGAGCATGTACGAGGCCTACTACCGTCCCGCTGTCGAACATGTTCTTAAACCATTCTTCTTTGTAAGTCAGCCCCTTTCAGCCCTTCAGTTATGAGTGTGGACAATTTGTGACCAAACAGGCCTCTATCGGATTTTCTATCCCCATCACCAAAATGTTTTCTGGGTCCGTCATATGGAGAGGGATTATCTACACCATTCTAATGATAGCCGGCAAGCTTCTTTGTGGCGCCTGGCTGGTCCCAGTCGGTGGCCCCCTTCACTTCATCACAAGTCTTGCCAGGCGCGTTCCTATTTTCGACAAGCTTGTCTACAAACCTTCCTCGCCAGGCTCCCAGTGCGCGAACTCGACCCAGACGACGGATCAAGGCGCCGCTACTCAGTCTGGAGACGGAGACAGCCAGGATGGAGTGGACATGAATACACTTCCTGGCCGAGCATCACAGCGCACATCTGCCGAAACTCGGAATTCAACGCCCAACCCAAAGCAACCAAAGTCTGTATATCCTGCATGTATTGTTGGACTCGGGATGGTCGCCCGCGGCGAAATTGGGTTCTTGGTTGCTGCCCTGGCAGAAAGCAAAGGCATTTTTGGCCGTCCGCCTGGCTCTAGCCAACCGTCGGAGTTGTTCCTCGTTGTGACGTGGGCCATTTCGCTTTGCACTGTGATTGGGCCCGTTTGTGTTGGACTTCTCGTGAATAGGGTGAAGCGCTTAGAAATGCTGAGCCGTCAAGGCTCGGCTGAGGGACGAGAAAATGTGCTTGGTGCTTGGGGAGTCATTTGAGAAGGGGGTATTGCAGCTGATTTGAAGTCTGGATAGTTCGTTTAGCCTCTAGTTTCTATATGTCATTGGGTGTTATGAGAAGCAAGCCTTAACATATAGTAGGATGCTCATATAATATTTCGATCATATATGATGTGACAAAGAGAATGACTCTCCCCTGCCCCCCTACCCCCCTTGCCTCCCGAGTACTTATCATCAATAACTAGCCTTAACCCATTATTGATTTATTCTTTAATTCTCTTCCACAGACCTGAAGCATAGGTTTGGCAGTTTTGTCCTCTGCCACCGACGCTAGCTGCGAGGGAATACTCCTGTCCAATGTATGCATCACTCTCCGCTTTCACATTCACCCCCTGCCTTACCGCGCCTAGGAACGATACGTCGAAATTTGCTGCCATATCTGCCCTCCAAGGACCGCTGCTTATTTTGCACTGGCCTTTATTTGGCTCTTTTGAGTTTTTGGTCACTTCATAGTATGCTGTATCGGTAAACATGGGTTTGCCATCGCCACCTAGCTTGTAGGTGCCGACCACCAGACGGTGATGAAGGAAGTCATTGATATTTGTAAATTTGGCCTTTTCCAGTAAGGCGTAGCGTTTCCCAGCAGTGAAGGTTGTCTTCCCTGCTGCTTTGATGAGGATCGCGTACCTAGGGTCGGGGGCATCAGAGTTGCCCGGCGCCTTAGCCGGCGATTTGCGCTTGGGACTAGGTGGAGCGCGCCCAGCGAGTCTTCTGCTCGGCTTGTTCAACGAGCGAGCACCAAGGCGGTAGCAGTTGTCTTGGTAGTCGTATGGCTCAGGGTTTCTGACCCAGGCACGGCCGTTATGGCTCCTGTAGGTGGTCTGTCCAGAGTCCCGTTTTGGGAAGTAGATCCCACCACGTTCGTATAAGGCTGGGCGGTATTCCCTTGCAGTAGAAACAGCTACTGTAGAAAGGACCGAGAGAAAGACGGTGAGGATATTGAACTTCATAGCAGCGATTATGAACTGAGTGAGGAGGATACAAGACAGGAGAGTAAATTCAGAAAGAACGAAAGAAAGTTGTGAATGAAACTGCTCGAGGATTGATACGACTACGAGTTACACTTGAGCTGACTATGGACTCTTCTTATACTAGCTTGACTGGAGAGGGCTCTTCGGTTGTTACAGCATCTGATCAACGATGGTTCAAATTTGACAGATAACACCGAAATCAACGCCCAGGATCCATGTAATAGGTGGTACACATAGTGGCAAACAATACTAGTTTCGTTAGGCGTAGCCCTGCTTATTACACCTAATGTGGCAAGATGATGGTTGACATGCTTCTTCTTTTCAAAGCCGGTGACTTGGACACATGGGTCGTTAATCTATTATTAGTTGCTTGAGCTGAGGTAGCCCATATTGATAGAGTTATAGTATTGTTTCCGCCAAGAAGCAGCTTGATTCATTTTACACTCAACCAACCAACATGCAAGTTACTCGCTGCATTTAGCCGATTGTGGACCAAGTGCCAGCTGTTAGGCGTGAACTAAGATGAGTGACCAACCGAGAAACGGGACTTTCACTGTCAAATTTGCGCATCATCCTACCCGATGCAGAATGCTGGCTGCTGGTTTTTGGCTGATCCTTGTCAAAACGTCTGCCAGGGGCCGCCTGTGGGCCCATTAGAGGCTTAATGCTGGCAAACCTCAGACGTGGGGTGATTGATCACGGCCTTGATCGTTTTTTCTTCCTTCATCCGACGCCATCCCGCCAGCTTTCCATGCCTTGCCGTTGTCCTCCCTCTTTCATCCTACCGACAGTCTTCGCATGCCCAACAGCACAGACCTCCATTCATTGACAAGCAGCACGTCGTGACTGAGTTAAATTCTGGTGTGCACACTCATACATCAGAACCAAACTTTTAGCTATGTCTTTTCTCTATGGCTCCCGCACTATTGATAGGGCCTTGAACAAAATCCGGCCTCCTAGATTCACGGGCAATCGAAGTCCAGCATTTCAGGAGAGCCGACGAAAATGGCTCAGAAACATAACCAAAGGTGGGTATTCCTCCACTGCCACTGTCTAGACCCTCCAGCCAAGCGAACTTCGTGGAAAAATCTGACTGGCGAAAGACTCAATATGTGCTGAATACGTCGAATTCATCTTGAATGGTAAACCAGGATACGGAAGTATCATTAAAGGAAGCGAACTGAAAGCTTTGAAAGAGACCTTTGCTGCTCATGCTAATGCCGATAACAGTAAGTTGCTCTGCCGTCTGCTCTTTGTTACATCTTTTGCTGATAGTTGGAGCGCAGCATGGGACCTTCAGTCACTTCAGGCTTGCTTTACGGCACGGATTCCTCAAGATGAGAAATTTAAGAAGCTCCTTGAAAGTTGCGCACCTTCTCTCTGGACTCTAACCACTTACTTCGCCCAATGGCCCTTTAATGACGCCTTCTCGAAAACACCTGAACCAACAACCCTGACGTACCAATCCTTTGTCCGCGCCATAGCCTTCCTCTGCGGTAGGCAAACAAGCATGATTTGGCCTACTCAGCTAGTAGAGAACGAGCCCGAGCCGACCAATTTAGTGGCACTAGAGCACATCTTCCGAGCGTTGGCTGTAACTACGGAGATGACGAAACAGGCTTCTGATTCGAGTTGTGAAGATGATTCTGTATTGTCGCCCCAACAGCGCGAGATATTCGACGTTCTATACACAGTGCAACCGACTGTGTCGTGGTTCACTGAAAGACTGGAACCTGAAGAGCTTATTCCAACAGCCCGTTGGCTGTCACCCTCCCACCGTCCGGAACTGTCAACCTTGTCCATCTCTACTACGACCCTCATTCCGCTCTTTGACTTTATTACACCGCTTTTAGAGCATACTCAATCACGTTGTGGTGAGGTTTTGACTAAGAGGTTCAAGGTCGTGAGATCCAAGGTACAGAATCTTGAGGAGGTGTCGTTTAGCGACTTCATTGAGTGGTCAGGTGACGATAGCAGATATAATTTTTATGATTCCGTTGCCATTCTTTTTGGCACTGTTCTCTATCCGGAAAGCTTTGGGAGATAAAAGCTGTCTATATCGGATCAGCGGATAGGATGAGAAATAGCACCTAAGACTTTTCGGTTTTATGGTCTGCACTTCGGGTTGAGTGGTGCCTTAATAGTTGGAGGGTTCGATGGTTTGGGTGCTACTAGAATGTACGATATCGGGTACTCAGCCACAGGTCCCTGTTATTAAACTTAGGTACCTGTAATCCCGTTATTATTTTATCAATAAAAGAGATGATTATATCCTCAGATAAACAATCAAATAAGTATTCTTATCCTAATTCTCTCTAATATCGCTATACGCATCCGGATGTCAGTCTTACTCTGCTGACGTTAGACAATGATTATTGATGTTTGACAAAACCACAAGGGCTGGGTAATGCCACTACGGTACTTATATCTAAACTACCGTGGAGCTCGCAAGTCCTCTGTAATCGTTGAAAAATTGTAGCAAATTGCTTCTCTGAATATAAATTAGCCATCCTCATAGGCCATGGCATTATCATGCCTTGTAGAACCACTTATGGCATGCTTGATTTAGGGAGTTCTGATGTACTGGCGCATAGACGCTTCCTGACATAATTTGAAGGGAGATCTTCATTGGAATTTCGCAATGAGTTATGTACTTTATGTCCCGGACGGACATGGAGTATCGCTACTGGCGGACATGGTGCCCGGTTCGGAGTTGTGGACCAATCACAACACGATGACGGGCTTCACATTTAGACTTCAGTGTTGAACCGAGATACTCACAAGTCCGCCGCATTTCCACGAAGGTTCAAGCAATTCCGCATAGCAACCGGAACTACGTCAATGGAAAGTATAAGAACAAGGTGCTGCCACTCACTTTTTCGTTTCAATCACCGCCCTCCCATATATTTTTGTTCCTTAACATAATTTAGCCTTGTCTTCTCCGTTAAATCCCGGCGTAATCAACGATGGCCAACTCCCCAAAATCATGCTTGATAACAGGCTGTTCTGAAGGCGGAGCTGGTGCTGCCCTTGCAGAAGCCTTCGCAAAGAAAGGATATCATGTTTTTGCGACAGCACGATCTCCATCCAAGGTGCCACGGTCACTACACGAGACATCCAATGTCACTGTTCTCGCACTTGATGTTGCATCTTCCGAATCTATCGCAAGTGCAGCGGAAGAAGTCCGAAAAAAGGCAGCTGGGAAGCTAGATGTTTTAATCAATAATGCTGGGATGGGGTTGAATGCCCCTGGTCTGGACACGTCCATGAGTGATGCGCGAAAACTCTTTGACATCAACTTCTTTGGGGTGTTGGAGATGATACAAGTATTTGGTCCTCTGTTGATAGAGGCTAAAGGATTTATCGTCAATAACTCTTCAGTTGGAGGTCATTTGCCATTACCGTTTTTGAGTACGTATCTTGTTGACCCTTGTACTTACTAAGGTCATGATAACCTTGGGCGCAGAGTCTAATCTGTTCGTATATTTAGGCGTATACCAAGCAACAAAGGCCGCTGTCATACAAGCGAGCGAAGTATGGCGGCTTGAACTGGCCCCCCTGGGTGTGAGGGTTCTGACGCTGCTCACTGGCGGCATTGCGACGCATTTCGTGGACAACCAACCTACTCCAGCGCTCCCCCAAAACTCGTACTACCTCGGAGTCAAAGACGTGATCGGTGCACAACCAGATAATATACGTTTTGCTGTCAGTCCAGAGGCTTTCGCAAACGATGTGTTGCGACATGTCGAGAGAGGGACAACAGGCAAGCTCTGGATTGGTGGAGGAGCTGGCCTTCTCCGCCCACTTCTCTGGTTCTCCCCCCAGAGCCTTATTGTATGGCCTCCCTACTAACCTATTATACCTACTCCGAGTACTAATATTCGCTATTTTAGGACTACTTGGCGCGGGGTATGAAGCCTTTTGCCGAGAAATTGGCAGCCGCGCATGAGAAATCTGCCTAAGTAAGGAGGCTGAACGGGGAGAATCTTCCCTAAGAAAGTCAATAGATTTCCTAGATATCTTGTTGCGTGTGGTCTGATTCATTCATTTTATTCATCTAATTAAACCCTCGGTCATTCCTATTTCTCGACAACCTAGATTGGGGGCATCTTCCAACTGAAATAGAGCAGCGCATAGTCCCGTCTTTTCTATTCTAATTTTCCAATCATAAGTCTAAGTCAATACATAACCGCTTGAACTTCTTGCTCATTTTCTATACGTATACTCATTCATACGGAAAATTCAACGTGAGAACTCCGATCTACTACGTCTGAGGCCAGCTTGCTCAAGCTTGGGCTCTGCATGATATTGAATATCGACAGCTCAGCCCCTGCCTGGCCGAAGAGCATGTTGCGCACCTCCACAGCCACAAGGGAGTCGACGCCCTGCTGTGAGGGTGATTGGGTCAAGTCAACCTCCTCAGCTGGAACCATGAACATGTCTGCCAGCATATCCGCCAAGGCCGAACCGACCACGCGGATGGCCTCTTCCCGAGACGAGCATGCCGCCATCCTTGCGGCCAAAGTGTCACCCTCACCCTGCTGTGTCTGATTCTCAACAGCTGTTGCTGAGGTCTGACGATACTTGAGTGGCAGGACTCGCATGTCGCGTCCAAGCTCACCATCAGCTTCCCAATGGGGACCTGGGCCGGAGTTGATGCCACCGACGACGAATTGAGGGTCGAAAGGCGACTGAATGGCCGACTGAAGAGATGAAAGGACGTGGGATTCGTCGATAACCCTACGGCCAGCCCTAATGAGAGACTTGCGTAGCATCTCGGCCCCCTGAGCCTCGGCGACATATCCGACAGCGTTCACTACGGACAGATCAATTGACACGCCCGGGAGGCCGCAATGTTTGACGCGCCAATGGGCCAAGGCATCCTCATAAGCTCCTGCAGCCGAGTAGGCCGCCTGACTGGGATAGCCAAGAACTCCGTTAATAGAAGAGAAGAGGACGAAAAAGTCGAGATCTCCAGGCAGATTGAATTGGTTGTGTAGATTCCAGGCGCCAGCAACCTTGCTCTGAGTCGTGTACTTCCAGTCTTCCAGTGTCATTTTTTCCACGAAAGAATCCTGCCAAACCCGTCAGTGAGGTAGATTAATGTGGCAACATGATATACTTACCTGGAGAACAAAGGCTGCGTGAATGACGCCACGAATAGGAGGCAGCCCCTCCTGCGCGCAAGTCTGTATTGCTTTGGCAAGGTCATCATCGCTGGCAACATCGCAGCTGACAGGCAGAACGCGGCTGCACCCTGATTCCATAAGTTCCTTGGCCAGAGTCGCGGTCTTCTCGCTTTTGGATGCGCTGCGTGAGAGTAATACGAGGTTCCTGGCTCCATGAGTAACCATCCAGTGTGCTACGGACTGACCCAACCCGCCATTTCCCCCGACGATCAGGTATGACACTTCTGGTGACAGTTTCACGACCGCTTTCTGCGGGAGAACAGGCACGCTTTCATCAGGACTGACTGAAAGGACAACTTTGCCGACATGAGATTCTGCTCGTAGCAGTTGCATAGCGCTGGTGATATCTGCCAACCTAGTTGAGATGATGGGAGAAACGACCTTCACAGCTTTCGACTCGATGAGACGCATTATCTCACCCAAGCAGCGATGGACATGGGCCCCGCGATGTTCTAACAGAGTAGGAATATCAACAGACGAGAAGGAAACAGAGCGGGAGAAGGAACCCATCTCCAGGTTGCTGTTGGCCTCCAAGTCTCGCTTGCCAACCTCCACAAAGTGCCCAAGCGGCGCCACCAAATTGAAGCTCTCCTGCAACAGGAGACCAGATAACGAGTTCAGCACGACGTCTACTCCCCTGCCATCTGTAGCAGCGAAAATTGCTTGACCAAATGATGCATTTCCGCTATCGAATATGCGACTGGTCGGGATTCCGTACTGTTGCGTTATCACATCACGCCCTTCGCGGTTGCTCGTTGTGGCGTATATTTCTGCTCCAAGGTTCTGTGCGATCATCACAGCAGCCTGCCCAAAGTCGCTTGCTGCAGAATGAATCAAGACAGATTGAGTGCGTTGAAGTCTCGAAATTTCTACGAGGGAGAAGTAAGCCGTAAGGAATGCCACAGGGATTGACGCGGCCTCCTGGAAGTCCAGCTCAGTCGGGATATGTGTCGCAGCGGCCCAGTCGACTACAGCATGGTTTGGAAACGATGACTGCTGCAGTATGCAAACTACTCGATCACCAACCGAGTAGCCCTGCAATGATGCCTCTCTACCGACTCGTGAGACAATACCGGCGCACTCGACGCCGACAACATGGTCTCCCGTTGCGTTTAACCCAGCGCCGTAGGCCCTCGGTTCTACCTCTAACGTATTAGGAGGGAGAGAATCGCGGTAGGCGTCAGAATTCGGGTCGTCACCGAAAGCGAGCCGCTCTGGGTCCAAGCACAAGAGTCTATCTCGTTGAGAGAATTGCTCTGTAGGCAACTTCTCCTGTTCGGCTGCTTCTGTGGTGCCTGGGGATAGATGTAGATTCCTAGCTACATCATGGTAAAGGCGTGGGACCAAAATGATACCGTCTCGCTCGGCAAATTCGAAATCACCTGGTCCCTTTTCATCTGCGGGGCCATCTTTGGGGTTTATAAGCGTAGCTTGGAGCACTTGGGCAATCACACTTGTACTGCTCTGAGACCAAAGCTCTCCCAAGGGGTCAAGGTCGAGTGTGAGCAGCTTGCGACCTGGATATTCCGTCCGAAGCGTGCGAACGAACCCAGAGGCAAGACTGAGGTCAGGCCGCTGGCAATCTACTGCACCGCCTCTTGTTACCCAGAGCAAGCCTTTGAAGCTTGTAGCCATCGCTCGGATACCTTCCAAAGAAGATGAATCAAGATCGTAAAGTACGCCATCATCTACTTCGCCAACAAAAACGCAAATCTTGTCAGCGAACCACGATGCATCAATAGTGGAAACTGAACCGAGATCTTTTATAAGAGGCACTTCTTCGCTAGCACCTTTGATGACCGAAGCAATAGACTTCTGGAGATTTTCCAGCCACTCCGGGGGAGGCATCGATTCAGGTTTGTGGCTTGTGATGATAACTATTTTCTCAGGGTCCACGCCCTGCAGCGGTGAAAGCGACAATGGTACCGTTGCGAGGAGCGTGACTGACGTCTTGTTTTCTGGGTCTTCGCAGTCGGCTAGCCTAACATCTGCCCTATTGAAGCCAGCGTCACGGAGTTGAAGATCCCAAATGCCTGCATCAAGTGGCAGGTTGTCATCTTTTCCGGATTCTTGTGCGAGCCACCAGCCTGGAAAGAGACCGTTGACAAACTGAATGTCATTCCGGCATTTTCCATCTTCAGCAAGCAGGAGGGCTCCACCTGGTTTAAGTAGACTCCGGATGTTTTCTAGGGCTTGGGGGATGTTTCCTGTGGCACTGAGAGCGTGAGAAGCAATCACTATATCGTAGGTTCCGAGAGCAAAACCCTGTGAAACTGGATCGAGCTCAATGTCAAGCTCTTGAAAGGAGAGTAGGTCACTCCAAGTTGCTAAGCTTTCTTTGGCGTCTTCGAAAGAAGCCGCGGAGCGATCCGTGTAGTAATATATAGAAGCTTGCGAGCCACCCGTGGCGGATGTACCGAGTGCTTCAAGAGCATATCGCGTCATCCCACCGTCTCTCGCACCAACTTCCAGAATCTGTGCACGGGGATTCTTGTGTACTAGATGCCTTAGTAGTCCGGCTAGTTGCGAGCCCGTTCGATTTCCTCTTGGGGATTCACTTCTGTATTTAGATAGCAGATTGTCTTGAGCCAGCACCTCCGTTGGCGACGCTTGACCCTTTAGTATGGCTAGTAACTGTGTGCCTATACGCTGGATCATCTCGCCTTCCACCCCAGAATCAGATACTTGGTTGATCAGATCGTGTCTCTCGGGATCTGTCATCGATAACCAAGTGCTATTGCCACCGACGAGTTCATTAGAGCCTGCCTTATCAACGGTTTCTTTCAACCAGGTGTAATACTTGGCAAGGTGGGGAGTCATGTCAGCTATATGATTCTGATCAATGTCAAGCAGCGTCCGTTGCATGAAGTAGAAGCATACTTGACAAAGTCGTTTTGTGAGACTAGACCCTGAACTGTCACCAGCATTGTTCAACTGCTTCTTGATCAAGGTAACTGTGGCTGGCGACAGGAATGAAATGTCCAGCGACCAATCCACAATGTTGCAGAGCTCGGTTTCCCACGGCTCTGTTTTGCTGAGGGAGAAATTCCGCCCTAGCGACTGGTATGAGAAACCTTTCATTTCCAGTACCATCTTTCCACTTTCTTCATCATGTACAGATAGGTCGGCTTCCATGCCCTGAGTATTATCACGGTTGATAATAGAACCAACCTTGAGCAAATGCCCCGGACTCGAACTAATGCTTTCAGACACCCAGAAGCTTTTCACAGCCCTGGGTACCTTAGCTGCAATCTCATGGGCCCCTGCTCCTGGAACAGCTGAATAAGGGGACGTGATGATCGAGTCCAATGTCACTGGGTGTAACACATGATTTGCGGGAAGATCCTTCGGTAGGGACGTGTCCGGAACGGACATGGTGACAACACTCCTCATTTCCGAGCCTGATTGAACGATGTTCTTCATATTCTGGAACATTGGTCCGTGAGCAATGCCAAGAGCCTTGAGGTTCGAGAAAAGGTCGGCGGGTATGACTCGGCGAGCATAGCCTTTTATGTCGACGTTGCTCACCTCTCGCCCAATAGCTGTAGTTAAAGAGAGGTCTTCAAACTCAACAAAGATTAAACCTTTGGCATGTTGGGTCCATTGATTATCCAGTGTGACTGTCCAGATTTCGAATTCCTTCCAATTTTGCTTCCCAATATCTTTTGTATTCACAGAGCGCAAGGTGGTTTGTATTTCAATACCATCTGAGTTATCTGGAATAACAAGCGCTTGTAGAAAATCCACATCTCTTAGTTTGTAGCCAACAATCTTGCTCATGTCGCTTCTCTTGTTCATTTTGGCGAGTTGTCTGACTGCCTCGATAGCTAAGCAAATGTAGCCAGCGGCAGGGTATACAATATTAGACTGAATTACATGGTCTCTGGTCCAAGGTGACGCTGAAGTCCTGAGTGTGTGTCTCCATGAGGGAGCCTCGAGATTTGAACCGTCGACAAGTGCACCGAGTAGGTCATGGGGGGACTCCGAACGCTGACACAGCGCTTTGTTGAATCTAGGTTCTACCCAATGCCTGATTTGGTGATTCCAGGGATATGATGGCAAATCTACCAGTACCTTAACATGTAGTCCTTTGCCATGAGGGAAGTTAACGGCAGCCATGTCGACAGGATACCCCTCCAGCACCAAGTTAGCAGCCAGTGCTTGAATGCTGTCTCGCGCATTCATCTTGCGGACCAAAGTACCATAGTATGGTAACTTAAAGTCTTTGAACTCGGGAAGTGCGAGAATCTGTTGGATAGGCCCACCCAAGGCAGTGTGTGGACCAACCTCTACAACAACATCCACATTAGGAGCGCCCGAGTCGCTCAATGCAAAGTCTGTAAAAGCCTTGACAAACTGGACTGGTTGCAGTAAGCTTTCTACCCAGTGCCCTGGACGGGATATCTGCTTGGAATGTGTAAGGCGACCTCCGGTTACTGGCGAAGAAAAGCGGACGGTTTCGAGTGCGATATTCTCGGTATCTTCCTTTGGAAGACTCTCGAGAGTATATAAAAAGACCTTGGCTATAGGGGCCATATGGTGTGAGTGCCACGCAGTGTCGACTTTCAAGCGGCGTGCAAAGACTCCTTCTGCATTAGCCAACTCCTCCAGTTCGAGTATGGCAGAAACATCGCCAGCGACAGTGATACTAGAAGGACTATTCACACACGCGATCACGGCTTTACCGCCTGAAGTTAATCTTTCCAAGTAAGATTGCGTCTCGTCGTGTCCCAGCCCCACGGCGATCATGCCGCCCTTGACTGGACCTTGGAAGTCCTTGTTTGCTGCCAGTACAGCGCGGTAGTAAGAGTAAGCCATGACTTGCCGGTAACTCATTGCTCCTGCAGCATAGGCCGCTGCCATTTCCCCGCTCGAATGGCTTGTGACGGCCACGGGTACAATACCCCAGGAGCGAAGCAAGCGCACGAGGGACACTTGAACAGCCACACAGATGGGAGTGCTGAGCGAAACTTCATTGATTCGAGAAGATTCGGCGTCGCGTGAAAGCTCTTCTATCATCGACCACTTGGCTCCAAACTCTTTAAGCATCTTCTCGCCTTCTTCGAGTGATGTCCTGTATACGGGATAAGCATCCATCAGCTCTCTGCCCATGGCATGCCATTGTGCCCCCTGACCGGTGAAAACCATACCAATTCGTGGTTTTCCCGAACTGCGAGTTAGTTTGAATTTCGGCGACTGAAGAGTCCGAATGACCTCATCGATGCCGTCAGTGATGGGAACAGGGTGGGCAGCTATCCATGGAAACCGTGTTCGCCGCTGCCCGAGTGTATAAGCCAGACTTTCCAGAAACTCTTCTGTATGTGAAGTTGCTGGTTTATTGTCGCTCAGGAACTCAGCGAGATTGGAAACCATTTTCTGACATGCCTGCTCATCCTTCCCGCTCAGGAGTAGAACCTTGGATGAGCCGTTAGGCCTATTCTGGCCCTCTTTTTCCCAAACGCCATTAAGATGACTGGCATTGTGATTGTTAGAATTTGAATGCCCATTTAAATGGCCATTGAGGTGCCCGTTTGAGCTACCATTCGCGTGACCGTTTTTGCCTGGGAGACTTGAAACCCATGATGCTGCGTCTTCCAAGATGATGTGTGCATTCGTGCCTCCATAACCAAAATTGTTGATAGAGGCGCGCTTGACCGGAGTGTCAGGCCAATTTTCGATATTTCTCACCAGTTTCAGGTTCCACTCTTCCAGGGTGATCTTTGGGTTGGGACTCTCAAAGTTGATCGAGGGAGGTATCACTCCTCTTTCCATGGCTAATACCGTTTTCACGATACTTGCAAGCCCGCTGGCTGCTTCAGTATGTCCGATATTTGTTTTTATTGACCCAATCAGAAGTGGCTCTCGGTGGGATTGAAAAACGTTTGCAATGGCTCGTGCCTCGATGGTATCTCCAGCCTGGGTTCCAGTCCCATGGGCTTCAAAATACTGAGTCCCCCTTGTGTCGAGGCCTGCTTTGGCATAACAGCCTCTGAGCAATGCTTCTTGGGCTTGTAGACTCGGTGTGGTAATGGTTTCTGTTTTGCCATCCTGGTTGAGCATTGATTCGCGAATCACTGCTCTGATCGGATCACCAGCTGCGACCGCGTCTCTCAGCCGCTTGAGGACCAGAGTGGCTACACCCTCGCCACGACCATAGCCGGAAGCCCGTGAATCGAAAGCAAAAGACTTTCCCTCGCCGGACAAAAATCTGTAGGAAATAATTTGTCAGCTTGCTTAAAACCTTGAATCAAAGTGGCACAGCTTGTTACTCACCCGGCAGAACCCAAGGCCTTGAACATGTCTGGGTAGAGCGTCAAGTTGGCGCCCCCAACAATTGCCATGTCGGATTCACCGGCTCGCAAATTTTGGACGGCCTGGTGTGTCGCCACCATCCCCGAGGAGCAGGCTGTCTCAATCGTCATGCTCGCACCACGAAGATCGAAGAAGTGAGAGATGCGGTTCGACATCATGGGGACGCCAGTGCCTGTGGCCATCAGCCGAGGCAAGTTGTCTGCGTCTCGGAGTAAGGCGTCTCTATAGTCATGTACGAATACTCCTGTGAATACCGAGGTATTTGATCCAGCTACTGAATGAAGCGGGAGACCAGCTACATGATGCGTCATTAGTGAGTTTGACCATGCAACGGTCAAGCGGGATTTCTCACCAGCTTCCAAGGCTTCATATACAGACTCGAGCTGCAATCGATATTGCGGATCGACGGACTAGTAGGAGGAAATTTAGATACATCGAGTGGATGAAGCAAGATTGTAGGGCACTTACTGCCGCTGTCTCGGCTGAATAGCTAAAGAACGCCGCATCGAACAGCCCAACATCTTCTTGGAGGAAGTGGGCGCCTTTGACGTGTGTCTAGGTAAGATTTCATATGTATCAGGCTTTTCTTGTCTCTATAATAATTCCCGAGATCACCCACTGTATTGAGCTTTTCGTTATTCGGATGATAGACACCTTCCGGCCTGAATCTCGAGGACGGAAAAGGTGTCCAAGCGCTACGTGCATTGATAAGCATGCGCCAGAGGTTCTCAGTGTTTGTTGCCTCTCCAGCATATTTGGCGCTCATGCCAACGATGGCTATTGGTTCATTGACCCAGTCATCTTTGATCCCGTGGCTGGTGCTTCCCATCTTGTCTGGTTGAGATGTTGAGAAACCGGTTGAAGGCCTGGCGTTCGCTTTGAGTGGCCGTTTTCTGCGATCTGAATTGTATGTTCAAAGCCCCAATAAGAAGGGACATTAACTACTGCAAATTGAAGAAGTCGGTTACTCTAGTTAAGAGCTTCGAGCCTCATTCGACGTTCTAATCTTGAGGCCTATCATGTCAACCGTACGTATGGGGGCTATCCATCTCTCTATCATCAATGAGAGTGGAGAATATCCTGTCTACGTCGCCTTTACCTCTTGAATTCAATCCCAGTACGGAAAATCAGCCCTTGCGAGGTCGAGAGTTGAAACCGGAATTACTTGAAGTCCTGTAAGCTATTCTCAGGCGGACATCGGAGTAATTGTTGAGCTGCATGGCTCGCACGTGCTGGCCTATCAAGCGTGGCGAATGTTACCTTGCGACAAGGATCATGGGTCGCGTACTATCTAGATGCTGACAGGCAGTCGTAATTGCAACGTTCACGTTATCACATTGCGCAGATGTCAGGAATAGGTAGCCTATGAACGACGGATTCGGCATTCGTTTATCTACCAAGGGGCTCTCAAGGTTACACGGTCTACTTGTCTGCCTGGTATGCTAAACATCGAAGATTACGCTAGGTTTCGAACGGTGTACAATCAATTGCGTATTTAGTCCGGCTGAAAAGAGAAAACTCCGATAAGTTACAGATTATCAACTCCGACCAATACGAGCTTATCTCGAACCTAGATTGAATGCATTAAGAGTTATGGAACCTATCTAGTTAGGATTACATCTAATGATAACGCAACATACAGTGATCTAATCAGCCATCGTTGTTTTGTCCTAAATATACTGACAGCAAAATCGACACGTCTGCAAAACCGCTTTTCAGCAACTTCCACATGACTAAAGAATAGAGAGCGATAGCTGTGGTACTCAACTTTGCCACAGACTCTCCAAATTCGCAACTGAAAGAGCACTATCCACTATGGCTGATTCTAAGACACAAACGGCCATGGCCAGCAAGAACCTTTTACTATTCGGGCCCGGCGCTATGACATTGGACGAAGCGTACTACAATCGCATTCTTTCATTCATGAAAGAGAGTTGCGAGAGTCAATGGGCGTTGGATGCCATTGATGACATTGGGAATTATTGGGAATCAGTCTGTGAGTTGATTCCCAAACTTGAGCAAGTCTCGGGCTTGAACGATGCCCAGAGGCTAGCGGACTGGATCCGAAAGGGTATCATTCCATCTCAGTCAACCGTCTCGAACCTGCCCAACTCAATTCTAGGGCCTCTTGTCATCATCTCGCAACTGGTTGAATACATCCAGTATATCACATCATCTTCAAAGTCAAGTCAAAACGAGACAAACAAATTCCAAAGGCCTTCTAAAACAAATACAGAGACAGTTGGTTGCTGTCTTGGTGTATTTAGCGCCCTAGTGGTATCATCCAGCTCGTCTTGGCCACAGTTCCACCACAATGCTTCAGCAGTCCTTCGTACAGTTTTCATTCTAGGAGCATTGTCAGATGTGCAGGACATTGATGACAAGTCTGGCTCATCGGTTTCCTTGATAGCGTTTTGGAGAGGTGGCCGCTCGCTCTCCGATCTAGAAAAGGCGCTGGGAAAGCATCCCGAGGTAAGCCAAAAATAATCAAAAGAAACGTCTGCAAAGAAGATTTTCTAAAAACAGTTGCTGCTAGGCTTATGTTTCCGTTCTCTACGATGAAAACCGAGTAACTGTGACAACATCTACTCGTACGGTATCGGATCTGAAGAGAAGTCTACAAACGATTGGAATCACAGCCAATGAAACCGAATTTCACGGGCGCTTCCATGCCGGAAAGCTCTACCAAGAGGAACTTCAATTATTCTTCAACTTCTGCAAGCGTTTTCCTGCATTCCAACTCCCAGACGCCTCCTGCCTGGTTGTACCTACTCGCATAAACGCCGATACTACCCTGAGTGAGCCGGGGAACCTTCTCGAGGCGGCTTCGCGGGCCTTTCTGGTAGAGCAATTCAACTGGATCAAGACATTTCGAGCTGTGGTATCTAGTTCTTTGCAAGACAGAAACTCTCGGGTGATTGAATTTGGACCGGAAAAATGCGTTCCTCCTACATTGCTCCGGCGGCTGAGCAGTCAAATCAACCACTTTGACTTTGAGCAGAGCATCGCCAACACTATTAATGGCACTGTACCTTCGAGGTTAGATTTTAAATCGACCGATAACGATATTGCTGTGATCGGCATGTCATGCTCTGTCGCCGGAGCCCCTGATCTCGAGCAGTATTGGAAGATTCTCCTGGAAGGCAAATCACAACATAGGAAACTCGTACCAAACGATCGATTCGTTATGGAGACCATTTTCAGACAACACGAAAAGGGTGACGAAAAGAAGCCGTGGTTTGGCAACTTCCTTGACGATCAAGATGCTTTCGACTCAAAATTCTTCAAGAAGTCTCCCCGAGAGGCGCTGCATATGGATCCCCAACAGAGACTTATTTTGCAGGCTGCGTATCGGGCAGTAGCGCAATCTGGGTATTACAACAAGTCCGAATCAGATAACCGTGTTGGATGCTATATTGGCCTGGTGGCTAATGATTACGAGAACAACATCGCATGCACCGCTCCAACGGCCTTTTCGGCTACCGGTGCCCTGAGGAGCTACGTATCCGGGAAAGTGAGTCACTTTTTCGGATGGACAGGTCCAGGGATGACGATTGATACTGCATGCTCGGCATCAACTGTTGCTATTGATCTGGCTTGCCGGGCCATCTTGAGCGGCGACTGTTCTGCAGCACTGGCTGGGGGGACGAACTTGTACACTACGCCCATGTTCTTCCAAAACCTTGCCGCTGGGTCATTCCTTAGCCCAACTGGACAGTGTAAGCCTTTTGATGCAAACGCTGACGGCTACTGCCGAGGGGAAGCCATTGGTGCAGTGTTTCTCAAGAAACTATCCAGCGCTATTGCTGATGGCGATCAAATCATGGGCGTTATCTCATCCACGGCCATCAACCAGAACGACAATTCTACCCCGATATTCGTACCAAATCCAAAGTCTCTCACTGAAGTCTTCAAGAAAGTTATCTCCAAGTCAGGTCTTAACGCTAAGGATATTTCTGTCGTCGAAGCCCATGGAACAGGGACACCCGTGGGGGATCCGGTCGAGTACGACAGCATCCGTCAAGTGCTTGGGGGTGCCACTCGTGTTGGGCTTGATCCCTTGCAAATAGGCTCAGTTAAGGGTTTGATTGGTCACACTGAAGGAGCTTCCGGCGTTATTGCTCTCATCAAAATTCTTTTGATGATGAACGAAGGTTATATTCCGCCACAAGCGAGCTTCACTACTATCAGCCCTTCTATCAGAGCGTCAGATATCGACAATATGGCGATAGCTGGAGCGCCTGTTCCGTGGAAAGAAACTTTCAAAGCGACGCTTATCAATAATTACGGTGCTGCTGGATCGAATGCGTCAATGGTTATCAAACAGGCACCGAAGCTTGGTCCTGAGCGTGGGGATGGCGACCAGAAAGGCGCCGTATTATCATCCTCTGTGGCCCCATTCAACTGTCCATTCTACATCGGTGGCTTTGATGAACAAGCCATCAGACGGTATACCGCTGAATTACGGGATTTCATCAAAAGAAAGGCAATTTCCGGAGACCGTCTTGGCATTGAAAACCTAGCTTTCAATGTAAACAGACAATCGAATTGGTCCCTCCGGCATGCCATGGTCTTCAGCTCTGACTCCATTGACGGGCTGGATAGAAATCTGGCCTCTATCAAAACCTTTACTCGACCTTCCGCAAGACCCGTCATCCTCTGCTTTGGTGGTCAGGTTGCCAAGTTTGTCGGTCTAGACCGGGAAGTGTTTGACAAGGCTGCCGTCTTGCGGAAGCATCTCGATCACTGCGACGATGTGTGCAAGTCGATCAACGCAGGAAGTATATACCCTGGGATCTTTGGGCGTGAGCCAATTGACGATCCGTCAGTATTACAACCGCTCCTCTTTGCAATGCAATACTCATCTGCCATGAGCTGGATCGACTGCGGAATTAAGCCAACAACTCTTGTCGGCCACTCATTCGGGGAGTTAACTGCGCTTTGTGTTTCTGGTATTCTTAGCCTTGAAGATGCCTTGAAGATTATCTATGGTAGGGCGAAGATTATTAGAGATAGCTGGGGTTCCGAAAAGGGATCCATGATAGCCGTGGAGGCCGACCCAGACGTCGTCACAGACCTTCTTGTTGCATCAAACACCAGCCTACCTGACCCTGAAGGCATAGGAAGAGCCACCATCGCATGTTTCAATGGCCCAAGGAGCTTTACCCTGGCTGGATCCGTGGTTGCAATTGATGCGGTCGAGGGAAATATTTCTTCCAATCGCACTAAAGCTCCTATTTCCAAATACAAGAGACTAGATGTGACCAATGCCTTCCACTCAACACTTGTGGAGAAACTGAAACCGGAACTGGAATCTTTGCTACAAAATGCCGTTCTGAATCCGCCCCAGATTCGAATGGAGACTGCTACTGAAGAGCCCACGACTGATCCGATCTCGGTGAGCTATGTGGTTGAACACATGCGAAGGCCGGTGTACTTCGATCAGGCAGTGCAAAGAATCGCCAAGGAGTATCCAGAAGCAGTTTGGTTAGAAGCTGGCTCCAACTCTACTATTACCACAATGGCAAACAAGGCCCTTGGAATGCCAAAGGGTGCGACTTTCCAGCCAGTGAATGTGACAAGTGCCAACCAAGCCCTTCAGAATCTCGTTGACACAACAATGACTCTGTGGAGGGCTGGTTTGCAAGTCACATTCTGGCCACATTCGCGGCTTCAAACCTATGAATACAGGCCTATATTCCTTCCATCTTACCAGTTTGACAAACAGCGTTACTGGTTGGATTTCAAGCCGCCCCCGAAGCAACTGATCAAGCAAGATATCGCTGAGCAGGTCAATGGACTAAGTGCAGAGCTCCCACCCGCAGGACTTTACATCTTCTTGGGTTATACAGACGATACAGATAGCAAGTGTCAGTTCCGTCTTAATACTGGAGCAAAGCCGTACTTGGACGTCATGTCAGATCATACTTTTCTCAAAACCCAGAAGACATGCCCAGCCACATTTGAGATCGATGTTGCCATCCAGGCAATTACAAGTATCCGCCCCGAATTATCCCAAGAAGCGAACCTGCAACCGCAAGTTTACAACATTACGAACCAGTCTCCGATTTTCGATTCTTCGCGGGCAATCTTCATTTACTTCGAGCGCCTTAGCCGCGAGGTAAACAACTGGAGTTTCACGTTCACCAGCACCCTCAAAGGGTCTCCAGATATTGTACACTTGAGCGGGCAGCTTTGTTTCTTACCCCTTGACGATCATCGCTCTTGTCTCGAATTCAACAGGCTTGAGCGCCTTGTGACCCACAGCCGATGCCTCCAGGTTCTCAAGAGTAATGACGAAGCCGATGAGGTGATTCAGGGTCGCAGTATCTACAAAGTTCTCTCAGATATTATTGACTATGGGGAGCAATTCCAAAGTCTATTAAAATTGGTGGGAAGAGTTGATGACTCTGCTGGCAGGATCGTACGGACGCGTTCCCGTGAGACCTGGTTCGATTTCTCCCTGAGTGAGGTCTTCACCCAGGTAGGTAGCATTTGGGCCAATTCCATGGCTCGAGATCGTCGGACGCTACATGGAACCATATATGTTTGCAACAGCATTGAGCAGTGGGTGAGGTCACCAAGCGTACTTCGGAAGATTCGTGATGGCGCCTATCGGGATGGTGCTAAGCAAGAGTGGCAAGTTCTTGCACAACATAAACGCGCCAATAGCCCAGAGAATTCTTATATCACGGACATATTTGTCTTTGATGCTCTGTCCGGGTCACTTGAGGAAGTAATCCTCGGAATGCTTTTTACGCCACTTGAACTGTAAGTATTTTCTGCCCAAAACCGCAATATTTGTCGAATTCTCGAGTCTAACACTCATGACAGGAATCAATCGATTAAAAATCCCAGCTCTTTTGAAATTGCTGCTCCAGTAACAAATAAATTTGCGCTCCCCCTGGCAGCAACTGCACCGACAGTTCACATATCCTCAAGTGGTTCCGAGCCACCACGGGCAACGGTGAAGCCGGTGAAGCGTGCAGTTCGCCAGAAAAAGAACACGAAGCACGAAATATGGGTCAAGCTTCAACCGGTATTGGCGGATATTTCTGGCCTTGCGCCTGAGGAGATCAACCAGACTGATTCACTTGCCGACATTGGCATTGACTCTCTGATGGGAATGGAGATGGCACGCGAAGTGGAAACAACATTCAAGTGCACCTTGGAACAATCCCAATTAGTCACTCTTGTTGATATTCCCGGTATACTGATCTTCCTCCAATCAGTGCTCGGTGATGGAGATGAAGAAGATGTGGGTTATTCAGACTCGTCAGAAGCAGCATATTCCGAAGCCAGCGTGCCATCGAGCCATGACGATATCGCTTCAACATCTAGTTCAGATCAGTTGGAAGCTTGTGGGACTTCAGAAGCGACACTCCAACTCCCCACTTCCGTTATTCTTGACGCATTCAAGGAATCCAAATCTCATACAGACCAGTTCCTCAAAGCATATGGCTGTGCAGGATACCTCGATGGCGTATCTCAAAAACAGACTCGACTATGTCTGGTGCTCACCAGCGAAGCTTTCAAAAAGCTTGGCTGTGATCTTGAGGCAGCCAAGCCGGGAGACGTACTGCAGCCTGTGCCATTCATTTCCAAGCATAAACGTTTCCATGAGTATTTGTATGGAATGTTGGAAGAAACGCGCATTATTGATATTGATAACGATATCATCACCCGGACCGCGATCCCCCTTCCTTCTCAGAGTGCTGAGGTAATTCTCGAAAACTTGATGCGCCATCATGCAGATAACGGGTCTTCACACCAACTGACGTACAACGTTGGCACCCGGATGGCAGACGTCTTGTCTGGTAAAGCCGACGGCCCTCAGCTTATTTTCGGAGACGCGAAGAACCGCGAGCTCGTTGCTAGCTTCTATGGAGAATTGCCCTTCAACCGGCTGTACTTTGAACAGATGGTAGAGTTTCTCACTCTACTAGCGACAAGATTGAAGTTGTCATCACACAATCAACCCCCTCTTAAAATCTTGGAGATGGGAGCTGGAACAGGTGGAACAACAAAGGTCATTGTCCCAGCGCTTGCAAAACTCGGCATCCCGGTAGAATATACCTTCACCGATCTCTCGCCGTCTCTTGTGGCACAAGCAAAGAGGAAGTTCAAACAATACTCGTTCATGAATTTCGCCGTCCATGATATCGAGCAGCCTCCTTCTGACCCAGAGCTGATGGGTTCCCAACATATAGTGATTGCTAGCAATGCCGTTCATGCAACTCATTCACTCAGAGCCTCCGCAGAGAATATACGCAAGTTCTTGAGGCCGGACGGGTTCGTCATGCTTCTGGAGATGATGGGCACACTTCACTGGGTTGACGTGGTCTGGGGCACCCTTGAAGGGTGGTGGCTATTTGATGACGGGCGACGGCATGCCATTGTGAATGAACGAAGATGGGAAATGGAACTCAAGAATGCAGGCTACAAGCATGTCGATTGGACTGATGGCAAACTTCCCGAAAATCATGTCCAACGAGTTGTGATTGCCATGGTGGCCGATGCAGAGCAGGACCTTGAGACCTCGCCTCCCACCAGTGAAAGTCTCCCAGCAGCAAGCAATGGTCATGGCCTATCTAGAGAAGACATCGAATCTAGAAAGTCGGCTGCTGATAGATATGTCCAAAGCGCGTCAGAAGGGTTTTCGATCCCGGAATATAATGGGCCGCCTCTCGACTTCACAACGACAAAATGCGTGCTCGTAACTGGGGGAACTGGGAGTCTTGGTAGCCACATCATTTCTCACCTGTTGAGCCTATCTACGGTTGAATCCGTATACTGCCTAAATCGACATGCACCACCGATCAAGGATGCTCCGATCCGCAGCCCATTGCGTCGACAAATTGACTCGTTTGAATCAAAGGGTATTACATTGAATGAGGGCCAGCTGGCGAAACTGAAAGTGTTTGAATCAGACTCGTCGAAGCCCCAGCTTGGAATGCCTGCAGATGAGTATGATCAACTTCTCAATAATGTCACTCACCTGGTTCATAACGCCTTCCCAGTCAACGGGATGCGTTCTCTTCCCCAGAATGAACCGCAATTCGCCACGATGCGTAACCTGGTCGATATGGCGGCCGCGGTCTCTGCACGCCGAAAAGCTGGCACGAGTAATGAATTCAAATTCACCTTCCAGTTCATATCCTCTCTTTCAGCCGTGGGAATGTATCCGATTGTCAACGGTGGCGAGATAGATGTGCCCGAAAAAGAATTGGATATCGACTGTGCGCTTCCGAATGGGTATGGTGGTGCCAAGGTCATATGTGAACGTCTTCTTTTTGAGACCCTTAGCCGTTTTCCCGACCGCTTCAAAGCCATGACTACACGATTAGGCCAACTTTCCGGTTCCATCGAGACCGGATACTGGAATCATATGGAAGTCCTAGGCTTTTTGTTCAAATCGGCACAAACACTGAAAGCATTCCCTGATGTGAAAGGGGCAATTTCCTGGCTTGCTCTTGAGGATGCTTCGGCTTCCTTAGCAGAGCTCCTTTTACGGGAAGAGCCACAGTGTCACCGCATTTATCATGTTGATAATCCAAGCAGAAGAACCTGGGAAGACATGTTGCCGGTACTTACCGAGACGCTTGGAGCGCCACCTAGGGGAGTCATCCCCCTCCGCGAGTGGCTAAAAAGGGTCCAGGCATACCCTGGCGAGAACCCTTGGGATAACCCAGCGGCAAAGGCTATGGACTTCTTTGATCATAAGTTTGCACACATGTCGTGCGGCGGGGTCACAATGTCTACGGATAATGCCAGGGAGCATTCGCCTACTTTGAGAGCAGTTCAGCCAGTGAGCGATGAGCTGGTGAGAAAATACATGCAAGGTTGGAAGGACAGTGGATTTTTGAGATAGTTTATCGGCTATGAGTTCATAAATGGGTTAGATAGATTGGTTGGGCCTTGGTTGAAATGAGAAACTTGCTGTTTGTAGTTATTTTATGGCTAGAGCAGCTCAAGAAATGCAACTTCCCTGTGTAGTATCCTCAATCATAATTCATCAAATAACAGTAGGAACATAACATGAAAACACCAAATTGTGTAGTGATAAAATACAACTCTTTTTATCATTTGTAAGTTGGTTCCCGACGAGACTCCCGTCGTAATTCCAAGTGAGACCTGGATGAAAGAAATTCTACACTAATCAAGAAGATGAAAATAATCAGTTGAGATAATGGCATGCAGGGTAGATTTCAAGTACAATCTGCTTAGCAAGCAGACGCGCTGCAAGCATAAAAAGCTCCAGTACATGGGAAGAAACTCCGGAGTCCGGGTGAGATTTGACCTAGAATCTCATGAAAACTCCGACAATTGAGCATCTTTACCATGATTTAATGGGGGACACTTTTTACCAGACGATTGAACAAGTGAGCGACACAACACTGAACCCACCTTCATGACTTCTTGACATAGCGTCTTTCTGCTATCAAAGTTCATCACCCTAAACTTCAAGATGGCTCAGACGCAAGGCGAATCCGCAAGTTCTCCGCTCGAAGTGGCCATCATCGGCGGTGGGATGACGGGTTTAGCGCTTGCAGTCGGATTGCTCAAGCGGAACGTAAACTTCACTCTCTACGAACGCGCCGATAACTTTGGTGAGCTTGGCGTTGGCATTCATTTCACGCCCAACGCTGAGCGTGCAATGGCGGCCCTCGACCCTCGCGTTTTACAAAGCTACGTGGACATAGCAACTCATGCTGAGGGTGGATTCTTAACTTTCGTCGACGGATTTCACGAGGAGAAAGGGGCGGACCCCTCGACGTCCACAGAAGAGACAATTTTTCAGCTTCGTGTTGGGGACGGTTACAAAGCTTGTCGTCGGTGTGATTTCGTTGATCAGCTTGTCAAACATATCCCGCCTGAAAAGGTTCGCTATCAGAAATGGTTACAGTCTATCGACGATAAAGAGGGCAGATCTATTTTGACATTCAGGGATGGTTCCAAAGCCCAGGCAGATATCGGTAAGTCGATCCCTAAAAGTGCATAGATCAGATGCTACAGTTAGTAAACTAGCTTACCTTGTTTAAAGTGATTGGATGCGATGGGATTCGGTCCAAAGTCCGTGAAGCAATGTTTGGCTCTGCCAATTCTAGTCCCAAAGCGCAATACTCACATCAGCTTGGATTTCGCGGTCTGGTCCCCATGGATAAAGCCTTGGCTGCCGTAGGCTCCAGAAAGACGTCAAACGCGCTTGGCCATCTTGGACCAGGGGGATTTGTCTTGACTATTCCGCTCTCCGGGGTCAACGCGATGCATGTCGAGGCATTCGTAATGGATCCGCATCCCTGGCCGGAGATCAAAACGGAAAATGACACTCAAAGATACGTCTTACCAGCGACAAGAGACGAAGCACTGGCTGCCTTCAAGGATTTTGGGCCTACTGTGCAGACATTTGTGTCATTGCTCCCCGAAAAACTAGACAAATGGGCGGTTTTCGACATGCTCGATGCCCCAGCACCATCATTCTCCAAAGGTCGGATGTGCCTGGCCGGGGACGCGGCACATGCATCTACGCCAAATCAGGGAGCCGGTGCCGGTGCTGGAATGGAAGATGCCCTGGTACTTGCAGAGGTACTGGCAGCTGTGGCAAATCTGCGACACGTGGATGAGGGTGCCGTTTACGCGGCTTTGGGGGTATACAGTGAGATGCGTCATGAACGATGTCAGTGGCTTGTGGCCAGCAGCAGGAGGGTGGCAGAGCTCTTCACATGGAAGGATCCGCAATATGGCCACGACAAAGACGGGGTCAGGCGTGAAATAGAAGAACGAAGCCACGTTCTATGGGATTATGATACAGACGGCATGGTCAGGGAGACAGTAGCTAAGTTTAATACCAGGCTTGAACGTATGTAGAACGTCAGGGTCGCAGCCTAATACATGTCCCTTCAGGCGCCATCTCGGTACAACGGCACTGAGTTATGTGATCAATCGCGTGAAAGAATAGCTCATTCTGACCTCGGGGGTGTGCTAGGGATGAGAGCCAGCCGGATACATTGGCCGACCCTGTAAGCCACCATGCTAGATGCAGATTTCGTTCCTCTCGTAAATGCAATGGCACCATGTGCGAAGCGATTATGCCCGAAGACCCTGTCAACTGTCATAATAAGAACATGGGTCGCCCTATGCTACAGTTGCAATCATGTAGGCACTATGGGTCGTGCTAGGCGATGACCATAATCTGTCCATGTATCTTCCATGTCGTACCAATGGCATAGCATGTGCATACGCGCTTGGGCTGTGACGCGGAGAAGTGGCGGAGGAGAAGAGAGAACATGATCTCAATTGCAAAACCCTTGGTCCCTGCCACATGAATGATCTACATTTTAGCGTCAAAGGTTTTGAAACACCTCTGCTAGGCAGTGAATTCACTCGAAAAGCTGTGATGATATTGATACCCAACTAGAATTGATATCTCACCGGGACCAGCGCGATTTGTGTTTTGCTCTGATTTTGGCTATGTTGCAGAAAAGGGAGGATGATTGGGTATATAACTTTTGATCCCTATTGCCCTGTAGTAATTTCATATTTTCCTTTGTAATAATTGACTTGGTTCTTTGCTATGAGTACTTCTCGGGCTGCTAGCCAAGCTCAGCCCGCCCGATACGTTTAACGTCACATGCATGGAACTTTTTGCCCTGTAAAGATACGAAAAGTACGGTTTGAGAAATCCATGCATGCGGCTATCGCCTGCTTATCCGTTCGACACGCAGTCTAAAAGCGGCAGATGCATCTCAAAACAGTACTGGCAAGCCGAGTATAAGATATACCGATCACACCTTGTGAATCACGTATGATCCCCACCTCAATCTCCAGAAGCCCTCCACCATTTCTTCGCAGGGAAAACATGGTCGAAGCAAGCAGCACTCGGCAGCAGCCGGGGCTTGCCTGCGAGGAATGCCGTAAGCGAAAGGCACGATGCGATAGGGGACGACCCCAATGCGGGGCCTGCGCTGATGCGGGTAGAAACTGTGTCATTGTGGACAAGAGGTCTCAGAGAGGCCCAAAGAAGGGCCAGCTTAAGGACTTGCGTTCAAGAATTGGTGAGTGTGAACCCTCTGATACGAACACAAAGGCAACCAGTACCCAGAATTTCATTGCAAATTCAAGCAAGCATACATATATTCTCGCCTTACTCAAGACCACCCCCATTGATTTGTTTACAATAGCGGCGCTGGAGCAGCGATTGATCGACCAAAACAACATCCTCGAGCCCGATATTCTTCAATTGGGTTATTCTGAAGTCACTCCAGAGCAGGAAACGCCAGAGGAATCAGGCTCTAACGGAAGTAGCGAGATGGGAATTGAGGCCGACCCCTTCCAAATACTGGACTTCGCTTCTGCGAGTAGATTGCCAGACCTATCCGACTTCACAAACCTATCTAGTTATTTTGGTAAAGGATGGCCGTGCGAATTTGGGCCCGAAGCCTCCCGCAACATTACGCCAAACATCTCGCTAACTCCAGTGGCACCGATCGAGCCAATCCAAGTGACCTCGAGCCTAGTCCCTGGGCTTAGTGATGAAGGGCTAGGTATATCTGACCTCTTGAGAGCCGAGTTGTAAGTCAGCTCCAGTCACAGATTGGCGGGGTGGCCGAGACTAATATATGAGGTGAAAAACTGGTTAGAGATCTATTGTACTTCGAGAGGGTGCATCCAATTGTACCCATGATACACAAACGACGGTACTTCACATGGGCAGCCGAGGGCGGCGCCTCTCCTGCAAGATCCTGCTTACAATTAGCAATGAGAACTATGGCTGCGGCCATGTCTTCCCAGTTTCGCGGCCTAGGAGATGCTTTATGTGCCAAAACCCGCCGAATGCTCGAGATGCAGGATTCTCATGGCGAGGCTGGTCTGCCATGGGTGACGAGCATGAGAAGTCAACGGCATAAAATAGAGCATGAGCGAGTACAGGCATGGCTTTTACTTGCTCATTACGAGTTTCTGCGGAAACCCGAACAGCAGGCTCTTCTCACGGCCGGACGAGCTTTTCGATTGCTGCAGATGTCGCGCCTATTTGATGTTGACTCTCAAGACATGGACAACCAGACAGTATCGGATCAGGGCTGGATAGAAACTGAAGAGAAGAGAAGAACGATATGGATCGCCTTCATATTGGATCGGCTCTCTTGCATGCTTAAGGATCGACCATGGATGCTCCACGAAGAAACGGTAGGTCAAATTAGATATTTATCTTGGCCCTCAACTCTAGCTAACACATCTTTCAAATTAGATTTGCGCCCGACTTCCTATGCCTGAGGAAGAATTTCAAGACGGTTGCCAGCTCAGTCAGATGGGATTTCTCTCCGAGTTGGGGAGAAATAATGATGAAAGCATGATCCTCCATCCCTTTGCCGAGTGGGTTGTTCTGGCCAATTTTTTCGGCCGATGCATCACACATCGAAGGCTCGCCCAGTCAGTCCCTCTGTCTGGGTCAGAACTGGAGTCCAAAGACTTTTGGACGCGGCATGACTGGCTTGCTGCCGCGACTAGATCACGAACTCATGCTTACAGTATAGCTCTTAAAGCTCGAACCACGCCGCGAAAGTGTGACCCAATGTCATGCTATAATCTAATCCTGGCCTACAGTGCCTCTGTATGTCTCAGTCATACTGCGGAGTCAAATGCGTGGCAGACCCTCGACGGACAATTGAGGACCCTCAGACATAGGCAGGTCGCTTATGAGGCAGCCAGTGAAATCGTATCCCTTATCAAATGCGCCCCCCGGATGTTCTTTTTCAAGGTAAGAGTCTTCTCTAAACATTGCCCCTTGACATGGACGCTTCACAGCACTGTCCACATTTCATCTACGGCTGAAAACCAGATACTTTTCATAATTTAACCAATACTTAATAGATGCATCCTTTCCTGCCAAATGCAATATCTCTGGTCGCCAGCTTCCTTAATGCATCGAAGCCAGACCCCGGAGCACCTGACGAAGGTGGGCCAGATGGACTAAGTTCACTGCTTGGTGCTCTAAGGCACTTGGGTGAATTCAACGATTTGGCTAGAGAGCTACGGTATAAATTAGAAGCCGACGTTGTACAAGCCACCCCAACTACCATGGAATCAACAAGGCAATGGGTTACTTAGACATATAGACGCAACTGAGAATGTCCTGAGAACAAGCCTAATAGACTATGTCCCATAGAGCTGTCAACATAGAATACGCAAATCTACAAATTATCAACGATTCTACCTATCCGCGTGGCCAGAGACCATCTAGTCGTTCCTACTGTGGGGAGTTTGGCCCCTTACCCAACAAACAACGTATGTCAGGTCACATACATAAAAAATGGAGGCACAAGTAAGCCCCTTACCTGTGAGTTAACATGGTCGGGGGGAAGTACGTCCCGGCCTGCCGATCCTACCCAGTCTGAGGAGAAAGCTTAGATTTCTCACTATGTATCTGTATGTATGCTGCCACAAAGGAATCACAAGCTCCACAACCTTCAGGTGTGAAGGAGGCACGGGGTGACGGAAGTATTCGCATTAGCAGGGGTGCTGGCTTTGCATCATCGGCAACGCAAATCACCTGCCGCTTTTACCTAGGTAGCGCAGGCTCGACTCGGCCAAGTACTTACACGGGGTACCCTATCAGGATTTGGCGATACAGATTTATTGAATTGCGTGACAGACCACGTTTGGTATGTTGCAGTGACTCATGAGACTTGCAGATTGCTCGCATTATCACGCTTCAGCTCGCCAACAAAGTTCACTCCCTGCAGCTATAGTGTATTCAGGAGGGTGGGCAATTGGACAAGCGATAACCGGCGGGTTACCGGGATATCACATTGGAACGTTCCAAAGTTACAGCTCTCAAACGACCCCCACTTCACGGTTGAAAGGGGGTGTGAAGTCAGAGGCCTCCCTATCTTCCCACGCGTAATTCATCATGGCTCATCACAAAGAGCACGGTCGCCCGGCTCGTCGTCTGATAGCTGACCTCCATACTTGATGTCAAGACCAATTACTGCATAACAAGCGCAAGCCACCGGCACTCCATGGCCGAGTGGGTTGGATAAGGACGGCATTGCTTCCCGGGGTATATTTCGGGTACAGGGCACGGGGCGGCACGGCTCGGATGCCAAGGGATAGCGCTCAGCCCATCAACAAGGAGCAAGCCCGGGTATGTGTTTGGATGCTTGGCGAAAGTGCCTATTGGCAAGCGAGAACATGGTTCCCGGTCCGCCCAGTGAGTAATCTCAATCACTAATCTCTACTTGGTTTGCTCGTTTATCTTCGATCGAAAAACACTATCCGTTCTTACGTTTGATCCAAGGCGAAAGCATTCAAGGCAACAATTCGGTGTATAATGATGAGGTACGGGCAAATAAAGATATTCAATGAATGGATTCCACTTCCAGGTCGAATACTAATGAGCCAGGCAACTCTAAATTCAATTGCTCGATAATTTTTCCCCGAGCTTGTATCTCACCAACAAACGTTGCTTTCAAAGTTTCAGTACCATTTACTCCGTAATCCCACTCTATCTTGAGAACTATCTACCGCAGCAATATTCTTCCTTCTTACTTCAACGAATGGCCTGATCATTATCCTGTTCTCCGTTTAGGAAACCGCCAAGCCAGTTGGCTGCAGCTGATGTGACCTCAAATTGAGAGAAGATCTACAGTACGTACATCTGGCTTAATCAACCACGTGGAGATTTACCACTGGACAATCATACATTGAATACGAATTACTTAAAGAGATTAAACAATATCTGAAATAGTTTAAAAATTCGTCTGGAGTCTTGCGTATGGTAAGCTTAATTGTAAGCTTGTCAAGACAATCATCGTCACATTTTCGTTACAGCGTAGATATTTATGAACCTTTGAATGTGTTAGTTCTCATACGAGCAAAGCCAGTGTCGAAAAAGGTTTTACTTCTGTAGTTGGACACAATTCTTCTGTTAGGATTTGGAAGAACAAACATAACGCGTTTCTCCCATGAAACTTCTCGAAATTTATATACACATTTTTAATAATACCTAAACTGGACGATGGTATACTATTATTGTAAATTCAAGAAGCCATTTCATTAACTAAACTAGTTCCTTCAAGGTCTGTCCCGCCAACTTTCTAGCTGTCGAAAAAAGTGCTGAGTCTCATTTCTAAGAAAGATAGGAATGTCTCCCTTCGATACTTGAATTGCTGCGTGATATGAGATTCGAGGCCATCCCTGACACCTCATTCATGATCTGGATCTGACATAATATATAACTTAGATCTCTGGTAAACCTTCATCAATGCAGTTGTTACTGCATTGACATGTACTGTCTTTATAGGTACTCGGTGGTCCCCATCCCACTCAACCAGTACCGTGCTGGTCGTTGAGCAGCAACGATTTCGCATCCCTTGATGCAGGCGGAGACCTACGTCCCTCAAGCCATGGACATGTACAGTTGGAAGCTCTAGTATTGCTTCCTTTACCTCCTCTTCCCGGCCAAAGTAGGCTTGGGTATGGTGATCCAGTGACACAAGTGGTCCTTGACCTGCCAGGAGTATAGCGAACCGAAAGCTACCAAAGTGCAACCATCCCAAAGACTTTGCACGTTCCTGTTCTCTTAACAACAAACTGGCGGCAATTTTGGCACCCTGGCTAAATCCGAGCAGACCAACCCACTCTCCGGTTGCACCTGAGAGGTCATCGGCCCTCATCACATCCCCAATGGAAGAATCAATGCTATCCACGACTTCCAGTGCATCAGTTTCGTGTGCCGGCATTACCACACTGTGCATACGATGAGAGGGTGTGCCGAAAGGATTGCTTCCATTGGTGTCGCCAGGTTGGGCCTTCACCCAGCTACGAAAAGGGCCCCATTCGGAGTAAACTGATGTGACGTCAGGGCCGGGCTTGCTGATGTAGGGAGCATCACAGAAAACGAGACGGAATGACTGGTCGAGGTGGTGCTTGATGACGCGGCACTGATTGCTGAAGATGCGAGCGTTGGTGCCACCTCCATGTAGACACAGAATTCTCGGGAGGGAAAGATCCGTATTGGCAACAGCGATGTCTTCCAGTAGGGCGACCATGCTGAGCTGTTTGCGTTCTCAGGTATGATAGAACACCAAGTGATCTTTCTGGCCTGTCGAGTTGTTAAGTTCATGAAGCCGACAACAAGGATTGTATCTAAAGCTCGCCCCAAAGCTTTGATGAACAACGAACCTTGAGAGTGGCGATACGGAATTCCCCTCTCTAGTCGTCCTTGACTCGTTATCATCCATGCCATCGTTTCCAATCCTCCGTAAGGCTTATCTTTGACGACATGTCTGAAGATGTGCATAGGATGCTGATGTTCTGCGACATCGCCACTCGGACTTTATCCAATAACTTCCACGCTCCCGTACGCTACGGACTCCGGACTTTCTTTGTTTGTCTGCGGAGTTGCTCTCGGCACAACTTTGCCGGCCCTGTCGCACTGGTCGTTTTCTGGAACGGACTCTCCGCTGCTTACCACCCTCCTGACTGATCCTCCTGGACTCGACACATCTCACACGGCAGGCCTCCAAAGTGATGTCGTATTCAAGCTGATGGTCCTGTTTGAGCTACCAGTCAAGTCATACAGGCTTATCGGATAGCCCACCTGACTTTTCCAAGCAACTAAATCGATTGATCATTGACATTGATTTAATCTATGTATCGATGATGCCATACTCGCCTTCGAAGTTCAATAATTCTGGTTGCCACACTATGCTAGAGAGCACATGGGAAAGGGCCAATCTTGTTTCTTCCTCGAGCAACCCCAAGATTGCCCCTAAACACGAGATCATCATTTTTTTTTCTTTTAACGTACCGGCAGGCCCGTATCGTAGACCAATACCTCTAGTGTCTGGCATTAAGCGCAGCCCTTAATAGTGGTATCAAACTTGCAGAGGCTCGCTACAATCGAAACCCAAGATGCCCTCCTTAAGGGGCAGTCAGACATTATGTGACCACGAATGATTTGTATATAGATAGATATTTTCTAGTGAAAATAAACCATTCTGAAAACTGAGATATTTGATCAACTCAGCCCCGCTCTACCCAAGCCAATGTGTTCTTCAGCCTACTACATTAATGAAAAGCCTCGGTTCTATCCCCAAATCTCAGAACTCGGCCTCCTCTTGATGGCTCATCCTCCAAATTGAGCCAACGCTCGATGCCTTAGCTCCCTGATTCCCTACTCTGAACGGTTGGTGTCTTCTTCGGTTTTCTCTGCTGCCTGAACTTGCTGCATCTGCATGCGCTTCATCATCTCAGCCGCCTCAAAGGCATACTTGCACTTCATCCTCAGCGCCCCACCATAGCGATGCATTACCCAAGGGAACGGCATGCAAGCCAGCGTTAAAAACGCCGGTATGGAGCTTGCCCACTGATTCCCTAAGTTCTGATACATCTGGGGTGTGAAAAGGGGGAACACAGCACCGACGACGGCGCGAAAGATGGCGGCAGCTGCCAGGACGGACGCTGCGTAGATGGTATAAGCGTCGATGAGATAGTTGACAATAGGCAGGATAACAAGAACACAACCGAAGCCGAATGGCGCAGACAAAATGATACCCACGGACCAGTGAATCCAAGTATAGTTGGTCCAGGCAAAGAGGAACATTCCGACCGGTAGAGCGACGGCGCCAGCCATTGCTGGTGGCAAGCGTGACTCTGGAGTAGACTTTTTGGCCAGGAGCAGCTTCATGAATCTGCCATTGTTGTCGTAAATTGCACAGATCAAACCGATTACAATACCGACGGCGATACCCAAGAAAGAAAGCCCGACAATGCCCTCGCCCCAGCCACGATCTTTGCCGTAGACGATGGGCATGGCAGCCATAAACATGTACACTGTACCATAGATGATGGCCATGTAGATCGAGGCCACGAGAACAATGGGCTCCTTGAAGAGCAACACCCACGGTCGCACCAGCGCCCTCTGGAAAACCTCAGATGGCTTCTTCTTGGCCTGTCCTTTGTCGAGAACGCTTATGTAGACCTTACCGTCTGCTTTTGACAACTTGCGGGCCTTTCTAAGGAGAAGAACCGGGCCGTATGTTTCAGGGACAAACACAATCCCAAGAATGCCGACAACGCCTATGAAGGCACAGCAGACCCCTTGAACCCACCTCCATCCAGCGCCCTCGGAGATAAATCCTCCGATAATTGGGCCAAGAATCGGGCCGAGAAAGGGAGCAACACAATACAGTGTCATGGCGAGACCTCTCTGGGCAGGGGGGAAGATGTCGGCAATGGCGCCGCCAGAATTGACCAGAGGTGAGCCTCCAAATGTGCCACCAAAGAATCGCAGTATGAGGAGCGTTTGGATATTTTTGCTTCCAGCAGAGCCACCAATGAATCCCACCATAGCAATGTGGGATACTATCCAAAGAACTTGTCGTCCGTAAAGCTCTGACCTGTGTGATATCACTCGTGATTAGCTGAATGTAAATAGCGAAATGTTATCGATCTTGAAGAACTCACTAAAAATACAAATAAATCATTAGTTTAAACACAAGAGAGTAGGAGATCGTGAGGATTCGTGCTTACCAAAGGACCCCATAGTGCCGGGCCAATTGCAAAACCAAGCACGTAGAGAGTAACGCCGATGATGAATACCACATTACTGATGTTGAACTCCTCAATGATCTCCCGGGAAGAGACAGAGTATGCCGAGGAAGTATATGTGACCGCAAAGACAGACAAAGTGACAATGGTTGTAATGAACCACTTCCTGAACTGTCCCCAATTCATGGGATTTTCCGGGTCATCTTTGACGAATTCTACCACAAAGGGGTCTTCCTCCGTCCCTTGCCCATCAAAGGAATGTGATTTCTCGACGTCGGTGGCAGTCGGTGCCTTGTCGCTTTCGGTTGGAGAAGACATATTGGCGCAGAGAACTTGACAATCCACCAAGAACGTGATTGAAAGGCGAGATAGAGGTCGTATTTGGTCATTCTATAAATTCTAGGAGATCGAAGAAATAAATATTTAACAAACATTCGACATGAGTGACGAAGGCTCGGAGCTTCCCTGTACGACGAGGCAGACAAAGGGCGGAAGCGTATCTCATTGGCTAATGCCTTGAGCTTTACATTTGTCAGCCCGGGATCAATTTGCCATTTCAGCCAATTAAATACCGATCCGCTGTGGGTCGTTTCTGGAAGGGCGGATAGCATGATCATTGGCTGACTTCATCTTCACCACAACATCATCATCCTCTCTCTCGACTCATTGTTTTGGCGCCCCGTGTCTGCTAAGAGCCTGTCGAAAGAGCTACCCTGAATCTGAGATAATGGACTCTCGGCCTGATGAGCGACGGCATGAACTACGCAAGCCATTCCGCAGGCAGCGCTTGAAAGTTACGAGCGCCTGTCAAGCCTGTCGGTTAAGGAAGATCAAGTGTGATGGAGGGCGACCAGGTGGGTAACATTTCAATCTCCCACCTCATTCGTGCATGATATTTTTGCTGATACCGCATGTCTACACCTACAGTATGCAATAGGTGCCAGGTCAGAGGGAAAACTTGCACTTACAGCCAGGGTTCCGCCCCCCTCGAGCATCAAGCTCAACATCCGTCACCAGTCAATCAGGAACCTGCTCCGCCAAAACACTATCACAAACCCATTCTACCTACGCCCGTATTACCCTCTCCTTCAGTTGCGGAGGATCACTATTCTGAACCATCTTCGATTTCAGCAACGCCAACCGCCACTCCAGCGACAAGCCAAGACTCCGAGCCGGAGCCGGATCAGAATCGAGTATGTTATGCCGCTCATGGCCGCTTTGCAGGCGAGGTCGCCGCTGCGATTGATGTCAGAGCCGGCGTAGCTCCAGCGACTACTTCAAATCTTGTCCCTTTCGTGGATGCGCCTTTGTTTGGTGAAATAGACCTTCTAAATCCGCAGCTTGGCTTTGGCTACACACTACCGCCTCGCGAGTATGCAGATAAACTAATTGATATTTACTGGCAATACATCGACCCGGTGGAGCCAGTTCTGGATCGTGAACGGTTCTCGCAGGATTATGAGGCCGTTTATGCCGGCTCTGGAGCATTGCCTCATGCAGACCGTGACACCTGGCTCTGCATTTTCAATATCGTCATCGCCTTGGCCGTTCAGCGACAAGAAGCTATCCCTTTGGAGAAACGAGACGCGGAGGCTAGTCATTACTTCCAGCGCGCGTGGGCTCTTCTCCGTCCAGAGGCCATTCTTTGGAAGCCCGGATCCATTGAGCTGGTACAGAGTTTGATGCTCATGAACCGCTATCTGCACTGCACAAATAACCAACAAAAAACCTGGATGACTGCGGGGCTGGCCGTGAGGATCGCGCAAGGCATGTGCTGCCACTTACCGGAATCTTTATCGTCCAAAGACTCTTCCAGCGATGCCAAACTGAAACATCGGGTTTGGGTGAGTTGCGTTGCCTTGGATCGGTAAGTGTCACTCGCTGCTCATAACTAGAGATAATTGGGACTCGTTACTGACTCTAATTCAGGTGCGTTTCCTGGTCACTGGGTAGGACATCGGTGCCGTCTTTAGTCCACTTACCCATGAAGACGAATTCTCTAGCGGCGAGTGGCACCTCCCATATGGGTGCCGAGCATGCTGATAAGCTAAGGCGCAAGATGGAGCTTCATGAAATAGGAAATCAAATCCAACTAGCCCAAACGCAAACGCGGAACGGGCTCGCCTCTAGTTTGGGTCTCCCGCGTCTGTATCAACACGATGACTACATTTCTGTCGCCTTACAGCTCGACTCTTGCTTAAGCAGATGGGAGAAAGGTCTCCCAGACGAGTGGCAGCTACAAAACCTTCCAAATGTCACCGACCGGGCTTCGCGAGCTGAAGGATACCTGCTTCAGTTACGGTAAGCAAGTTCGATGCGTCCTCTTCCCCAAATGATGATCTTCTTATTGTAGCGTTCCATGTTGCTAATTCCGGTGCCCTAGTCTCTTACACTCGCGTATTTTTCTATTTCGGCCCATGCTCGCTCGGTTCTACTCAATGAAACCTCAGCAAGTGAATCTCCAGGCCGCATCGAGCACTCTGAGCCTAATCGACCGGCTGTTGAAAGACTCTTCTGCAATGTGTATCGAGGCAGGTCAAAAGATTGCATTTCTTATCAACCAAACTCTCACTCCCTCAACTGAATCGATCAGCCTTCTACCATGGTGGTACCGAGTCTACTACTTGCACATCGCTGGAACCATCTTCTTGGCCGCCATGTTTGCACCCGATCTATACACTCCATCCGTGTCGGACTCCTGGAGCATCGTTTTATCAGCCCTTCGAGCACATGCACACCTCAGCGCATATGTCCAGCAATGCATCCACACTTTTGAGACACTATCAGCTAGGATCTTACAAACAAAATTCCCATCCTCTAATAGCTGCAATGTAGATATGCCACTTGACGGGACGTCTGGGTTCTCTTTTGGTGACCTCTTTGAAGATGTGGGCTTTGATTTTGATACTTTTGTATTTGGCATGGAAGATTTCCCTGAGAGCCAAGAAGATCAATGAATAACGTTGTGAAAAGCTTTGATGTTACATTTTTGTACTATATACACCTTTGTTATTTCACAAGATTATCCTCGCATATCGAAACCCGACATATTGACTACCTTGCTCAACCAGCATAAACCAAAATGCACACACTCTACATCATGGTGTAGTTTCCAGACAGAATGATCTCGATCTCATCAGGATACACGGCAGAGTCGCTTCTCGTCAGTTTCTTTCCACTTCTCACTTCCTACTACGGTATTTCCCCAGAATATACCATCAGGGTCATACTTGTTTTTTGTGCAGAGGAGAGTGTTGTAGTTCACACCATAAAAGGTCTGTTGCCATTTTGGTTCGCGGAAGTCGGCTTGGTTCAGATAAGCAGAGCCGCCACCTGGGATAAGTTTTGCTAATGATGGCACGAGTGTGTTGGTAATCAGATTCTGGTTTTTAATGTTCGTTGCCCAGTCCGTAGTGTTCCAGAGGCTGTCGTGTTGTTATGTTAGTCAGGCCGACCTTCGAAAGGATCAAGACTCCGTCTACTTACGTTCCAACTTGTAGGGAAACCAAACTGTTTCTTAGCTCGGGATTGACAGCATTGGGCACATCGGGTGTGCTCGGAGCTTTATACGCGACGCCGGTCACTGCGGCACCATATCCAACTATGCTGCGGATGGTGTCGATCAGCCCGTCAATATTGTCGGTGATTACTGATCGGGGAAGGAGCCTCCCGCCGATTTGGATTCCAGGAGTAAGCGATGGTGGATTGTACGCCAGGTAGCTCTCATAATAACTTCGGAATTCTGTTGACGAATAGGCTGTTTGTGCATGTAAGTTTATGCCAGTCAACACATGTGCCTCGAAGAAATCTTCTTACAGTAAGTTATGTTAAGTCCCTCCAGTTTCTTAAGCACTGGTTCGAAGAGCGCATCGATGTTTGTCTTTGAAATCCCAGGCGCCGTCGCGGGGACCAAAGAGAAAGCACCAGACCGTACTGTCCATAGCGCAGTTCCCCCTACATCAGTAAGCGAAGGAACAATGGCGGTGAAAGCCTTGACCCCTTCGAAAAACGAATCCGATGCCCCCGTACTTGCGAAGGTAAGGTTTGCCGCCGTAGTCAACTCATTTGGATGGGCCTTGATAGTCACTGAGTAAACCACGCCATATGCACCGCCTCCACCACCGCTCAAGGCCCAGTACAAGTCCGTGTATTTCTCTGGAGTTGCTGTAACGAAAGTTCCATCTGTAAGAACAACTTGCCATTCCAGAACCTGATCTGCTCCGAACCCGTGCTTGGAAGTCAATGGCCCGAGGCCTCCTCCTTGGGTAAACCCTCCAGCAGGGCCGACAGTCGGGCAGACCCCGGCAACGATGGCGTACCCTTGCTTGAAGGCAAGGGGAAGAATCTCCCCGCCCTGAATTCCAGAGCCTACTTTGATCGCCTTCCCAGTATAGAAAGAGGACGTAAAGTCGAAAAGGTCAAAACTCTTCAGGTGGTGCGTCCATACGCTCAAGGCTCCAGCGCCGGTGGATTTCCCAAAGTAATCGTGTCCAGTGTTCCTGACAACGAACCGCAGATTCTTCTTCTTGGCAAACGAAAGCGCACGTTGTATGTGAGAGACATTGGCCACGTCAACGGCATATTGGACGTAAGTCCCGATGACACATTGGCTATCCCTCGGTAAGAAGGGATCGCAGCTCTGGTTGGCGAAGAACGGAGCAAGGACTGAGCTCGATGTATCGGTATGTGTCTCGGGCACGTTCCACGCAGCTTGGAGATTTGCACATTTTTCAGCGTTGTAGGTGGCGCTTCCATGGCAAACCGACCCAATCGGTACCGTGGCCACAAGCCTGCCATCAACGGATTGATTCAAGGCATTCCACTCCTCTTGGGTTGGCCAGCAGGCATCACCAGGGAAGCATCGACATTTGGCGGGCTTGTCTTCTTCGGAGATTCGTTTCTCGAATCGTATCTTTGGATTTTTATCAGGATATGCGTTGACATAGCTGGCTACCTCCAGCAGGAGGAAGAGAATGAGAGCGTGTAGCACTGAGTGATGGAGGATAGTCATGATTCAGGGATAGTTGTCGAACCAAGCGTGGAGAACAAACAGGTGCAAGGAGGCGGCGTTTACCTGCGCCTTAATATATGTCTATTCATCTCAAGGTGCGCAACGATATGTTTTCTAATTTCTTATCGAAACCGCTCGATTTCGGCGCTTAGGCAACAAGGTCGGAGTACGGAGTAATTTCGACTCCTTAACAGCCTCGGATCACGAAAATGGGTTGATATTGCGGTGCAACGGATGTGTGATACACGAGGGCAATTTGCATTTGTATTTCTATTTACCTAATAATTAAATGGGATTTTCCCTTTTCTAGACCCGGATATGTTGAAGAATTCGGGCACGTATACCAGGAGCAAGGAGCAGAATGCGAACTCACTCATTCATAGGAAACCTAATTGAATTGACATCTCCCTGCCAATACATTTGAGACATCTCAAAATCATCACCAAGTCCCGGGATTGGAGAAGCGCAATCGTTGCGTGCACAAAAGGCAAACAGAGTCGCATTGCAGCCAAATCTGGGGGCGGGAACCTGCGCGACACGTGCTGAGCCAGCGTCGCGGATGCCGTTGGTTGTTCCGGGAAGTGCCTAGCTTATTAGTTTAAATGTTTCAGTTTGCTTACAAGAGTATATGGATGGGGTAGCCCAAATGATGGAGGAGGATAGATCTTGGTACAATCGCGAGTTCTTAGGTGACGACCATCAGTACTACTGCTCTTTCAACGTCAATTCTAGGCCTACCAACATGATGCTTCAGGAAAATGCTCTCCGCCGTTAGACTATTCGTGTCAATTTGTGATAAGAACCTGTCAGTCATACATGGTAATCTCTTTTAGAGGCTACTCCCTGTATCGAGTATAGGTCGTAGGATGGACTTCTGTTAGCTCCGGTGAGGACAGTCGCACTTTGATCCCCGACTTGTGATAATAAGTAGCGGATCTTTCAGGGAGTTGGCCATATATCACCTCAGCTATAAGAGCTATGTATGTAGCCTATATTTTCAACCTACAGCCCTATTTAGTGGATTACTCAGGCCCAGAGATATGTCAACCTGGCATTTTTGTCAGATGGTGTGATGACACGCTTTTTACCTCCAAACCACATCTGGCGTCATGGCGGAAATGAGAGAACAAGCTCTCTACGGAGACTTGGACACCTCCGTCCCGGAAATCAGGCTCCTCGCCCTTCTTCCTTCTCCCCAGCCCAACGCACCTCTCGTGGGGCAACTCCAGGTCGTGTCTCTGCATTCTCCTCCGCCGTACGAAAGCTTGTCCTACGCCTGGGGTGCACCAGAGTTCACCGAACCCATCGTCATCAATGAGCAGACACGGTTCGTGACGCCCAATCTCGATTCGGCCCTCCGTGCCCTGCGTCATGAGGAAATACCCCGGCTCCTCTGGATTGATGCCATCTGCATCAATCAGAGGTCGCCCCAGGAGCGGGGTCATCAGGTGACGCTGATGCGAACCATCTATTCACAGTGTGAGCGCGACTTGCTGTGGCTCGGGCCGAACACGCACGTCGAGCAAACCGATTACATCAACCCAAGTGAGGATCAACTCGGGGAGGGAATGCGGTTGATGAGGTGCATCGCGGATAAGGACATGTCGGTGTTGGGGGTGATGGGCCACAAATGGGCTGCTTATCAGACAAAATGGCGAGAGCGGTGGTTACGTAGTTTGAAGCGACAACAGAGCGAAAATGATGTTCCCGATGCTGAGCTAGCCGCTCGGATAGAGCAAACGGAAGCAGAATTATCAAGCGCCGCAAATGACTCAGACTCAGCTTGGCTCCTATCATACGCCGAGCAAACGGCACTTCACCAAATTCTCACTTTCCCCACGGTTTGGAATCGGCTGTGGGTGATGCAGGAGCTATCACTAGCTCCAAAGATTCACCTTGTTGGGGGAAGACATACGCTCGATTGGGATATCATCTCCGGGTTCTTGGGCGATACACCGTATGCAGATGCCTTTCACGCGACATACTCTCACAATACCGTTCAGTCTTGTGTGGGGAGAATATTTGAAAACGTACAAAAGATTGATCATCAACGTCGAATTATGAAGGAAATCACTGCCGGGCACCGGGAGTCCAAGCTAATGGATGTTCTGGCGCGGTTTCGGGACACGCAATCAAGCGATCCGCGAGACAAGATATATGGTCTATTGGGCCTCGTCTCTGGCGAGACCAACATTGAGATCAGTTACGAGTTGACCCCTCAGCAAGTATTTACCAGTGTTACCGCTGCTATCATCAATGAGACGGGGAATCTGGATACCATCTGCCAACGTCCTTGGACGTCTAACACTGGGTTTACATCCTTTACAGATGCCCAGGAAGGCTCAACGGGGCAAGATAAGCTCCCATCTTGGGCTGCTGATTTCTCCAAAGGTGGTCAAATTCACCTTTTTGCGCAGAGGTCAATCTTCCAAGCAGGCAGGCCGTCTTGCAAGGTACCGTGCCATGTGATGAATGGGAGCGTCCTCCACACAAAAGGGACGGTCTTGGGCCGAATTGGTCCAATATTGCAGCAAGATTCCGTCGAATCACCGCAACAGGGCGCGGATTCTACTTGGACCGCGCTTGAATGGCTTAAGCTTTACCTAGGATATGATGTCCTCGCCGCCTCCGAGTTGGATCATCCATATGTGACAGGTGAAACGGCTTTCACGGCCTTTTGGCGGACGATGGTAGTGGACTGCGCGGCATATCCCATGACCCGACTCACAAAAGATCAAGTGGAAGAAGAAGACTCGGCAATACGATCAAAATGGCTACAGAAACTGAACGAGTCAACTGGCCCCGAGACAAAGCCCAGTCACGATGGCGATTCATTCATCAATCCTGGGATTCACACAATGTGGATGCGCATCACCTCTGACTGGGTGTTTTCAATTACAACAAACGGGCTCTATGTGTTGATCATGCCGCCGGCGAAGGAGGGTGATATCATCGTCTGCTTGGATGGGGGGAAGGTTCCCGTCGTCCTCAGGCCACTGGAGGAGACTTCCGGTGGCGAGAAGAAGAGGTATCAATTCATAAACGTCGCATACGTACATGGACTGATGGATTTTGGGACCGGGGACTCGACGACTCTCCGCGAAAAGCTTGGGCTAGAAGATCAAGAGTTTTGGCTTGTGTAGATTTCGTAAGAAATAACATCTATGTGGAATGAAATCTAGGGAGGGGGCTAGATCTATGAGTTCAACATATTGGGACGGCTGAGCTCGCCCAAGAGTGCTCCCAAGATGAGCTGTACAAATGTTTCCATCCCCTCATCGCCTACTTGAAGTTGCGTCACTTAACCTCGCTGTGTTACATTCAGTAGGGAAATTTTGGCTTCATCTTTCGTCCACTGCGTAATTGGTTTAGTGGTAAAATTCTCCGTTGCCATCCGAGCAGCGTCGGGGAGCCCTGGGTTCGATTCCCAGATTACGCATTTTTGCTTTTGTCCTGTATATTTATTTGCTTTTGTGCCGTACGTATTTCTTTTGCTAAATCGATTCACAGCGACCTCTATTTGTTTCAGCCCAGGCTTAACCACGTCATTGGAGGTAATGGCAAGCCCAGCGTGCTAGCCGGTTAGTCATGTCCCCAGAGCACGAGAAGTTGGATCTTGGGAATGCCTTTGGAAGGAAGCAACACTACGAAGCGCTCAGTTCAACCACACAACATACAAAATATTTATCATTAGGTGTAAACGCTATCGTAAAAACACTATCATGAGACAAGACAAACTGGGTCAGCTATGGACCTCGCTCACGAGGATATCCATTAATGCCGGCCCAATGTAATGGTATCCATCTATGAGAGAGCTTGTAATTTCAGATACCGAGGACGTACTCTCTAGCTTCGCTTGAACCAGGAGACTGGATTATACGGGTTCCCCTTCTTGACGTCCTTTTTCTTTCCATCCTCGCCAATCTCGCCGCCAATGACAAGACCCTTCACACCCTGCTCCATCTCGTCAAGCTTGTAGTCCGTCATAAAGATGCTGCAGAGGAGGATGGGAGCGCACATGCAAACAGCAATGGTGAGGAGCGTGGTCATGGTCTCTTGGTAGCTGCGTGAGATGGCAATCCGCTCGGGCGTACCAACCTCATACGACAAGGCCACGGTGATGTCGCCATAAATGGCGGTAGCGTTCACCTTGGACGCCTCGGGAAGATACTCGGTGAGCTTCGCAGGAATGCCCTTGCCCCAGACGGCACCACTAATGGCCGAGCCGATGGCGGATCCGATGCTGATAACAGTGAGGAACATGGCGGTGGCAGCGGCGACGTTCTGGTGGCCGGCACTGGCCTGAACACCGAGCTGGGTGGGCACGTTGAGCATGCCGCCGCCGAAGCCGATGAGGACCTGGCAGCCGATGATGGCGGAGAGGGAGGAAGTTTCGGTACGGTACTTCATCATCAGACCCAAACCGAGCGTGTAGAGACTTGCACCAATGACGACGAACCATTTGTATCGTTTGGTCAGCTTAATGATGATGGAAATGATGATGGATGAGACTGTGGATGAGAAACTGAAGATCTGAGTGATGTAGGTGGCGGACTGCATATCGAGGTTCCTGACGACCATCAGGTAGGAGTAGAAGTAGGGGAAAACGGAGAGGTAGAAGGCGACTAGGTCAAGATATTAGCCCTGCGATATCGCCGATGCCTGTCAAACATGTTAAACTTACTGAAGTAAAAAGTGATGAGAATGCAGCCGGCGGCGAAGGTCCTGGATTTGAGCAGGTGCAGAGGGGTCAGAGGGTATGGCGCGGTGTACTCGAGGACCTTGGCCAAGGTTCCCTTGACGCCGTATTTCTTTCCAAAGCGTGTGCTCATCTCCCAGCAAGGGTAGATGACGAGCAAAATGGCACCGATAGTGATCATGGCAATGACCTCGCGATTTTGCCAGCCACCAGGCAGCGTTGCCGCAATTGTGCATGGAATGAGAATCAGGGCAAAGGATGCAGAGAGGAGGATGATTCCACCCATATCGAGATCGCGCCACAAGTTGACAAGAATCTGGGGGACTGATCCCTGGAGGGTCTTCCGCTCTGGCGCAATACCCAGCTGCTTCGCCCGACGGGTGTTCATAACGAGCGAAAAGAGAAGGGGCAAGAAAGCCACGGGCAGGATGATGGCCCACATGCCATATGCCCATCGCCAGCTGCCAGAGCTCTTCATAATACCACCACCAATAATGGAGCCGATCCAAGTGGTAACGAGGAACGGAAGATCGGGCAGAGTGGACATCAGGGCACGCCAAGACAAGTCGGTAGTATCAGCAATGAAGACCTGCTGGAGAATCATAAGACCAGTAGAGCCTGCGGAGTAGAAGATCTGGGCAGCGGCGTAGTTAGACACGCCCTGTGAGCTCGCCATGACGATGTAGCCAAGCGTGTAGAGGGCGATGCTGACGCAGAAGGCCTCGGTGCGGCCGAAGACGTCTGCAATCTTGGCCATCGGAGGCTTCACAACAGCTGTTCTGGCAATTAGCATCATCGAAATACCGAGCCCCCACGCAAACATCAACAAATCAGAGTAGCACACCATTAATAACACCCTGGACGACATTAATGGTCGAGACCATGGAGTGGTTTTGAAAGGAACTGGTGACAAAAACGAGGAGCGAGTTGATGACCTGGCCCTCCAACGACGTGACAAAGGCCATGAGGAGAATACTGCATCAACAAGGTTAGCAGACTTGTGCGCTCGCCAATGTTGAGGTCTGTTGCGGCAAACCTGAAATATGCGACGACTAGTGCAGTCCTGGTCCAGGCCTGGGAAATGGCCTCGATGGCTTTGATGCCATCCTGCAGAGAGGAGTCGTCGCTATCGCCAGTGGCGTTAGCTGGCGTCACGTCAGGGTGCTTCTCGTCCTCCATGCCTGCGGGAGCCCGTGGTCATGATGTAGGTAGGAGGAAGGCTTCTCAGCCTGCCTGGCGTAGAGAAATGGATGGAACACAATACACACAGCTTCCGCTTGCGGTGGGTGCAAATGCCAAAAGCAGGAAGGATGTGCAGGACTGGCGCAGACGGAAGGTCTCAGACTGGAAGTCTATTTGGCCTTCATCGCCCCAATAATATCAAGCCAAATATTGTAGAATGATTTACTGTTTTCTTATTCTTGTGTTTAGTTCTATTAAATAAAAACATTATGTTCCTACCTTATGTGAAATGAGCTTTTTTATTTCAGCCACTTGGGCCAGCTGAGCGTGCACTGGCTGGTGTCGCTCTCCTCCCGTCTCCTGCTCTCCTCTCCTGCTCTCTACACATTCGTGCAGGCACTACGTAGCAAAGCAGCAGCGGTGACAACGCCACTGGCGATGGCCCTCTGCAGGATGGTGTCAAAGCACTACGTAAGGTAGCGTAGGAGCAGCGGTGGATACAGCCAATTGTCCGAGATGACGATCATGCGGCGCTGGGAAAATAAGCTTAGCTTTCGCTCTTGGTTTCATGGAGAAAGTTCCCCCAGCCCTCTTATTTTTATTCGGATCGCATTATTCCCTACAAGCCCTAGTAAAATCACGCTTCATTTACCTGGCTCACTGAGAGCCTGGCCAGATCTCTCGACAGGCGAGAAGGAAATCGGCATGGGAGGCAACCAACAAGGGGGGCGGCGGATGGGGCGAGGCAAATCGTATCCTACCAGCTTTAATCACATTTAGCTTTTTCACTTGCTCCTGCGGCATAATTAGTGTGTAGCTTAAAGTAAGGATCGGCCCAACTCTCTCTCACTGCTCTTGGCGACTGCCACCAAATCCACTTGGCTCTCTTCCATTGGGTCAAAGGATCTGATAAAGTCTCAGCTCTGGTGTCCTAACAGCTTGGCTCAGTCTCTCAAGGATTCATGTTATCCATGCACTTGAGCTGCATCCTTGGGAGAAAGAGGGAGCCACCGGACCAAACGCGTCAAGAGCAGGCCGGCGCTGCCGTTCGCCCCCGGCCGGGCACGAATCACTTCATGTTAAATCCCTCCTGATGTGCATCCCTGTGACAGCTGATGACTTCCACTCCACTCGGGCACAATCGACTGGTCAAGCCAGGCAATGATCCCCAGCCATCTCCCCACATACTGGACCTTTGGTCTCACTGGAGCTAGAGTATTCCAGGTGCACTGATGCTGTAGCCTATTTTTGTTTCGCAGGTCTCTCAATCCTGTGCCAGACGGACAGAAAAGAAAAGAAAAGTGGCTTCATCGTCGGATTCTTCTTGTTGTTCTTCTCGTCCGACTTTTACCGGCGATCGACAGGCACTTAATTCATTAATTCACCGGCAGGAAACAAGGCAGCAGTGTCTTGCGCCATCCTGATGCTTACCACTTATGCTCCGTCTGTAAGCAAAGACTCCATACAATTAGCTTTTTACGCTTCCCGCAGAAAAATACACCATCCACTGTCCTTGTAGGACCTGCCAATGGATAGGTACCTAGGTAGGTAGGTACAGCATTTCTCGCCTTGTTGCTCTGAATTCCCCACCAAGATAAGGCCTTATTGTTCTTCGGTAAGCGGAGGTTCACCAATTACACTTGGTTTCTGTTTGTAGATCTACTTCCTGGAAGCCATTACCAAGGTAGGTCTTATAGCTCGCAAATATCGAACTCATCAGGCTTTCCACTAACTATTTGAGCAGATTCTTGTTTGTAAAGCCTGGTCGTATAGTAGCGAGATCCGGAGGTGAACTCAGTAAACTCAGTAATATACGGGGCCCCATTACCTGTACGGCCCTAAATGCTATTTTTGGAAGAACCTACCCTGTACTTAAGGTCTGCTACGTGAATTTATCAATCAATCCAAATGTTCAAGCAATCTTTATTTGCGTTTATTAGAGGTCTTTTATATTTTCCTTGATAGATAAAGCTCCTAGCCTTACTAAATGATCTCAGCAGGGCATATGTACATAGAAGTGTCAAAAATTAGTGATTATCTCGGTGTACGATATTTCTGATTCACCCCGATCTTCGTCAAATTCTATCCTCCTCTGAAGCCGTAAATATAGATTATAATTCTATCTATAGTCGACGGTATCACCTAGAGGTGGCATCAGGGACGTGGAAAATATTCTAAAATTCTCCTGAATAGGAACATTACGACAGCCTGGCAACGAGGCTGACTTCTTACATTCTGAAACTGGGGAGCAAACATTTTCATTTCATGAGTCTATCCTTCTATTCTAACGCTTCCTTCAACAGAGCCCCTTTCTTAATTGGGGGCAACACCTTTAGCTCCAGGTTTGCCAGGTCATGATCTGGGCTCCAATGCTCAATACCGTGTCGCAGCCAATGGGCATACGTGCCTGGTACATTGTCTGAACCTGGATTTGATCTCCAGAGAGACCCCAGAGTAGGGCCCATGACCCTTACAATGAGTCCATGTGCAAGTTTGAACCCCCAGCTTCGCTGTAAACAGCCTTGGACGATTTCCCTTGCCTTCTTCTGCTCTTCTGTCTCGGTTTCACCCTCCTTGGGGAGTGGGAGTGACATCAGTTCCCAAGCCTTGGGCCCATTCCAGCCCGTGAAAACATTGATTAACTGCGAACCTTCCATGTACTCGATGGCGTACAGATGCTTCGCTGTATACTCTGGGCCATTCCAGCCATCTTCCTCATCTACAAGGCCCATTACCAAGGTCAAGGTTTGGCACTGGATGATATAGTCTGTCAAAAGCTTGCTGACTTCTTCATGCCCATACCTCTTCCCATCTTCCTCAAATTCGAGCGTCACCGGTGCTTTCATCAGAGGGAGCGGCTTCATGAGAGGGCTTGCGTGCATCCCGTCCGTGCTCGTCTTCCCGCCGTCTTCCGCCCAAAGAGCGAGGAAGAGCCGGTGGCATCGCGCGAACAGCGGATTGTTTGGCCTTGATGCGAGGAGGTAGTTGGTCACCTCGTGGCGCGTTTGACTGCCATTGTAGTAGGCCAGGACCTCGTAGGGGCTCTCGGGATTCCCCAGAGTCTTGTTCCAGACCCGATCCAGATCCCCGATTTGCAGCATGCCCACATCTGCGTAGACGCCTCCGTACTTCAGCAGCAGGGGCCAACGCACGAGATCCGAGGTATGCTGGATTCCGTAGGTACCACCAATAGCTCCGTCGACAAATGCTTTTGGGAATGTGTCTGGGTCACTGGTATCTAGAAACTGGTCTATATTGAGAGGGGATGAAGGCTGGCGATCGAGGACGCGAATCACCCATCCGGATTTCGAGAGGCGGCGATACCAGGCCCTCACGTTTCGTTGGGTATAGCCATGCATACTGGAGAAGCCGGAGTGCCAGAAAAACCACACATTTTTGACATCCTTGACTGGTGGGGGGCTGAGGAGTTCGGCATCAATCTCAGCATCGGGGCGGCCATCAAATAAATGGTCAGGAACCTTGTGGAGGCCCTGAGGAATCGGGTATGTCAAGGGTTCCATGTTCACGCTTAAGCTAGTTATTAACTCGAGCGATGTTGGTAGTAGAATTGTTTCGAAATTAAATGCCCTGTGGTTGACCAACAGGGACGGAAATGATTGAGCTGATGGGAATGGTTCTATCATCACCAGAATCAATTGAAACCGCAGGCCACTATTATAGGCGCTGTTGCTGCTGTGGGCCTGATTTTAGGGAGCAAATCACTATGTCGTCTTCGTGAGTCATAATGACTGACTGGAGACGACCCATTGCGCTACTGGAGCCCGCTGAAGAGGGAAATGGCCGTGATTCTGATCAAGTTCACTTCAATATTCTCTACGAAATCCACTGTCTCGTCTGAAAAAAACTACACGTCACCAGCCAACGCTCCAGCGAAGGGGCTGCGTGCTCGGATTCTCTGACCGTAGAATGCCAACAACCATGGAATGGCTGTCAGAAAAAGCCCAATGCCACCCAATAAACTTCCGGCACCCCAATATCTAAGGCCTTTGAGCATGAACATGGTGAACAATGGGAAAATCCCCGCCAGGAGATTCCGGCACATGCTCTGCGCGGCAAGCGCGGAGGATGCATACAGGTGATAAGAGTCTGCCAGATAGTTGAACCCTGCGAGATAGACGCTGAAGATGCCGATGGTGCATGATCCAATAGCCAGGGTTGGGGAAATCCAGTGTACACTCGGCGTGGCGGTCCAACCAAACCAGAACAACCCAATCGGAAGCAGTGCAGACAGTATCCCGGGCGGCAGCAAGCGGCCCTCGGGAGAGGTCATTCGGGATGGCCAGAACTTATGCGTGATGGGCTCCTGGAAGATGGCAAGCAAGCAGGCGATGGTGGACCCTACGACAACAGCCACGTAAACAGCGCCGACTTGGGTACTGTTGAAGCCGTAGACGTCCCGGAACACGATGCCAATGCTGCTGAACTGCATGTACAGGATCGCCCACGCGAAGGAAGCCCACGCCGAGAACCAGAAGACGATGGATTCCGAAACGAGGAGCTGGAGCGGGAAGGCGAAACTACGCCAGACTATACTGATGGTGAACTTGCGTTCCTCTATCTCTGATTGGAACTGGAGCCAGGTTGCCGATGTATTATCGGCTATGGCTTTGTTCATGGCTCTGCATTTATTCCTCAAAACAACGTTGCTGCGCGTCTCCTGGAAGAAGACGAAGATGATGAGCGTCGTGAGGCCTGCCGCGCAGGCTTGAAGGTAAAAGATCCATCTCCAGCCAAGGTGGTCGACAACAGCACCACTCACGAGGGGACCGAGGCCAGTCCCGGTCATGATGCTCAGAGAATATAGAGCCATCGGCGTGTTCCGATCCTCTTTGTGGTACAGGTCGCTCACCACGCCTCCTGTCAGGGTAGCATACACCGAGGCGCCGCAACCAACGATGAGCCTGGAGACGAGCATCCCCGCGTAGTGGTTGGTCACGGCACAGCCGATTGTTCCTATCAAGAAAGTAACTCCCGACCCCACAAACACCCAGTAGCGCCCGTGGGCCTCACTGACGGGTGCGAGGATCATGGGGGCAATACCAAATCCCATGACGAACACGGTAATGCCCGCGTTGAACTCAACGTCTGAGATACCCCAGAGTTCCCGGACTGGTATGGCTGCCAGGGCGTAAGCACCGGCAGAGTACGCGGCGAGGCAGGACGCCATGAACGCGCCGCAGAGGACCGTCACCTTCTTGGTGGTGCTCCAAAGGAACGGGGATCCGAGCTCTGCTGCTTTTGAGACTCGTTCCGACACGAGTGCATCGTTGATGCCGTTCTCCTTCAGGATCTCTACCGGGCAAAAGGTGGGAAGGAGGGCATCTAAGCCAAGCAAGTGGACGGTAGGCTCATCGCCTGGATTCCGTTCCCGGGGACCTGCCGCGGGTATTGGATGGTGTACCGACTTTTCTTGTGCTAATACGTCTAGGTCTGATTCTGACCCATGCTCCAATACCAGGTCGGGTTCATTGTTCGGGGCGTGCATGGCGGGCTCTGGTTCGGGGTCACACTCCTAGAAAGTGCACCTAGTATGGGAGGTCACAGATATCCCAGGAGTCCAGGTGAAGGGGCAGTGATGTGGATGCAGTCATGGAGTGAACGGGAATCTCCCACTCCCAATCGTTGTTTTACAAAGATCTCGGCTCCCCGCCTCCGACGTCGGTTCAAGGGATTGGGTATAAACTGGAAATAATGGCTTTCAATTACGTAGGCATGAAAAGCTTAATACCGATCCAGGAGCGATATGCACGCCAAGGAGCTGCCAACCCCGGACGGGGAGGATTAGCTCGCCCCAAGACTGAGGAGTAGGGTACAGGACTCCCCAGGCCATGGATGTCGTCCTATTTTCTTTCACCCTTGAAGGCGGTCCTTCGCGGAATAATACCAAGTCCAGGCAGGTAAACGTCGTGCTGAGGTAGACAACTTCAGCGGCAGGCTGCTTTTTGGAAAGGAGAATCTGCCAACATCACCTTCCCCACGGCGTGGATAACAACGGCCGATTTGACTCCGAAACCTCCACCATGTCAGTTCTCACAACTCATGGGCGCGTGATCCACTTCGATAGCTCTTACCTTGCTGACGCTCTACGGCCGTGACTAGCGGTGGGAGGATTGCAATATTGCGCTCAAAAGCTATCGTAAGCATGATAAATACAACGTATAACGGTCATCCATTTCATATTAACCATGCCATGAATTCCAAACCCCTGCTCGCTATGTTTTAGTGACAGTTCATATTAGTACAAGTCTTTTTCCTTCCAAATCTAACCAACAAACGTATATAAAACAGATATATGATCACAGGTATCACACGCGGCCGAGGACTTCACTATCCCGCCACACAGTAGGGCAGGAGTGAGAGGCATCAGCCGCGACCCTCTGCCGAAGCCGGCGGGTCATTCTCCATTCCCTGGGCAAGGCAAAGTTGGTCCTGTCCTGCTTTTTGCAAAACGCGATTTGTACTTCCAACTCAAATAAACTGTGTCTTGTGAGCAACCATGACTGGTGATTTTCGGAGTAGGGGCAAGGGGAAAAGGAAACATACGTTCTCCAGGAACTAAGTGGGCTCAGAACTAGAGGTAAGGGCTCGTGAAAAAGTCCACTGTGATAAGTTGATAAGAAACTAGCGCGGACTGCTATTCGAGCACCCTCTAGGTCATCCTCAGAAAGCATTGTAGAAGTATAGTCATAATGCAATGCTCGGTATATAAAAGGTCGGTACAGAATGGATTTGGTGTGGTAGTAGCATGCCATTAGGTGCCCACGTAATCGTTCCTCGGCCGGCCGAGGTTCAAAGGGGCCTGTGGATACATCTTGAGAGGAGGAGTACGCCGGAAACTCGAGACATTCGGGAAGGTTTTCTCTCCACTCTTCCAGCTGTCTGTTCAGCTCCTCGATTCTAGATCGAGAGGCCGAGAGAAACATGCTAGGGCGGTCAAAAGCCGGAGAGTTGATCGGACTTCTGAAATCGATATTTTGTTGTTTATCTAGGGCCTTGTTAGCAGTGAGGGACTAATAGCCAATAATTAGCTTTGAGATCATACCTCGCCTATACATGTAATATAATATTCTGTTGCCGAGTTTCCTGACTCCAATTAAAGATAGGAAATAAAACTGATATTGCGCAAGGCGAGGGTCCGTCCCAGTGTCCGGAGAAATGGGCAAAAGGAAACTGCCTGCAACCTTGCCTAACCCACTTGACGGGAAATCAAACTCGGCGAGCAATTGACTGCTATACATTAGCGGGTATTTCTCAATCGGGTAGAGGACTGGATTGGGATGGGTACCTTTCCTGAAGATAGGTAATCCAAAGTAGTTGCACCTCGTGGGCGTCTAGACGATCTTGCCTGTAAGGGATGAGACTAAGAGAAACTTGAGAGCGGAAGAGAGGTTTCTTACAATCGCACCAAGATTAAGACCGAGCAGCAAGCACGGTGGATACAACGCCAAGCATCGTATGGTCTAAGTTTGGAGGTGTAGAACAACCTATTAAGGACCATCTGTCAGTACTGAACCTATGTGAGCATATCCCAATTGGGATATACAGGACTTTAGCAAAAGACACACATACCCCGAAAGCACTAAACACTGGACACTGGCCCAGTCGGCTGTCTCCAGGTCGCGAAGCATGTCTTGGGCCAGAGAGAAGAATGTGAATCCGGTATTCTCTTTGCTCTCCGTCCCCCACTCATCAAATCCCAGGAACCGAGCAGCAACAGCGCCCAATGCACAAACTAGCAAGACGACACACGTGTCCATGCCCTCTGCGAAGTTGATGCTTATGGCTTGATTGAGGACACTCGAGTAGAAGTGGTTCTCATCAAGAATGAGGCAGGAAGGGTGGAAATGTGAAAAGTACAGCTGTGTAAGCCGGTGGAGCTGCGACATGGGGACTTGAGACAAGAAGCTTTCTCCCATCGCAGACTGACCTGTATTGACTGGTTGGGGTAGCTGCTTGGATATCTTGGGGCGATTAATCTCCAGCTCTGTTGGGTATCGGAGCTCCCTCTTGCTCAACTTGAGCGTAGAACATGGCCATGCTAGCAGATGTTGAGGGTCGATGGCGTGCTTCTGGGCAGAAGCTATCTCCTCACGAATTCGACCTATGTCGAAAAAGAGGGGCGAGGCGGGTAGGGGCGTAGGAGGAGGCTCAAGAGAAACTGATGAAACTGTAGCCGGCGTTTGCGGCTTGGAGCTGGGAGGAGGTGACAGGTGGCTGCGTTGGTAAGTGGGAGAACTTTGCAATTGGCCTTGAGTCTGAACCAACGAATCGAGCTTCATGTCCATGCGTTTCAGCATATCGTTTAGCTCGGAGACAGGTAAATTTTCCCTAGGGGCTAGTTAGCAGTTACACACCAAAAGGATGCCTTCTTTGCGGACAGCAGGCAGGGGTGGCACGGGCAGCGTAGTATGGTAGGGCAACGAACCCGGAGAGGGAGAGGATGGTCTCAAAGCAGGTGCACTCGAAGATCGGTTGAGCACAGCGGCTGCAGTTGGTCTCGCTTGCATCGTCGCGGCCCGACGACGGCGGGCTGGGAGAGCCGTGCTTCTAGATTCAAAGAACACACGTTGGATCAGCATGCGCGCCTGGCGGTGGTGGTGGTGGTGATGGCCTCATCGGGCGTGCTACCCTACATACATTGACCTTGAGCGGCGGCCAGCGAGAACTGGTCGCCGGATCCACTGGGCTTTCCATTGTCCCACAGGACGGGAACGAGGACCAGACCTCAGTGCGCAGGCAGAGAGAGGGACGGCGTCGGTGTCTGGCCTATGAATCCGGGACTGACTGCCTCAATCCCAGGGAAGGGAATGATCTCGGGACCGCTGCAGAGGTGATCGCCGGGCAGAGCAGTTGGGGCATAATTGATCAATGACCAGCAGAGTCAAATAGGCAGGCCGGTGGTTCGGTGCAGGTTTTCGAGAAGCAGCTTGGGTCAGACGATTGGACCAAGTGCGCGGTGGGGCTGGAGGCTGGCAATTAATTATCCTGGCCTCATCGCAATCAATTGAAATTCACTTGCGAGCAATACTTCATTTTCGAGGCAATCCCAACTGCTTATATTACTAAGTCCACGGATATGGCCAGGACTGGGGGCCAGGGCATGGGCATGGACATGGGCGCGACGAGGACAGACTGGGCTGGACTGGCGATGGCGGACATCCATGAGCAGGCAGCAGGCCGAGCGAGGGTGTTCCTTAGTCATCAGGACCGTAGTCACGTGCAGCCGCTACTGGAAGGAAGCACCAACAGTCAGCAAAAGGTCTAAAATTAAATCCTTCGCCGGAGCTCTTGACGCAACCGACGGGCATTTGCACCAGCAGCGTGTCTGGGCCGCGCTCATCGATGATGGCGGTGGGCTGGACCAGACGATGATCGCCTCCACTCTTGCTCTGACAAGCGCTGCCCGCAGTTTCGCCCTTCACCAACTGCATATTGCTACGTAACCGGCCGGCATGTGCTGGCTGGCAAGGTTTGGAGGGCTTGGGGGCCGTTCTAGCGGATGAGACTAGGTGAGACAGGTCCTAATCGAGGGCTCCCGAACTAATTTAATACGAAGGGATGTGTGGGTGGCGCAGAGGCCAGAGGATGGATCTGGCACACGCCTTGCCCAGCCCAGCTCTCACCAACAAACACGTCCCGGCCCTACCATCCCGACCAAGCCTCCCCTGGCCTGGCATGCCGCTTACCAGGATCCATCTGCCAGACAAGACTCAGACCTGACTGCCCACAGAGCACCTATTACGCACAGCGGTTACACCGTCCAATCGTCGCCCACCGCACTGCCCCCCCAAACAGGCCACGGCCCACTACCGAAGACCTCGCTGCATTGCCTGCGAAATGCACCTCGAGTTTCAGCCCCGGAGCCGACCCAACGTCATTCGTCATGCGCGGGGCATCCTGGAATTTCTGGCTAACGCAGGAGGGAAGGATCCAAACCTGGAATTTGCCTGTCTCGGCGCCTAGGTCTTTGCTTGGCGACACCCATCGCCTACTGTGTACAGGCGGTAGGCGCTGCGCCTCAGGCCCTCGCTCGCTTGCGAGGCAGAGTTGGCCTCCGATCGCTCCTTGCAAGAATCATCATCGCGTGTCCATTGCCGTTGGTGAGCCTTGCTAAGGTTGTTTTACCGCCCAGACCAGTGCCGTGGACGAAGCGCCCTGTTCAACTGTTGGCCCAATCCTTGCTCCTGCTCCTCCCCCCGCAGGCAACGCACGGGACGTCCCTAAGGTAGGGCTCTGATCTGAATCTCGGCTGTTGCATGGTTTTTTTTTTCGGTTTCCAATTTCCTCAAACTTCCCTGCCTTACTTGTTCGTTCGTTTGGAGGATGACGAATGAGGACCTCTGCGCTTCTCTCTAGGAACTCTTGGACGACGCGACGATTTCATCCAGAGCATAGGGTCCGCCGACGACCTGCTGGCGCCCGGCTGGGGATCACAGCATGATGGATCCCCATTCCATTTCCTCGTTCACCATCACGCTGACCCAGGCAGCCGCGATAGTATGTCTTCTTACCCTCCCCTTCGCCGCCTGACCTAGACGTTCGCTTGTCTCTGGTGGATTGGATGCTAACTCCGGGACAGGTGACGACGGCTCTTGGAAATATCGCCCAGCTGCGCACTTCCGACACTCGCCTGGCTGGCCTTTGCGAAGAACTCTCGGACCTTCCTGCCCCCCTCAAAGATATCGGCGACGCGCTCGAGAAATGCGAGAAATCCGACCTTGCCCTAGTACACGATGCGCTCTCACGCCAGTGCGACTCCGTCCTGGCAAATTGCCATATACTCATTGGCGAATTAGGCCAGCTGGTGGACAGGATATGGGAATCGTCGCCGGGAGGGGCTGGCTGGAAATCGAAGACGGCGGTAGACCTGAGCATTTTCGGGGAGGAGTTTACAACCTACCGTGACAAAGTCCGTCTTTTCAACTCGGCATTCCAGACCATGCTTCACGTCATCACCTTGTATGTCTACAACTTCTTCCTCAAGCACCAGTTCCTACTACTAACGTGCTGTGTTACTTAGATGCCTTGCACTGCGAGCAAATGCTCCCGAGGGGCGAATCCTTGGCGACCTTGACCAACTCCAAGCATCAATCGATGAGTCCCTTCATGCTTCGTCTCGACCTGTGGGGGGTTTCCGCCGTGCCAAGGGTGCAAATAAAGCAGACAGCCAAATATCACAGGACGTGCGGCAGCTAGCTGAAGAGGCCAGAGCTTTCCACGATACTACCAGTTCCGCGGTCGACACACCCCGAAGTCGTGATGTAACTCCGCATCACGCGCCGCACGAGCTGGCCGAGGACGACGTATTTGATACGAGTAATATAGAGGCACCCGAAATGGACTCTGCGCACCTTGCCCCGACCCCCCTGCGAAGCGCCCGTACGAGTTTTTCCTCCGTTTTCAGCTCCCAAGACAAGACCGAGCAGGACGCCCGCGGTATCCTTGATGCATCGGGACCTGTCAGCACTAAATATGCCGGACCTGCCGGTGAGGAGGATGATGGCGGTGATGACGAACTCGAACTCGAATACCTGAATGGACTGCGCGAGTTGGCCGCAGCGAGCATTTGGAAGAAGGAGTATGCCAAGGCTACCGAATATTTAAACGATGCTCTTTTCCGAGGGACGGAAACGGAGTCTACGCAAATGAGCCGGCGCCAACTACAGACCCAGCTTGCTCTATGCTATTTCCTCCAAGGGAATTGGCGACAGGCAGAGCTACTGGTAAAAGATTTGGCCAAGGTGAAGGATGATGATGAGCTCATCATCTACAACTTTCTCCATGCCTTGTCATTAGCGCACCTTGGGGAGTATGCGTTTGGCTACGCATTCGAGTATTGCAAACTTGCGTTGAATGGCAAGAGGAGGCTCTGCAAAAATCTGAAGGCGGATTGGGTCGAATATCAAGAGACGCTGGGATTGTTTGCAACAATATTTGACCTTTCTGGCGACTACATCCGAGCAGAGGTGTTTAAACGTCGGCTGCCACCCGGGTTCGAGTATTCGCACCCGACGAATGAAATTGACTTTATCCAATCGAAGAAGGACCTGCTCGTTAGCATCCTGGGAGAAGAAGAGACATGTGTCACTCGGCAGAAATCTTTTAGAGCCGAGTTAGAGGGAGGGCAGTTCGAGAAGCAGACTATTTTGAAGCAAGCCTTGCTTCGGCATGCGTCGATGCCCATCGAAGCTGAGACCAACCTACGGAGAAACCTATCTCAGTACCAGAAGTACGATGCGGATACCGCCAAGGAGGTTATTGCAATCGTGGCAGCCCGATCATCATGCGATGTAGACGATGAAAATCCTCATGATTCATTGATGTCGCCGCCACCTCCTGTGCTTAGGTCGCGGCTAAGCTTTGGCCGCCTTTTTGGAGCGAAAAACAGTCGCTCGAATACTTTGGACGGGAAGGACGACATTTCACAGTCACCGGTATCCGATACGCCGATCACAGAGACGCCAACAGCGAAACAGAAACCAACCACAGAGACGCCGACGGCGAAACAGAAGTGGCTCGGAATTGCAAAACCCAAACTTCTGCTCCGAAAAATGAAGAGCGAATCCAAAATTCCTGGTCTCAGCATCACCGAGGCATCGCCGCAAGAGGGGTCATTCAACCTCATCAATATGCAGAGGGTGACGACGCCAACGCAATCGCAGTCGGCGCGCCAGTGCAGCTGGAGCGGTCCAAGGTCTCAACCCTTCGACGCCGATGCACCTACTGGGTCTCAGTCTGCCCCGATACACGGGCGGTTTCGTTCCAGCTCGTGCGTTAGCGATCTTGATGCACCACTCTCGGCTCTACCTAGCCGAGCTCCTTCGCCATGTCATGAATCTGAGATGTCAGACGGTCCAGTGGCAACCGCTGGAAGAGTGAATGAGCTTCCCCCGCCAGCGTTTGAATTGGCAGACACCTCTCAATCTCCCTTGCCATCGGATCCGAATGGAAACGGAAGTTTAGCTCCAGATGAGCTATTAACTCCCACAGCCCAAGACCATCCAACTTCGCCCTCCCTTGCCCCCGAGCTTGACTTTTTAGGCGCTGCCATGGTGGAATCCAGGGAGCGAACATCGATGATATCTAGTAGAAGCCCGTCTCCCTTTTCTCCGCCCCCAGACCCCCTTCCCTTTTCGCGATGCTCTTCCAAAGAATTCGAAGAATCAGTTGCGGTACCCGGAGCAAAGGAGCCCACGCTTCTAGCGAGGGCACACAGTGCCCGTAGCTGTTTTGGGCTCATTGAAGTCGCATCGCCTATCGAATATTCCCCCGTTGAACTCGCATCCAAACCCGTTCCTTTATCCAACACGCCTTCTCCAGCTGCAGCATACGTACCCGTCAACAAGCTGATGATTGCTGACGCCTCAACCAACGATTCTCCCTCCAATAGCTCTCCAGTCGATGAGTTGCCTATGGAGGATTCACCTGCTCAAGAGGCTGCCGGTGATATTTTGCCTGGTGATGATTCATCGGTCGATGAATCTTTGGCTGAGTCATTGTCAGAAATTGATTCCCAACTCGTGACAGTCCTTGGAGAGGTGGCTTCTATCCTTGCATCTTTGAATGGTGAAGAAAAAACAGACGTCCAGGATCTGAAAGACTACCACAGCCGGCTCACCACTCTTTTCCCCGACCTGAAAGACATGAGCCGGGACCGATTGATTGTGGATGACATCAGGGGAGTTCTATTTACCCTCCGTAAAAGAATCAAGAACTGGCACAAGAAGGTCGAGGATGACTCCGGCTATGAGTCAGCGTCGCCACACACGGAGACTGCTGCGGTGGTCAGTGAGGACACTACGGAAGAGACAGCTAGTCCACAGGCAGCTAAACCAGTAGAAACCGAGCCCAAGCAGGGAACTGGCGAGATCGAGCCCCCGGTAGAAGTTGAGCAGAGTCCTTCGCCTTCGCCTGAACCAGTGGCGGTGAAGCAAGAATCCATGAATATGAAGGTGCCTACTATTGTGACTACCGAAGTCATCACCGCTGAGGATGGGTCTTCGTTCATGGAAGTTGAACCGACAAAGGTGGAGGTTGAGAGCCGGCCAGTGAGTCTCGATTCCGTACAATCGACGACGACGAAACAGGGCGCCGTAGTTACTGCAGCTCCTGTACCAATGCGGCCTGGGTCCGTCATGAAACCTAACCATGTGATGGTGACAGCTTCTCCAATTCCCAAGAATGACAAGTTGCAACACAGAATCATGAAACTCGTTTCCACTCTGCTTGATGGAGCGAGCCCGGCTATCTCAGCTGAAGCAACAAAGTCTACTCCATCTGTTGCTCAACAAGACGACGGTTCCAAACAGGTGGCCGACTCATGCGATGCTTCAGATGCGAGCAATGGAAAAGCCTTTCTCCTTGACCTCTGGAACTCATTAATTGAAGAGGGCGGAGAATCTGATCTCAGGATCAGCATCGAACCGCCGAAACGCGCACGCACCGAAAGCGACGCTGAATCAACCACGGGTGGAGTGAAGCTTGTGGCAGATCCAGACACCCAGCCATGGGAAGTTAATGAATACGTATTTGACGAATCCCGCGCCTCTAATTGGGATTGGGATGAGTGGCGAAGTATAGGATCGAATATGGGGCGTCCTCTGCAGTCGCTCCAGCCTTCTGATCTGTACGGAGCATAGTGGTGGCATTTCCGAACAACAGTAACAGCTCACGAATAATGTGGTCAACGACCCCTAATGAACGTGATGTCTTTTTTGACTTACATTCCTTTACTTTGTCACAGCACATGGACAGGAGTTTTAGGTTGTTTCCGGAGTATTGGATAGCGATTGTTTTGGGTGGAAGGAATATATACATGTGTGGCAAGCAATGCGGAGCAATACCGTTTGGTAATTTTTAGACGTAAAAGATTTCTGTTCCAAACCGATTTCTCTTCTACAATCCTTGCGAAGACTGTCAAGTGAAGTATTAAATGATCATTATCTGGTTTCCAAATCCTTGGAAAGGAAAAATTAGCAAGACGTCAGCGGTTTATCATGACCCTCCACAACGGTCGATTTAAGTGCATGCCGTCTCTGAGACGTTGCTTGACCAAGTCCACTTCTTTCGTCTTATCTATGAATTCATCCAACAGAATGCACGCCTCCTGTGGATCTAAGAGGGTCAACACGGTGCTTGTGTCGAACCCTTCAGGCAATAACTGGCTATATAGATTCTGCATACCGCCCACGTCAACATCCGGTGCCGTCTCGCCAAGGAAGTCCTCAACGGTGAAGACCTCAATCATGTCGGGCTCGATGGGCTTGCGGCCCCAGGTGGCCTCCTTGATGCGTATCATCTTCCGGGCCCTGACGAACGCGTACTGGAACCTGGAGGAGCGGATCTGGCGCAGGAGGACGGTCCACTGCCCGGGCTGGAGGTCTCTCATGGCGGAGAACTGACCTCGGTGGGATACCTTGCGGGCGGCCTCGAGGCCGTACTTGTAGATTTGGGCGGGGAGGGGCCCGATCTCGCCGAACTCCGTCGAGGTGAGGGATGAGGAGCTGGCTGCGAAGCATGCGGATACGTTGAGGGCGGTGGTTCCGCCGGTTACGAAGAGGAGGGAGCGCATTATGCTCATGTATTGGAATAGGCCGGTGAGTAGCCGGACGGGGCTGAGAAGGGCGTCGCCGAGGGAGAAGTACTCGTATTGCGCGAGGTCGTGGATTTTTGACCTGTCGTGGTGGACGAGGAGTTGAGCAACGGGGAAAGAGGGTGTGAGCAACGGGGGAGAGGTGTCGTCTGAGATCCAGTTTTCTTCGTGGATGGAGTGGTAAAAGGGTGCGGTGATGGTGAGTTTGTCGAGGCGGATGTTGAGGTCGGACTGCGCCAGCTCGACAAAGGGTTGGCAGGTGACGAATCCATTGACGGAGAGCGGGTCTAGGAAACAGACGGTTTTGAGGTTTGGGAGTGTAGAGAGGACAGGCCATAGTGGTTTGGGATAAAACAAACTGGTTCGTGGCGTGGCAAGACTGATTGTGTGGACGTTCTGAAACCCGGGGGTTTGTAGCAAGGTTTCCAGGGAGGAAACGTCAAGAATGGGGAAGCAGCCCCAGTTGAGAATCTGCTCTCCTTCGTACACTAAGGAGACGAGAGAGAGAGTCGTAGGGGATCCGTCCACGAGGTGTGGGTTTTGGGAAAACCAGTCCTTGACAATCTTTTTGAGCCCTGGGAAATGTAACATTTCCTGTTTGATTGTGTCGAGGTCGGCCACATTTGAAGATGATTGGAGAGCCTTCATCATCTTGTCGACAGCTTGCTCAACTAATCCTCGAGGGCCAGTTACAGTAGTTTGTGCTTCACGTTTGGATTGGGGCAGTAGAGGCGGCGTATTCCACCTCCCCCCCTTCCATGTTTCTGCTTGCTGAATTAGTCACTTGAACACCATGGCATGTTCCCTGTTAAGCAGGACTTACCAACAAGACTAAACACATCAATGACGGCCCATCTTGTAAGACCTGTAGTTATAGTGACGGACCGCGGCTCTTGTAGAAATTTGTCATCTTCCGAATAGAATGTTCCAAGGTACTGCTTGGCAGAGAGCGGGCGGGAGCGTAGCCCTACTCTTGTTGGCCACCTGCGCTCGTCGGTCCCAGGTAAGTAAGGTCCTTTGTGATATCAGTACGCTTGCAAGATAGACGGGAAGGACAGGTGGGGAGGATATCATACTTGAAATAAACGCAAAGCAGTACTTGATTTTATCCAAATCAGTGATGTCGATAACAATGATGCCTCCGCCATTAAGGCAGTAATCGAAGTGAAGATCGAAGGGAAGCTGGTGGATGGCGGCTGGAGGGTGACCGTCGGTACGATGCAAGGATCCCACAGTTAAACAGGTGGAAATAAAGGCGAAAGGGGATAGCTGAGTAAACTCGGAGGTAGTTGGGTGCTTGGGGTCCGGTGCGATGCGGCCTTTGAAGAATGTCTTGGCTGAGAAGAGCTCCGCCTCGAGGGCAAGCCGGTTGCTTGGATGGGAGAATATCTGGAGTAGGCGATGGCACTGGGCCGCGGCGCGCATGCCGCTGAGGTCTGGATGGTTGAGAGCGGCAACAGGCTGGTATTTGCCGTCCACCTCGGCGATGACGAACGTCTGATGGGTGAGACATTTCCGCGCATGAATCTGGAGGGTATTGCCGATGTGTCAATGTGCTGGGGCTCTGGTGGTCTTTAAGTACCTAGTCGGAGAAGATGTTGGGAAGGCCTGATTGGGTTGGATTGATGTTGGCTGGTCATTGATGATTCGTCCCTTTCTTACATAGTGAGGGGCAACAGGCAGATTTCAGCTGGAGCTCTTCCGTCATCAATAACACCGCCGGGTGGAGCTGCTGCCATCAATATGTTGGTACGACGCGACGTGCGAGAAAATGCCACTGTTCGGTCAGCACTAAATGCACTACATGGTTGCCTCGCCTCTGCAAAGGCGTTACTGCTATTGTGTTGGTTGTGCCGTGTTAGTTATCATCGCCTGCGCCGCGGCAGGAAATGATTATGTTGGTTCCCCAACACAGTCATACCAACAGACTCATGTTTTATCATGGACATCAGCTCATAAATTAATTCATGGCCGGTCCTTTCACGCTAAGTTCAATGCAGATGATGTAACAATTCGGGGATTGTTCTAATTTTCGATAGGCGGAGGATCATCTAGAAAAGCCAGTAGCCGTTCACTGCAAGGGGTTGTTTACTGAGCACCGTTCGTTATTATACCGTATTCGCTTTCTTTTAATTATCTCCTCTCATATTGTTGTTGGTTCATTTTATCTATGCCGTTGTCCCCCTTTAAATTCCTTGCATTGATCTTTCGTGTTGTTATTAGCTAATGAATTAACAACCAACACCGCTATTAATAGTGAGATGGACAGTAACATCCAGCGTGACTTGCAAGCCTGTTACTCATGGAAGGCGATATTCCAGCTGTTGATGCTAGAGGCAAGGCGGGACTTGAAGGGCAGGCTTGTAGTTTCAATATCTCAGAGATGTCAAGGCCGAAAGGAGACGCATGTGTGACTACCTCACACGAGGCTTCCCCTCCCCAACTCCCGCTAGATTGAACTGAGTGCTAGAGAGGCGGAGGGGATCGATGCTAGTATAATTGCTGAGGAGTACGAGACTGATCTAATCATCTAACCCGATGCTCACTGAGTGGAGGGGATGATTTATCGAAGAACCAAACCGACTCATCCAATGATGAAAACACGGCGGAGAATTTGGTTATGGGAGGAGTGAAAGATTGGGTGGTTCTCTTATATGGACAAGCAATTGGACTTTTCCCTTGGATTCTACTTGAAGTCGTTTCTTTAAAGATGAGCCCTGCTGGGAACTTACATCACCCATTTAAGAATAGGTACGAAACTTGGGCCTGCGGATTGGCTAGCCCATCCGATCGAGGAAGATCAAAGTCATAGATAAAGTGCTGATTATTATAGAAATCTCAGAATGCCCGTTATTTTTATCTCGTGGTCCGTAACGGAACTGCAGCCACTTGTATACCGACGAAGTGGGCAGACGGGTGTTATCAAGGTGCGTTTCTTCAACACACACACGGCTCAACGTACAAAGCCGAAAAAGCGCAAATAGAAGCAGATGGCGAAATCGGAATTATCAGGAAGCTTTGCATAAGTGCCTCACCATTTATGTATCATCCTCGTAAGAGTCAAGATTGGTACTCAGCTGATGTTGATTGGTTGCAGGTCGATTCGTCACGTGAATTCACGAATGCTCACGTGATTTCATACATCCCAAATTGGGTAGGTAGTGGAAGCAATCGTCAACACTTCAATATTCTAGCACGTTTTTCAATTCGTACACGATATCGGTTCCAGTATTTGCGATGATTCAGTCCCTATTATGCTATTAATGCGCAAAAATTGTAGCTGGGCATCAATCCAGCTGAACCATGCCTCTTCTCGCCCGCTAAGATGCTGAGATTTGTCACAGACCATGTAGGAGGCGTGGGGTCAAAGCGGAAGCAGGCTTCAAAGAGCTGCGAACCTTGCAAGAAGCGTCATGTATGTACATAATTTATCCCTATACCGATTCTTGCTAATTAAAATAATTTAGAAACGTTGTCGCCACAATGAGCAGCCGGTACCTCACACAGAGCCTTTACCAACCGCCTCACGGGAAGTCCCAGAACACCAGGCGATAAACTCCTCGAAAGACAACGTAGAGGCTTCTAATAGCGCCCTTGAGTCTTCCTCCCACTTTTCAGACAGTATACCGGCTGTTATTAGCTTGGAAAACCCCAAAGCCGGGCCAACAGACCCCAAACGCTGCTCTTCAAGAGATACCCACCTGCGCTTTGTTGGAGACTTGAGCCCCGAGGCTTCTCTCTTAGTCAACAGAACGACCAAGGAAGGAGCTCAAAGCGTGTCTCGTCATGATTATGTTGGGGTGTGGCTGGATCAAAAGTCTGAACAACCAACCCGTCGAGATATCCATGAGAGGAGCCACCATGGACAACCAAGAGCTGAATCTCGAACAGATGACAGGGCTCCACTGCTAGAAAGGCTTAGGCCAGCACTTTCCCAGGAGTGCTTGGCAACTGTGCCTCCAGATTCTGAATATGCACGCCTCTCGTCCATATATTACGCCAAGATCAACCCGATCTTTCCAATTCTCCACGCTGAGGTCCTAAATCAGTATGGTGAAATGGAAGCCGTGGCCCTAAAACAGTGCATTTGTTTAGTCGCGTCAATGGATCCATCATCGAGGAAGCACCTGCGTTTGCTGAATACCGAGAGAGTGCTCTCCCAAATTGAATTCAGAGACCGGATGGCAGTGGCTGTCAAGCAATCTCTTGACATGGGATTCCTCACTGATAACATGGTTATCTTACAAGTTTCTGTTCTAATGGCATTTCATGTGGACAGACCAGGTTGTAGTGAGCTTTCGTCCTACTATTGCGCCCAAGCGGTGAACCTTGCACAGACTCTTGGCCTTCACCTAGGATGGCCAAGTGAGAGTGACAGGATCGAAAAGTCTAAACGCATATTCTGGTGCGTGTGGGTTCTAGACCGGCTTAATGCAGCTGCCAATGGGCGTCCAATAATAATCCATGAGCGAGACATGGACCAAACCATCCAGGCCTCTGCTGACTCTCAGAAGCCTGCATTTAAACTGCTGATACTGATCACTCGTTACTTGGATCAAACTATCTCCTTCTATCGTCCACACGCCGATCTCCCAGGAGCAGAAGCTATTACTAATACTTCCTTTGAGGACATGGTTGAGGAAGCTGGTGCTTTGGAAGTAGGGAATGCTCTGCTTGGTAAGTTATTCTAGCGGAATTCAACAGGATGAAGTGTTTAACGGAGTACGAGGCTAACATGTGACTAGCATCACTCGAGTTACTTTACCTCTCTGTTGTCATTCTCCACAGTAGACCGAAGGCAAAGAAAGATTACAATGGAACTCGAAGCTCCGAACTTCAGATATTTGGTGCAACAAGTATTGTTTCAATTGCTTCGCAAGAGTTCAAGGATACCGTTTCGTTTTGGCCTATCGTGCCTTATTCTGTCTCTTTGGCAACATCCATCGCATACAAGAGCCTGCGCAATAGTATCACGGCTGCAAGACGAAGAAGAGCCTATGCCCTCTTTCAGAATGGCTGCGAGGTACTTGATGAGCTAAGTAAAGCATTCGTATCTGCACGTGCTGTCGCTAAGTTGGCAATGGATACGTTGCAAGAGATGGAGCGGGTTACTGCTGAGAGGAGAAGAAACCAGCTCGCCCACAGCGGCCCGGCGTCCTCAGAAGAACAGTCTCAAGATGCTGGTCAGCCGGAAGATGTGACTCAATTCCAGGATGGCCAACAAACGACTTCAGCGGCGCGACAAACTCCTCACATGCTTTTGGAGGCCCCCGAATCATCTCGGAGTAGCCTTCGGCCTTTACCGGCGCTAAATGACAGTTTGATGTTTCCTGATGAGTATGGTCTCACTCATTTTGAAGGAGAGGCAGGGATTTTCACAGATTTTGATCCCAGCTTTGATCTTGATCGTCTTGACGCTCTCTTTTCGTCGAATCTTGATCCCACAGTTCCTGTTATATCAGCGGAATGGTTTGAACAAACTAATACAACGACGCCGGGTTGATATAGCAGGAACTTATGTCAAGATCTTATATGCCAGACCCTGTTCCAGTTTCAATACTTGATGGGGAACATGGTGCGAGATAACGCTTTACCCTGGGGTAGCGCAATATCATTTATCTACATTATCTCTTCTATGTTCTTCGGGCAATATTTTACACGGCCGGCCGTGAACCCGCAAATCGCAATAGTTTTCCTGATCTGGTTAGAACTCTGACTGTGGAAGGCTTATTTACTTCCTCTGCCGCGTTTCTTTCTCCGTTTCTCGATCCCTGACGACACTTTCCAACAAGATTCATTCAAGCAAGACAACCATAACCTATTGGGTGGACGAGGCTAGAATCAACGAGGCATTTGCTTCACAAGAGGCGCTCCTTATGCTTGAAGATGTCAAAAACTACACAAATCTTGGCTATGCCTTGATATTTCAGGAGGAGTTAGAGAGCTTCCCTAAGCTAATTTTCTGCGGAAGATGTGACGGCGGTGGCATTCCGAGCTGATTTCTTGTTATGTCTGAAGTCGCAGCAGTGAAGGAGAAGAGGCAACGCTACTACGATAGTCAACATAATTTGCGAGGGACCATTTGGGTTTGCAACATAATAAAATAAACTTCTCTTCCTGATCGATAGCTGAAGACTGAGAGTGTATTATTCCATTCTTCCGGGTTTCACTTTTTGCTTCGCTGAACAGTGTAGAAAGCAAGCCCTTCATCAGATGTGCTAAAGGTCACCATACTGTTTTCTGGGAAAAAGTATACATCGCCCTTCTTGGCAGAGGACTTGTTTCCAGCGCCATCGACCATTTCAAAGGTCCCATCGAGAACAATCAGTGTCTCATTGTATGGGTATTTGCCTGTAAGTGACTCGCCGCGCGTCATGCGGAAGAAGCCACAAGATAAGTTCTCTCCATCCGATTGTCTATGTCCTTGCATTAGCCACGATATCCTTACAAATTGGAGGAAATCAGTTTACTCACGTGCCGCAAATATCACCGAGATAGGCGTTGGACTCCCCGATCTGCGGTATTTGGAATGTGCTCTGTGCATTGACAAAATGCTGAATGGGGGTTTGAAAATCCTGGGATGGGGACATCCTGCTTGCGAGTATGGACTTGAATGTTTATAGAAACAACTCGGATGAAGGATCCTCCTATTGGTGCCTCTGTTTTACGATACATCCTTAAGTAGTTTCTACGATAAACTAAGCTATATCCGCGCTTTGACCTGATAATTTAGTGCATCGCAGTGAGTCCCGCCCATTACCAAAACGGCAAAAAGTTGCGATTGAGGCATAAACTTAGACCGCCAGTCGCCAAGAGGAAATGAATAGTCTCATGGCCCGATAAGGTAAAACCTTTCGGTAAATTGATTGCGGCGAGGACGAACTAATTTGCTGAGTAGGATGTTTGAGGATGAGGCACGAGGTATTAGAGTCTATCTCAAGAGTCAAGATATCGTAAAGTTGGCTGCGCTACGTGACTAAGAAAGTGTGTTATAGGAGTTGATTTTCTGTAAGAAAAGAAATTGAACCGGCTTGATATCTAACTAAGGTATATAACAGCTCATGATGAATAGTTAAATGAGGCCAAACTTATACTGTATGTAATCGCTTGGGATATCATTGACACAATATCCACCGGGGTGTGTGTATACTTAGAAGTTTTTGAACCCACTGCCCTAAACTGACATATGCTTTGTATAAACTTGAGGATAACCCTTAGTCTATAATAAGAGAGCGATCGACGAATCGACAAATAAGACATACTGTAAATATCTAATAACATCACCAAGACCTATTGTTTCTATGTCCCTATTGAGCCCATGTCGGCCACTGTGCGCTTGCTATTGAATCAGAATAATCTGGTTCCGTATTCTCCATGGGTCTATTGTTACTCGAAATGGTCCTAGTTCTATTAGTATGTCTATTTCCATGGAACAATGGAGATCCATGTTCACATACATAGTCGACATGACGCCCAGTTGCTGAGCTGGGTCATGCAGCTCTGACAACCATGCGTGGTTGAGAGCTTGATGCGCCGAAAGTCGATTTGCTGGAGATCGAGCCATGGCATTTTCGATAAAGTTTATGCAAGTATCGCCTATTCCCTTCTCCAAAAGAGGAAAAGTTGGAAATGGTTGTTTCAATATAACGTATCGCCCTACATCTGGAGGATTGACGAAGATATCCTGATTCGTCAGGAGCCGGAACGTGATGGCACCAAGAGCCCACAGGTCCACAGAAACAGTGTACATATTGTTCCCTTGACCATATTGATGGTTACTGGTGTCCTCGGGGGAGAATAAGCCAAGAATCTCGGGCGCTAGGTATCCTCTCGTTCCAACTAGTGTGTGGAAAGCAGTGACCTCCTCTTCTGCCCTCTTGGATATGCCAAAGTCGCTGATCTTCACCCACCAGTCAGGGGAGGATTCAAAGACAAGAATATTCTGACACAAGATTATTAGCCGATCAATTGCATCTTGGATATAGCCGACTTACCGCAGGCTTTAGATCCCTATGGGCGAAGCTGTTCTCATGCATATAGGCGATGCCCTCAGCAATTTGGTATGTGATCTGCTTAACTTCTCCCTCGGGAAGCGACTTCGTCAGATAACCCTGAAGATTACCCTTGCTGGCATATTCCATGGTTATGAATATCGTCAAATCACTCTCGTACCAACCGTATGATTTCACAAAACAATGAACATACTAAGGCACTATTAAATATTTCCTTTCTTTGTCCATCGAATGCTCACTAGACTTACCTTGGGATGGGAGAATTTGGCGATTGCTTCCAACTCTCGAGTATAGTCGATTTCCTTCCTTGGGTCCTGGGGCGGCGTCTTTGCAATTTCCTTGACAGCGCGGAGCTTTCCAGTTTCACTTCCGTTGAGAAGTTCCTCTAGATAGACCTGTCCAAAGGCACCAGTACCAAGCTTTTCACGCCTCTTCCACGCCTCCTCTGTCTTCATCCTCCTTTGGCGCATATGAGGATTTGAAGTGTAGACTATATGCCGGACTATTGAGGCATCATCGGTCTGGAAAGCTATGAGCTTCGAGTCACGAACCAGGTCAGATACGGGTCTGTTTCTTGATGGCAGACTAAGACTCGGGCTTGGGCTTTCTAGGGGGGGTTCTACGGAAGGGATGCGCTGGGGTGGGAGGCCGGGTGGCTCGACCAATTGCCTGTTGGGTTCTGGTTTCTGAGCCGGCATTCGACCAACAATTGTGGTTGACGACTGAGGCTCAGGTTTTATGCTGACAGGTTTCGGAGGACGGTTTTCGATAAGATTAGGTACACCAACAGCCAACCTTCTGGGAGGAGGGGGCAGAGGCGGAGCCAAACTCCGACGAGGGAGATCCGCATTGGGAGGAAATCGAGAAGGTGGCGGGGGAGGTGGCGGGGGAGGTGCCTGTTCGCGCCTGGTTGTATGCTGAATCACTGACGCTTGAAGACGTTTAAAGTCCAAGGGAGGGTTCGGTGGTCGCTGATCTCTATAGCGCTTTGGTTCGGATGGAATTTGTGGAGGTGACCCCATCATTTCCTCATCCATGAAGGACCGCGAACGCGCTGGGGATTCCTTGATGGCCTAGTTAGTCACTTGAAGGGGGCTGGTTGATGCTGCTTAAGGCCAACCCTCCTGTAGTTGGAGGCAAAGGGGGAGAGAAGATGCATACCGGAGCCGCTGCTGAATCGACGTTCTCATGGTATTTGCTCATTATGCTCTTAGGTTCCTCTTGACTTGATTTCTTCCGGAACAGGAACATTGTTGCCAGTAGGTTCAGTTTGGTCGTGATGATCCCAGTAGTCACTGAACCACTGGCAGATGGACAGCGCGACCCTGTGTTAATGGACTAGCCGGTGATTCCAACCCAATGAGGAATACGATTGCCTGGAAACACTAGATTGATGGGAAATGAGAGGCTGTGGAGTGGCTTTGATCTTGGGTGAGTGTTCAGCTGGGCTGTGTTTTTTTTGGGCTCAGGCTAAGCCCAACATCAATCAATCAAACATCAGCTCAGCATTTGATTCATTCAGCTGCCTCCACCTTGGTTTTCCCCGCTCGTAGGGCCACGTGATCGATTGGGAGTGGTGTGCTGTGTCGATGCCTTGGCGTGTGCCATCGCCAAGATCAATCTTTCATCTCAAAGCAATCAGACGTGAACGTACACGATCACCTTTCCGGTCACACACCAGTTAATTCGTGGAGCTTGGGGCATCCTGTACCCATCATGCCCAGCATCTTAACGGACCCTGAAAAAGATATAGTCAAATCAGTGATACCGAAGGCCAGTAATCGAATACTCGCTGTCGGTCTTATCCGTCTTTATGTTGCCTACCCTGACCCCAGAAAATGGACATACACTGGGCTTGAGGGTGCGCTAGTACTGTTGAACGACCTGCTTCCTGCCCATGCAATATGGCTCCGGATTGTTGACATTACTGTACGTGGCTTTTATCTGCGATATTTTCCTGGTCAACTATCAATAGCTCTAACGCGAAGCCCTCTAACAGCCGGCAAGACGCGGTGTTATTTGGGAAATGCAGGTCCCCGAAGAATGGCAATACAGTGCCACCAAACCGTTGCTACACACTTTCGAGATGGGCGGGATCGTCTATGGGTGTTCATTCGCTGACGAAAAAGAGGCAAAACTGTTTCTCAAGAAAATGGACGGCCGTGAAGATTCGGCCCCTAAGAAAACTAAGTTGACTCCTTTTAGTTACACGGGCGACTTGAAATTTGAGGCTCTCGATGCATTTGACCCACAGTGGCAGGAGAATTTTGGAGATGCCTTGCGTGAGAAGGGCCTTGACGACATGTTTATATTCAAGAACCAGGAGTTTATAGTGGACTTTTTGAAGGAGGAGCAATCCAAGGCCCGTCCTTAGGGAAGTCGTGATCCTCGTGTCATCGATGATGACTCTCTGTGAAATGGTGGCCGGTATAACTAGACGAGAGACTAGCTCCTACAAACTCTACGAGTTCCGACCTTTATATGCGCCTCGCCAACCCATCACCTCAGCGTGAGAAGAATCTTGCTTAAAGTCCACCCGTACGTCAAGTGGCCATTTCTGACTTCGGATGATGTTGCAGCAGGGTCAGTAAAATATTAACAAGCTTGAAATAACTGCTGCTGGTCACGTATGTCGAGGGAACACATGTAATTGTGATGAGTCGTTCTGGTCTCAACGAAGTATGATTTACCTGAGTAGAAAGTTTTCCATTTGAGACCCAGTGTGAAAAAAAAAAATATTTTCTTATCTGGAAAAGATACATACTTAAACTCTTTCTGACGCGCAATATCGAACCCTTATGAGTGATCTGCTACATTTCCCGTAAGTTGGGGTGTGTACGGAAGACCTTTCTACCTCTGAAGATCCAATCAAGCGATGCCGCCACTATGATGAAGCCGTATACTGCGGAAATGTAGTTCATGTCTGCCCCTGGATGTTAGCTCTCTTGTACAAAGGTGAACAAGCGATTTGGATACTCACTGTCGACTGTTGCAGGTAAATATGATGGGAACGAATATCTAAAATAGTCTCTAATGTGAGAAATGATTCCCCTATAGTAAAGTTTCATATTGAGGAATTTGGGGACCTACAACACAAAGGTGAACAATACCCAAATAAGGAGGACGATATTTGATACCAATCCAAAAGAATGTAACCAAAATGGCCCAGGCTTGATATTCTTTCGGCCTTTGATGAGCAAGCACAAGACTGGAACGGCATAAGAGAGGTAAGGCAATACAATGCAGCCCGTCAGAATTCTGAGAATGTCAGTATGTAGTGGCTGTTCGGTGGGGGGAGTATTCGTATCTTACGCATTGAATGCAGTCGTCGAGACAAGGTACAGGCAGCCTAGAATGGCATCTAGGATGCAGCTAGTGATATGAGCATTGAGCGGGACGTCGAGCCGGGGGTGAACCTTGGCTAAAGACAAGGAGAATGGAAGGCCCCCATCTCGGGCAAAGGTCCAGCAAAGTCTTGACTGCCATGTGTGGCAAGCCGCCAGACACCCGACTCCAGTGGCAATGACCAGAGTCTCAAGAACAATTGCTCCTGCTCTGTTTTGCAAGGCTTGATAAAAGAGCTCTAGGATGGGGACACCGGTTAAGGTTGTCGATACAACATCAAAGTTGGAGAGGCTGAACATCATGGAGAGAATGAATCCAAAGGAAGTGACAAATCCTATCCCCACAGTGCCCATGATGGCAATAGGAATAGCTCTTTCTGGTTGAGCTATTTCTTCGGCCATATGGACGGCTGAATCGAGACAAGAAAAGCCATAGTTGACGTTGATGAGGCCAAGAATGAATGCCATAGCATCCTGCGACCAACCGGTATTGTTGATAAAGGTAGCGAAAACGAACTTGGCGTCCTGATGGGTTGTCGCAACGGAGGGAACTGTGATCAGGATCACAACAAAAGAGATCAATGTTGTGTATAGTGAAATCGCGGCGATTTTCGGGAGGATCCGTCCGTAACAGTTAAAGAAGAAGACTACTATATTGGCAACTTGATATCCAACAATAGTATGCCAAGGGCGTATTTCGCTGAGAACACGATAACGTCAGCTCAATCAGGACTTGGGGAGCAGAAACGAGGCTTACAATTCAGGATGGGAAAGTTGATAGCATCCGATGGCAGCGGATGCAACAGAAAGAGAGACTGTCGCGCACGCACAGATAGACCCGGCCCAAGCTAACCACCCAGTCACATAGGCAGCTCCACGAGCATAGTTCTTAGGAGCGAGCTCAGAAACCCAGAAGATTTGTCCCGCCGCATTGGGCATTGCACTGACCAGCTCGGATAGAGAAACAGCAACTCCAACAGAGACAAGAGCGAGGAGAAAGGTGCCATAGACTAGCAGACATGAGCCTCCCGAGTTGATGCCAGTTATCAGGGCGGCCGAGACACCCCACCATGAGTTGGTCAAAGAGAAGCCAACGCCCAAGACTGACCAGACCGAGAAGTTCCGTTTCATGTCTTGGACGTAGCCCATCTCAGCAAGTCGCTCGGCATCAGCATCGGAGCCGTTCCGGACTTTCTCAACCTCATGGGTGCCTTCGTCGTGATTCATGGCGACCAGTGTGACCCTCACTGTGGGATAGATGTAGGGATAGATGTACTTTGTCAAAGAAGTTTAGAGGATTGTGTGGGAACACTGACAGCTGAGACGAATGCAGCAGAGTGAAGACTGAGATGGGAACTCTACTGCATATAGCCGTGCCAGGCCATGCAAGGAGAACCTCATCACACAGACTCCATGCCTTAGATCCTGGGGAAATTGTGGAGAAGTTCGATATGGTATCAGGATTGATTAGTTGGTTTGAGACTAGTCGGCTGAGTCCGCCCAAGATTAGGAAGCCCTCATTTGACGGCTGGGTGAAAGCCTAGATAAGGGGCGTGACGCTATTCCCAAAAGTGCAAAAAATCTCGACTGCCCAATTGTGGGACACGCCATCGAAATTTACTTCCTCTTGCGGGAGACCCTTGGTCCTCTCGGGAATCATAATAGGCTTCATTCGTCGGCTAACTAATCGAGACAAGAAAGCCTATCATTAGCCATAGCTGGCGATGGTTGCACGTGTAGATAAGTTCTGTCTATAGCCTCCCTGGCCAGCGTCTGTAAAACCTGGCATCAATACCTAGCCTCTTATCAGCATCAAGAATGTTAGTCTAGCTGAAGACAGCATCTCTGTCATGTCACAAATTAGCATATCCTCCATCGCAGCTATTGCTGCGGTGCTCTTCCTTGTGTACCGCTTCATCATTTTCCCTCTCTTCTTATCGCCACTATCTAAGATTCCATCGGCACACTTCACGAGTCATCTTTGTCCACTATGGGTTTACTGGATCCGTTACAAGAACATTGAGAATCGTACAATGTACGATCTTCACAAGTTGAAGGGGCCTATTCTCAGAACTGCCCCGTCACAGCTCAGTGTCAACTGTTATGAAGGCGGTCTAAAGACCATCTACACTGGGGGTTTTCACAAAACCGACTTCTACCACAATCGATTCATCAACTATGGGTTAGTTCACCCCTGCCTCATTCATCACCTCCAAACTAACACCTCAGTAAAGAGTTGACCCTATGTTCGCCATGTCGGGTGCTGCTCATTCTGCTCGAAAGCGAATGCTATCGCATGTATATGCCAAGTCGTACATCCTGTCCAACCCAACAGTGCGTGCAACAACCAAGGCAGTTCTCTATGACAGATTATTGCCAATCATCCACGAGGCTGCCACGTCTGGAGCTACCGTTGAGGCGTTGGAAATTCTTGCATCATACTCGATGGATGCCTTCATGACCTTCCAGTTTGGTTTGAAACTGGGAAGTAACTTTCTTCACAACGAGGAAGAACGTAAATGGTATCTGCACACGTTTTATGTTAGGAGGCCGTATCTGTTCTGGATGACTGAATTGCCCAAGTTTACCAACTTCATGAAAAAGATTGGCTTGCCACTGGTTCCGAAGTGGGTGGACCAAGCTACTCTTGACCTCGAGGACTGGCAAATGCGCATCTGCGATAACGCAGAAAAGCTCCTCTCTGATGGCTCCGAAATCGATGTCAAGGATGTTCCCCTAGTGTACAAACATGAGCGGGCAGCTTTCATCAAGCAAGATGGGGAGAAGGGGCCTCTCAATGGCCAAGCCTACCCTCGCCGCTTGGAGATTGCAAGTGATATGTATGATCACAATGCAGCTGCTCATGAGGCCAGTGGCGATACTTTATGCTATTTATTCTACGAGCTCTCGCGCCGACCAGATCTCCAGGATAGGCTACGGGAGGAGCTTCGCTCTTTGTCGCCCCCTCTTCACTACCCTTCGACACCGGATGATAACGGCGAGTCGCTTCCCGACTCAAAAGCCGTTGACCAACTACCTCTCCTCGATGCAGTTCTCCAAGAGACTCTTCGTTTGTGGGTCGCCGTACCAGGAGGTCAACCACGCGTCACCCCAGAGCCATCATGCAGTCTTGTTGGTTATGACAACATTCCCCCAGGTGTTCGTGTCCAGTCCTCTGGGTTCGCAATCCACCGTGATCCCAATGTCTTCCCTGAGCCAAACGAATGGATACCGGAGCGTTGGTTGAACCAGACACCGGAGAAACTGTCCGAGATGAGACGGTGGTTTTGGGCATGGGGCAGTGGAGGCGCTATGTGCATAGGAAGCAACATTGCAATTCATTGTGAGTTTTCGTTGTAATAAAAAACCAGGGATGCAATACTAACTAGATTATCCTCAGCTATGAAGCATTGTATTGCCGGCGTCTACTCCAACTACAAGACATTCATTGTTCATGCGCCGGACATGGAGCTGGCAGAAGGCTTCACTGCGGGACCACAGGGTGGAAAGTTGGAGCTCAGATTTCAACATGTTTCTGAATAGAAAGCTGAAGTTGGTTGGCTTGGTGTGAGTTAATGATACGTTTTCTGAGGCATTTTATGTGTAATTTGGTCAATAAATGTTAGGCAAAAAAGCGAGCTGTACCTCCTCAGTCGCAATAAGCTAATCTCTTAGATTCATCGTAATAAAATTTTCGTTTCCTTGAATTGAGGACACGGAATGAGTCAAATTAATTATTATGCCTCACAAATGATTACTCCTCCAACTCATTCCTACCACGTCAGATCTCGCTGGAATGCTCATTTACTGCCTGTGAATGTGAAGTATGAACATTGCCTCCGAGTCTAAGAATCATCAATGGCTGAAGAATTAAATTATTTAATTTGTTCAAGCATATAGCATACCTTCGATTCTGTTCGTTCTCTTTGGTTAGAGTGCAGACCTAAGTAACGACGCAAAGTGGCTCAGAGACAGAGCAGTAGCACAACCAAAATAGAATTATTTGTAGATACACAAGGATTAATTTACCAATGAATTGTATTTATAGTTCAAGATGCCATTAAATATCGACAGCCCTTGGCTTGGCTTTAATACCGTAAGCTTCCATGCTGTCCACCTGAAGTGCCCTTGGCGTTACTGCAGCATTCGTCAACTCTTCTCTTCTCATACAAAGCTCATCAGACAGACGATGGAAATCATTGAGAAGACCAATGTGCTCAATTTCTTCCCATTTCTTGTATCCTCTTGCGCTGTCCTCCTCCACCGTCTTAAGCACGCCTTCTCCGGGTTGGAAGACCATGATCTTGCCACTCTTATCGAACCTCTCCCAAGGATCGTTCCCATTAGCAAAGGTAATCCACATCTTGGACATCTGAGCTGAGACCTGGCGATGTGAAGCAGGAAGATGCTGGCCAAGAAGAGACCAGATGTACACATTGTCTAGCGAATGATGGGCCAGTCCACTCCAGTCGTTGTCAAAGGGCGAAGGCACGTCAAAATGATATGCATATACTGTAGGGCATGCCCGAATCAATGACCAGTTCACCGCCGAATAGAGGCCATGTGTCGTAAACTCTTCCATCTTCCAAAAGTTGTCATCGCCATTTGCCAAGGGATCAACTTGGTAAAGAGAAAGAAGTTTGTCCGCTTTCTCCTTTGAGCCAAGGAAGGAATGGACTCTATCCGTAAAGTCTTTCGAGTTAAGGGATCTGAAGCTTTTATTCCAGATAACGCACTCGTTCTTGACGTCGCCAATGACGATCCGCTGGCACCAAGATGGCGCTTTGAAACTGGAATAGTCACTGTATTTGGGCATGGGCTGTCCGATGAGGACATTGTCATCACACGGGCTGAAAGTGATGACGGGAATGACACAGACGGGTACCATGGCTGCTGTGACTTTGTCCTCGTCCATTTCTATTAGGCGCTGTAGACGTTCTCTAGGTGGTAGTTCGGTGGAAATGTCGAGTTCTGTGAGCATTTTATCGTAGATACCTTGATACTGCTCAACTGTCATAACGCCGCAGAGGGGAAGCAGTCCTGACTGGATGATTGTAGACGAGAAGAGTGGTTCATTGCGGAGAAGATGGACGTTTGCGGAAACTATTGTTGTGAGCTTCTATCTCGTTTGATGGAATTGCGGTGATATGCCACATTGAGGTTGAACTTACCACCTCCAGCGCTCTGGCCAAAGAGGGTGACCCTGTCTGGGTCTCCGCCAAAGGCGCGGATGTTTGTCTGGACCCAACGAAGAGCTTCAACCTGGTCCCATAGCCCATAGTTTCCGACGCCACTTTCGCCAAACTCAAGATTATACTCCTGAATCTCTTTGCTTGCTAAGAAGCCAAAGACCCCAAGTCTAAAGTTGACAGAAATGATAATTGTCGGCTCATTGAGTTGTTGAGAGATATCAGCCAGTGCACGACCGTCATATATGGCAGCACCGCCAGCAGCGTAAACAAAAGCACCACCATGCATAAAGATCATGACAGGATAGTGGCACTGGTCGGAATTTACGGGTGGTTTGGAGGGCACGGATATGTTCAAGCTAAGGCAGTCACTGGAACTCGTTTTGGGGTTGTCTACCCACGGCCGCTCTGGGCTGGGGATAGGGTAAAAGTCTCGGGGCGGCTGTGAGCAGAACGGCCTAATCCGAGCAGGCAAGAGGATAAGCGAACGAACACATTACGAACTGGATGGAGAACTGCTGGATACGTACCCGAGCTTAGTGCCATCCCATTTCCCACTGGGCCAGGGTTTCGAGACTGGCTGTGGGCGGCGGAACCGGCCTGGAACTGTTGCGTAGGGGACACCCATGTACTGACAGACATTGTTATCGAAGCAAAGACCAGTGAGAGTGCCGAAGCCGGGCACATCCAGGTCGATTGGGGACCACTCTTTGGGATTCATTTTGATAACAGTGTACTAATTGCGAAGCACGGCAGATAGGTAGACTTTGTGTGTGCACTCGATGTGTGGAAAGAAATCATGGCCAACTAATTAGCAGAACTTATATCACAAGCCATGATCATTCATGGCATTCTGTTGCCGTATCATACAAACCAACGCAGTCGCAATTTTTTTCCCAATATGGAAGGCAATCCGACTCAGACACGGCTTTATCTTAGATGCGGGGAACACGATACCCCGATGGCCCCGTCAGAGATAATGACACAGGACCACACGAGATGGGCTAGTGTGAGATTCTGATAGCGCAGGGAGGCGAGGCATGAAGAGATAACCAGTGAGAAAGATGGGATTGGTCACTGAGTCAGTCACCCATCAGCTTGAGGGGACTCCACCCCCGCACTTACAGGGCCTCGTCTCTGGATTTCTCTAACCGATCTGATCTGTTGCGTGCATCTCTTGTTCCGTTTAGCCATCGGTTGCCTTATGTGCTCGCCATGGACAAATCATCTCCCCAGACCACCAGGGCCAAGACGAAGAAGGCAGCCCGGGCCCCGAAGAGATACTCCCACAACGGGTGCCCAAGGTGCAAGGGTCAACGTGTACGTATCGTGTCCCACAGAAACTCACTGTCTGTTTCAGTCGTTCCATGCTCACAAACTGGTCAATAGGTAAGGTGTGATGAACAGCATCCTGAGTGCGGACGATGCATGCGTGCCGGTGTCAAATGCCCAGGCTATGACCAGCAACTCAAGTGGTCCAACAAGTATGAGGTTTTTCTTCCAAATGGGGCTGAGAAAGCCGTACGCAAAACTGCTGGTGCCCCCAACGCAAAGAAGAACGACGCCGAAGTCCCCGCCATGCACGTGTCAGATGCTTCAAACAAGAGCAAGAGCCCGGTAACCCCAACGAATGACCAAGAACACGATGAGGTTGCCCAGGGGAACCCTTTTGTGGACGATCTGTCAGCCCAAACCACATCGCCAAGTCACTCGCTTCTTAACGTACCAGAGCTTGAAGAGTGCTCCAAAGTCCCAGAACTAGCCGAATATCTTGACTTTTTAGATCCAGTGCCAACACTAGATTACCTCGACACCTTTGATTTCTCAAGGTTCGGTGAAGACTCAATAGATCCGCTAGAACGGCATAGCCCTGGTGATGCACCCTCCCTCAGCCAAATGGACAGATCCCAGGGCCATTGGCTCCGGAGAGGATCAACGTCGTTCTCAACCTCAGCAAGCGTCTCATCCAACTCCATATCTGTACCGTCGTTGAACCGAGCTGACGGCGCAACCGACCGGTCTGGCTTTATTAATGGTCGCCTTACGAGCATCGCGCCGTCCAAATCGCTCAACACCCCTGCACTGGTTCTTGTTGAGTTTTACTTCAAGGAAACTGCACAGATCTTCTCCTGCTACGATAGCAAGATGAATCCGTTTAGGACAACTGTCTCGCGTTTATGGGACTCTTCTCCGCTCCTCTACTCGACGCTCCAAAGTATGGCCGCCGCGAGCCTTGTTCAGGACTTTCCACAGCTTGGAGCCTTGGGGAGGAAGTTGAGAAAGGATGCGGTCGAGCTGCTTGACCAATGCCCTTCGCACAACTTGGATTCCCTATTGGCCATGCTCATGCTAGGCGGTTCAGCCAGCTGGCATGATCCGCGGGACCTGGGACTGTCCTTCTTCAACCGAATTCGCAAATGCTTATCCACCATGCCGGCAAGCGCTTTTACGCAGGCCGATGTTGATTATCACTTCTTCCACCAGTCTATGACGTATTGGGAAATGCTTCTTTCCTATGTAGCAGAAGATGACACTCTCGACATGTGTGAGAGGCCCGTCATGTCTACCGGTACCACTCCTCTTCATTTCGTGCCGCATCCATGGACAGGATTCGCACGAGACACACAGAATGCCGTTCAACAGGTTGGAAGATTGATACGGAAACAGAGAAAGATGGCGTTTTCGCATCGTTTTGCATCTCTTGCACATATCAGGCAACTAGAGAAAGATATGGCTACAGCGAGCGAATTAGAACAGTATCTTGTCAACCTCTCCTACCCTCTCGAACACACTGTTGTCGACCCAGAGGATAGCAACACGCCGGTATGGCATCTGCTAACTCTAGCGGAAGTATACCGATGTTCCGGGCTGATGCAGCTCTACCACATCTTCCCCGATTTATTGGATCGCCGACTCTCCAAAGACGGCCTCTTGGATCTCGAAGCTCACCACGATGGTGTTCCTGGTGGAATTGAACATAGAATGAAGTTGCGCAATTCATGGTTGACGTCGTCGGCGGTACAAGTGTTAAGCATGATGAAGTCAATCCCTGTCGAATCTGGAACCCGGGACTTTCAACCCTTCATCCTGGTATCGCTTTCGAGTGAACTGAGAACCCCAGCCAGGGTCCAATCCACCGGCAGCTCTACCTCCGAGGCAGCGCCGGTAGATCAGCTTGATGGTGTAAACTCTCACGCCATTGAAATATCACGGATGCGGCACTTTGTGAAAAACCGCCTTAACTCGTTTCTTTACATTCTGCCACCAAAGCCTATTCATGTATGTCTTGATATCATAACTGAGACCTGGAAGAGAATGGATGCGTGTGCTTCTCTGGCAGTGGATGTTCGTGTTGATGAGGAGGGTCTCTATGACCACCCAACGGATGTGTATTGGATGGATGTGATGATTGAAAACGGCTGGGAAACGACAATGGCGTAATATCTCAGCCATGTTTCATCTCACCCGCGTTTAAAGAAATTAGAATCTTGTCAATATGAGTCAGGCGCATGGCACTACTGTATAGCCATAATTTACTTGCTTTTTCAGTATAAGCACCATGCAATGATCTTCATGCACGCTTAATGACATCAGCATAGCATAAGCCCACTACAGTAGAACCAGGAATCTCCATTACGCTTCTTATTATTAAGCCAGAGTTCATCAATCTGCCAGACGGCATGATAGCACGGCTACTACAGTCCGCGAGTATGCACACGTAACACTGGGATCGAGCAATTGAACCAAGATCGATCTGGCTAAGCCTCTAGGGCCAGACCTTGTGACTGTGCAATATCTCCGGCCTACATCCACTTGTGCTCCCACTTACGTCGGCCCGCCATCTTTGCCACACAGTCACTTGGATGGGATGGTGCTTCACCGCCAGATAGCGTCCGGTCGCACTACTTTAGAGGAATCGTTACGCCGCGTCGTTCCACCAAGCAAATGGACGCTTTGGTGCGAGCTGGTATGTGACAGTCATGAATCACAGGCTGACTGGCCATGTCCAGCGCAAGCCAAGAGCTGATTGATGCTTGGCAGCCACATTTCCAACCTGTCTCCACATGATGGTGCTAACGGAGGGCCATTTTATCGTGGCCTGGACTCACTAGACACTCAGCAGGTCGTGTATCATCGCGATTCGATACGGGCAGTCGATAGTGTCTGGACAAAGCGAGCGTGTTTCGTCGAGCGTGGCCGGCGCTTGTATCAAGTGTCAAACACTGCGGCAGGTGGCGGGCATTTATTGATGGCATTCCGCCATTGGCTCCCTCCGGCTAGCGACTAGCAACGACGCCGTGTTATCGGGTGGGCTGTTGTGGAAGCGCGGATTTCAGGGGGAACGGCGAAATTGATGGATGGCTTTCACGGCTGGCGTGGCGTCTGATTCATGTCACTCGTGTCACATTGACCCATCGCACGATAACGAACGTAGTCAGGCCAGGCTAAGACGACGGGATGGAATGGGGAAGTGGTATTTTATAATACGAGCCCGCCTGAAGGGTGGGAACAGGAGTAGCATCGGAGCCCGCAGCTTGGTTGGTGATGCCGGTGCGGCCGGTGAGAACGACCTAGCCAAGATCTGGGCCATCTGGCAGAGGCTTCATTGGGCCTTTGCCCACGAGTTTGCCTCTGGTCGATCCGGGTTATGCCGCCAGGCGCAGAGGGACGAATTGGAACCTGCGAGGAGCCTCCAACAATGATGCCGTGGCTGGACTAGACCGGTCCCAAGAAACAATAGTCTGGGCTGGACGCACTAATAATACTCCAAACGGGGCTTCTCTCAGGTTCAGGAGCCTCAGGGCGCTACATGAAATTGGAGCAAAGCGGCATGCTGCATTGACGCGCCCTGCTGGTTGGGCCGCCTGCACATGCACGTAATGTAATGCATGTCTCCCCAACATATTAGCTAGGGCCGGCCCAAGGCGCGCCAGTTTCTGGCCGGTCCTGGTTCCCATATCAACTGTCGTGATGCAGCTGTGACATCGCCTTTCTCCATCTCTTGCCATTGCTTGCTTGCGTGTGTGCTCTGCCGTGCTGTGCTGGTTTGCGCAGCCAAGTCTCCGTTGCCGGCGCTGGTCGACCTTTTTCTCGGTGCCAAGCGCACCAGCACGCCGCCGTCTGCTCCTCGAATGCGTCAATTGGCTCCGAGGGAGCTCATCATCCAAGCTTGGGCTGGCTTCAGGAATCCACCGTATCTCACAAGCAGTCCAAAGTACCCCAAGGTCAAGATGGGACCTGCGGAAACTCACCTCGAGCATGGGCTCGTGAAGCTCTACTGGGATGGCGTCGAGCATGAGCTCCCTGGGCTTCTGCACCTTTTCCATCGGGAAGAAACGCCGGCGGTCACCGTCGACGACGGGGAGATGGCCTCCGAGGACGGAACCGCAGAGATGGGCCTGACGATGATTGTGGAGGATGTTGAGAGAGCGGGATCTCACTCAACCCCTCCCCAAGCTGGAGACGAGGATGCTATTGCACTGAGGAACAGAGCCCGCACCCTCCTCCGCGCATCGGAATGGCTGGACATTGAAAAGGTCGTCGAGGATCGCGAGCACGCCACAGTACTACAGAAAGCCCAGGGAGCCACAAACGTCTCAAATCCTACCCGATATGAGAAGAGGGCAAAGAAGAGGGCATCTGCCGGGAGACGACTATTCGAGCGGATGAAGCGCGTGAGATATTCCGTCATCCGGTCCACGTATGGGAGGGGCAAGTCTCCCTATGCCGCGATGCACATGGCTTTGCGCATTGGAACAGTCATGTTCGAGAATGGTGTAGCCCAGTAAGTCTCTTCTGCACGTGCATGTTTTTCCACGCCTGTACTTGTCGGTTACTGACGTCGGATAGCACGGATGGAGGCGTGGTGATTTCAAGTCGACTTTCACCACACCCTGATCAGGCAAGCCTTCACAATTCAGACAACACTAGAGCACTTCTCTTGACCGGGAAGAAGAGGAAACTCGTCTTCAACCAGTCACGGAACCAGTCCCAGCAATGGAACAAAACGACGATGAAGCAGGTTTCTGGGAACGACTTTTGCGGTCTGTTTGATGCAAAGAATGAGAACAAAGTCATCGACGCATTCATTCAAGAGAGTCTCAACGTCAAGGGAACTTGTACTGGGAACGGCTGCTCATGTGAAAGAGAGAAGATCTATGCAGGCACGATTCGGGTCCTGAATGAACTCAAGCGGTATCTTGGGCCAAGAGTTAGACTCTACATGAACACAGTGGCGGGCCGTTTGCTCGACCCCTCCGTCCGCTTAGCATGGCACCCGGACAATAACAACTGCCAAGCATTCTGCGAGAGCCTGATCGACAGTGCCATCTTCCGGTTGTCCTTCACCTCGAGTGAGCCGATCAGTTTCGGAGGCGGGGAAAACGCCGCGCTAAACCCCTTCGTCGACAACTCGGATCGGTTGAAAGAAGTTACACGTGATTCTCGGCTAGATACTTTTGGTGGGCTTGCTGAGTTTCTGTCGACCATCGACCCAGAGTCGAGGCGAGGCTCTGAAGCGATGGATCAGCTCACCCAAGCGAAAACCAAGAATCTTTCCATCCATCTTCATCGTCCATCCCGCACTAGGAACAAGAACTCCATACATGAACTAGTACAATAATAATAATGTTTTTTTCGATAAAAGTTTCTTCCTAGGGTCCAGCATAATCTGTTTTGCATCAGAGGCGTCATTGATAGTTTCCTAGGCACAAGGACTGACTATCACGGGGAGACTCAGGCTTGGAGTGTTTAGCATTCATATAGGTAAATTTATGGTATATGGACAGGATTATGGATATGAATAAGCTGCCATAATTAATTTCAGAGTATCCTTCTCACTTCCATGGCGCCTTAAGGTTAATCATCATGCATCTATGTTCCCTTGGGAGCATTCTCTAGTCTGGAAAGCAACATCCCAATTCCCTCGCTATCCTTCCAATAGTTGTCTCTGCATTTCTTCTTGTTCTTGCCGTACCTTCTCGTTGTACTCGTCAATCTTCGCCTGCTTTTCCTTTGGCGGCAACGAGTCAAACTCCTTCACGTTCTTGTCCCACGTCGCCACGCAAGTTGGCTCCCAATTACAGTCCTCCACTTGCCCGTAGGCGGGGTGCAGATATCTCCTATGCTTTGATGGCCAATTCGATGCGTGGTAGTGGTGCTTGACCAGCGAGTTTCGCGACTCGTGGTTCCCGGAATCCGAGTGCCCCTGGCCGGCGCAGAAGGCCTCCACTGTGAGCACCAGCACACGTCCCACCACCTTGGACTCATACATGTTGTGGAAAGTATCCCAGGTCACCTTTGCCTCTCCGCGCTTCCTCTTGCTGTTCATCTCATCCAGCAGAGCCCGCGTGAAGGCGGAGGGGCCCGTTCCGCTGATGACTTGGTCAAAGTCGAGCTCGACAGCGCCAATGGCAACTCCTTGCTCTCGCGCAACCTTCTTCATCCAGGCCATGATGTTCTCAATCAATTTCAGCATCACTGGCTGCCCAGGACGGGAGATTATTGTCCATTGGCAGAATGACTCGGACTTGGACCCCAGGATTGGGTGGTTGCGGAAGTCGGGCTGGTCCACTTCCACGCCCACAATCATGTCGTAGTCGTTCTCGTCAAAGTGCTCGGGGAAGAAGCGGTGGAAGGGCTTCATGGCCTCGACGTCAATGTCTGCATAGACCCCACCCTCGGAGTACATAATCATGTACCGTAGCAGATCAGCCTTGATGATAGGCAGGTTGACGCTCTGGTAGAAGTGGATGATGTCTGGGCGATTCAGCCCGCGGGCGCCAAACTTCTCATCGATCCAGGTGAGGTCATTGAAGTCGGTGATGACCTCGTACCGCATGTAAGGGTTCTTCTCGAGCCATGTGTGGGCGATGACGGAGTCGCGGATGCCGAACCTCATTGGATCGATCTTCCACGTCTGCCATACCTTCTGGGGGAATGTGCTGCCCGGGCGCGTCGGTCGTGCCGCGTAGCCAGTCCAGATGATTGTGGCAGGCGAGTAGAAGAGGTCCCAGTTGAGGATGAGGAGGAAGAAGAAGACAATGGCGGCGTACAAGGGCACGCTTCGCTTGACTTGTGTGGGGATTTTGTTCCTAAACTTGGCCGTTGAGGCGGCGAGCGTCGGGGAGCCCAACGGCGAGTTCATCATCGCATACGCCTTCATTCGGTGGGATATAGGATGGGAACTGCGGAAAGTATATGATTATTGGTCGCCAGCAAAACGAATGTGCCGTCTATAGAGCGCAGACGTGAGGTAATAACGAGAGTGTTTTCATGTCCCAGAGCCTGGCGAGAGGAGGGGAACGAGGCCAGGACAGGGATACGCAGAGTAAAAGAATTGGATTCAGAACCGGGACAAGATGCTCTTAGCCGCCCGATTGAAATCGCTTATTACCCCTTGTTGGATACAGGAGTACAAGTTTGTGTGGCACTTTCAGGGT